TGCAGGGCCGGGCCAGGGCCGGGCGCATCCAGTATACTTATTCAAAGGGCGCACGCACACGCGGTGCACGCGGCGAGGACGCGGCGGACCAGACTACACTGCAAAACAAAAACACGGAAAGGTGACTCCCAATCGGGCAAACCAGCTTGATCGGCACCGCGTGGGTGGCCGTTGACACTGACACTGGGTCGCGGGGGAGGGGGTGGGCGCTGGCACCGACACGCTAACGCGTGCAACGCATGCCGCGTCTCCGGCGAGGAGGCCAAGCAGGGCCTGCTGCCGCAGGATGCTGCAGGACGGACTCGAACGGCCGGCGAAATACCTCCCCTCTCCCTCACGCCGCCGCTGCGGGAGCGGTTCAGCAGAGTCGTCTCGCCAGCCCGTCTCTGTCGCACCCACAGGGCACTCCGCAAGGGTGCGACAGAGCCAGAGAGCGACTACCCGGCGAGCCTTGTCGGCCATGCGACATTTATTTGGGGCAAGGCGAGGCACTCACGCGCGCGCACACTCACACACGCCACCAACACACGCACGCACACACACTCACACACTGTTTATCAGAATAGAAATATACTCCCCTCGGCGCTGGCCCGCTGGCAGCAGAACCAGAGGTAGCATTAACGTTACGCGTAGCGCTGGCAGCGCGCGATGACAGCGGCGCTGCACTGTGCAGTGGCATAGCGCGAAGGGCGAAGCGCGAGACGCGGACCCTCCAAAAAACAGCAGGTCTTTCACTTGTCAAAGTCGTTTTCAAGTTTGGCCCGAATCATTTACAAAGGCAATCAGAAAAATTCGTCAGGCTTGGCTTTGGGGGGGGGGATAAAGGGTGTACCTTTAGGCGCTTTGGCCCCGGATTCCTCGGCGAGGGAACCAAGACGCAAACGCAGCCGCCGTCAGATCCCTGTGTCCGCCGCGGCGCGCCGTGGCCGTGGGCCGCCAAAGCGCTTTTCAAAAGGCTTGGCGGGGCGAGCTTCACGGCTTCACGGCGCGACCCCGAGGCCGCGGTTCAAAATGCAGTCAGCAGACTGATACAAGGTAGGCGGTAGGCAATGTGTGTTGGTCTAATTTGGGACTGCTCCAACACAAACACGCGAGGCGCCGGTGTGCAGTGGTGCCCGGTGGCGCCGGCCCCGAAGGATGCCCCGCAGGGGCGTCGCTCTGTCTCTGTCGCACTCATGGGGCGTCCCGCAGGAGTGCGAGAGAGACGGAGCGACTCTGCCCGTCGACGGTGGCATGCACTTCCTGCGGCCGCTTGAGTTACATCGACAGGCCACGCGGGACAGGCCAGAGTCAAACGATTCGCATTATAACGGGCAGTGGCAGTACAGTGCTGTGCAGTGCTTTGCACACAGCTCCCCGCAATCTGATCGCGACTCTGCTCGGCTCCGGCGTGGGGCTCGGCCGGCCCGATCCGCAGGCCTGCGCGGCTCGAACCGCGCGCACCGCGACCCCACGCCGGCCAGGCCGGGCCACCAGGCCGGGCCGCCAGCCACAGCGAGCACGACGACAACGCGCCGGCCGAGCACAAGATAGGTGAAAGTGTGACTTACCTGGCGATGGGGCCGCTGAGAGCAAAGCGTGGGGTTGTCCTCTATCCGAGTCGACGACGCGGAGTCCTCAGGGGGTGATGTCCTTGACGGGGAGCAGCAGGGCGCAGCAGGGCGCCCGGGGGCTGACGTTCGTCACAAGAGTCTACTCAAGGGTAAGGAGGCACCCTTGTCGCCGCCGAAGCCGGCCGAAGCGCGCTGTGGTTGCTTTCCCGAACGTGTCACCAGCAGGATTCCCTCGGCGAGGACGTGAACTGGCATACTGGCCCCGTGGCCGGGCTGGACGGGGGGCACGGGGAACGGCGGCCGGCGCGGTGGCGGCCCAGGACGGGGTGGGTGCTGTGCACTGCTGCACTGCTGTGCAGGTCAGGGACCGCCGCTGTCCAGGACAGGGGGCAGCTGCTTCAGGACAAACTTGTCGGCAGGGCCACCGCGACCGTACTGGTCCTGAGGCGGGACGGCCGGGACGGGACGGGGGGCCGCGTCGGTCGGTCAGCTGCTGCAGTGTGTGCTAAAGAGAGGGGATAGCACAGCCCTAGCTTCGCGGCGCGGCGAGGCGGCGGCCAGCTCGCGGAACCAAACGCCCCACACGCCGCCCGGCGCGACGGTGGCGCTCCCTGGCGGCCCCGCGCCGAAGCCCCGCCGGCCCCGCCAGCCAGGGAAGGACTTGACACTTGGTGGTGGCGGCCGCGCCCGCGCCGCCGAGCTCGCAGTCCGAGGGAGGAAACTTCTGGACGCGGAGCGCGGAGCGCAGCGGCGACGCCCGGAAAGTTTTGAGGACGACGGGGATGCTCGTGGAGGGTTGCGCGCGCCGCGCCCTCGGCGGACCACGACGGGGAATGCCCACCCCCTCGGCAGCCAGTCACACCAGTCGTGACTATTTCCTCACTGTGGCAGTCACGCACCATTTACCTGCCCCATCCCCAGGCACGTCACATGACGTCACCTTGCAGCCCCCTCGCGGCACCGGCCGGCCCAGCGATGACGCGGGGGGGTGCTGGTTAAAAATAAAGCCCAATTTTGACCGCGTCAGAGAGATAGAGAGCGAGGACGGAAGCGCCTAAACAGAGAACCTACGGGAATAGAAAACTCGCGCCTGTCGGTTGCGCGAACTTGGCAGCGCGGCTGTCAATGAGTGGCTGCCCAGCGCCAGTCGGGCCGGACCTGTGCAGGGCAGCCCGGGCCTAGGGCATGCCTAGGGAAGTGCTTTAGACAAAACACGGCCATTGCCATTTCCGGCGACTGGCGCGGCGGCTTCCGTCCTTCCACCGGCTTGGCAGAGGTCTTGCGACACATCACGCCCGCAAAAGGCGTTGGCCCTACACCTCAAGGAGTTTCCGGGAACGAACCGACCCACCCTCAGCCCCCAGTCCACGCCGGCCACGCCAGCCACGCCACTGTCGGATGACAACAACGTGAATCACTGGTCGGCGTCCGGGCGGAGCGGGCCTTTCGACTACTCGGTTGCTTGGTTCAACGTGCCGCGGTCATGCTTTAATCATGCTCCCCGTGTCGTGGAGTCGCGAGCGTGTCCGTTCCCACGTACCGGGCCCGGCAGGCCCCGCGACGCACAGTGGGCCAGAAGACCGGTCGAGGCGGCCAAAACTCTAGACGCGTTTTGAGCTCCAGAGTCGCTAAACAGGACTCAAATCGAAGGTGTGACCCCATCAATCGATTCCTCGTTCGGAGAGCAATCCATTGGTGGGGTCACACGTTCGGTTCGAGCCCCATTAAGCGACTCTGGTGGTCAAAACGCGTCTAGAGTTTTGGCCACCTCCACCGGTCTTCTAGCCCACTGTGCGACGCCGCCTGCCTTGCGGCCAAGAGGCTGCTTCCCAGAGCTTTCGACGCTCTTTCTCTCTCGCACTCGCGGCGCGTTCCGTGGGGCGTTCCGTAGGGGCTGCGAGGAGGCAGAGCCTCGGGCAGAGCGCCACTATTCGGAATCAGCTCTTCCCTGCTGCATTGTTTAGTATTGATCTCGGCCAGGGTGGCCAGGGCCAGGGCCAGGGCGGGCATCGCGACGACGGCGGCACGGCTTCGAATTAGAGGCTTATTGGCCGTCCGCCCCGCGCCGCCCCGCGCCGCCGCCACTCGATTGAGCCAATGCACATCAATAATAACGCGGCGGCCACTCCACCCGGCGGGGCGGCGGGCTCGAAGGTTAGGACGGGGTGTATTTCGAGGGGACAGACTGCGGTAGGCAGCGCGCCACGCACGCGTGCGTTGGGTTGCATCTTCACGGCGCTCCACCCCAGTGGCTCCAGTGGCGAAGTTCCCTCGCACCCCGTGAGTGCGAGAGAGACAGAGCGACGAACGCACTGTTCGGAATCGGCTGTCGGGCGAGAGGGTGCGCGGCGCCTTCAGAGGCGCGGGCGGCGCTGGCGGTCCGCAGGCCACTCGGCGCGAGGCGGAGCCCTGCGGAGCGTCGTCGGGAAGGAGCCTCGGTGCCTCGGGCCTAACGGTCGTGATCGGCTGTCGCGCACGCGGGCAGGCCCGGGGCCTACCAGGGCCTCCGCGTACCCGCGGGCTCCTCGCCACTCGGGGGGGGTATCGCCTGTCTCTCGCACAGGGAGGCGGCAGGCCTTCCCACAGTGCGCGGAATCACTCTCTGGTCGGGGCGCTGGCGACGCAGGCGACGCCCGTCTCGCTGCCGATGACGGCATTGGCGCGGGCTGGGGCGGCCCAGGGCGGCCGAGGGTGCGAGGGGAGCCGGCGAAGCGAAGGGAGAGGGGGCGCCCGCCGCACGCCGCCGTCGTGGCTATTTCCACCGCGGACGGCTCGGCGTGGACGTCGACGCCGTGCTCGAGCTCCAGATGAAACCGGATGGCCCCCGCCACGGTGCTGGACGGCCGGCCGGCCGGCCAACCGCACGCCATGGGGTACTGCATGGGGTAGGGCAGGGCGCCGATAATTGGCAAGGCCCTTCTTCTCCGCTCGGACCGACGCGGCGCGGGCGACGCGGGCGACGCCGTGCGGGCCATGCGCCCCGCCGCCATGGGCTGGCCGGCCAAGAGCAAAGGCAGCCAAAGCTCGAAATAGCATTGCCATATGGGACCGAGCGGCGAGCGGCGCGGTCCTCTGTGGCCAGCAGGCCAGCCACGAGACGACGAGACGCGACGGCGCCCGACCAGGCCGAAAAATAAATATTCTGCGAGAGAAGAAAAAAAAATTAAAAACAAACATGGAGAAGCAGAAAATGGTAGACCTAGCCTGGAGGCGGCATTCGAACCAGTGTCCTGGTGCGGCGAGCTCTTGCATCCAAGTCCCTTGTGCTGGTGCTGCAGAGCAGAGGGATGGTCGGCGCTTGCTGCTTGCTGCTTGCGCGCTTGGTGGATTGGGTCGAGGCCACAGTCGCCCCTCACCCTCACACCTCCCGCACGCTACCGCACGCTACCGCAGGCTACCGCAGGCTTGCCCGCAGGAGTGGAGGAAGAAACGAAGGCAACTCGGAAGTATGTTTGGATGTTGACATTTATTACCACGAACAGATAGAGCACTACTCGCAGCGTCGGAGGGAGATAGAGAGTGGTTTTAAGTAGAACGGTTACAAACAGCGTCATTGCTACTATCTAACACAAATCATTCTGAACATTGATACTTGCTACCGGAGTCCTGGACACTGAACGAGAATGCACCCGATAGACGCGTCCGCGGTGCCAGGCCGCTTTAATCATACGCAACGGACGAGTACCTCGATGCCTTACAGTGCCTTACAGCTCACAGGGGACACACACATTTAAGACAGTCCCTTCCCTCCACAACACAAACACACAAGATTCCTGCAGAATGGCACTAGTCAGCAAACTTTGCTGTCTCACTAATTAATTAATAATAAATAGGAACACAAAATACCACATCACCAATGCTCCCAAATGATGATGTAAAAGATATTGCTATTCAAGCGCCGGTATTATATTTGACTCTTAAGACTCAAAAAAAAGTGAAGAGAAAAATATCACTAAGCTTACTTCAAAACAAAAAAAAAAGCCATCCAAAAATTTGTTTCCTTGAAACAAATCGAAACTTTGATCAATACTCTTGACTCAATAATCAATATACCCTGTTTTATCTACTAAAATGATAAAATTAAAATATCCTGATTGTATACAGCTTCAGCGAACACATTGCATGACATGTGTTCCACTAAAAAAAAAAAAAGATGTACCTTAAGAACACTATCACCTGTAAAAATATATAATATATCCTGAATATATTGTGATTCTGTCCAGCCCTGTTATACCCTATCAAAAATTAAAGATACAACAGTACTGTCATTTTATGTGCAGCTGAAATAATAAATAAGACTACAAAAACAACGTGGCTTCAAAAACAAAGACACTAATGCATGATCTTAATAGCCGAAATCAGTCAGATTCAAATAATAAAGCCTTATTAAGAATGAGATACACTGTGCTTCATTTCAAAGAGACCCTTGAGAGGAAAAATTAAGTTGCAAGTTTACAATTTCAGGCAGTACTGTCCTAGTTTCATAAGTCATCAAGACACAGTTCTTTATAATGTTAGAGAACAAAGAAATTACTGCTGGGGCAACCAGCACAAAAGTGAACTTTCAGCCAGTATACATAGTAGAAGAAACATTCCATTTTATCACAGCTAATCACAGCTAGAGAGTCATTATGGTTCAATGATAGAAGAACTCTCGGCAAGACAGTTGCAGCCACAACCAGTGGGACATCGAGTCTCCTTTCTGAACCATGCTTGCATGTGCAATGTGTGGCCCCCATGACCACAAAAGAGACACACATTAGAGGGTCCTGGTAAAAACAAACAAAAAATTTGTTAGAGTGTAAATTGTAGGCAGCGCCAGCAAGATCCAGGAATTTACTTACCCCTAACTGATATGTGGCAAATTACACATTGTAGACTTAAACGCTTGCATTCACCACAAGTGGCTGAGTTGTTTTGGCCAGAGCAACATACTGTAACAAACTCAACTCCTCGATGGACCTCAGGAGTAGCAGACATGTATTTCATTACCTGAAATCCACAGATAATGAATATTTCATCTAAGTAACCCAGTATAGAAAAGGAAAAAAGTACAAACACATTACCTTTGCTCGTGCACCCAAGAGACCCCACCTATGCAATACATCAGCATATATTCTCTTGTATTCATCATACAACCATGTTTTCTTCTCATCCAACATTCTGAAAAGTGTAAACAGACATATTTTAATTTTAGTTGACAATTTTCCAATTTTCAAGGTCTTGAGTTATGTACTGTTTTTATTACCCCTTCTCATTTGAATTTGTGAACAGGTTCAACGAAGATCCACCATAGCCAACTTCTCGCACTTCATTCACTTTCAAACCTTCAAGTGAATCTGACCAGGAATTGGATCGGTTTTGTTTCAACAATGGGTAATTCCATCCCTCAAGGCTGGTATCCAGGGGATGAATTGTGTGATAAGGTGAACCGCCAGGCTGAAATACAAAGGTGATATGTGAAAAAAAAACTTTACACAAAAGATGAAAATTAAAAGTAAATATGCTGGCTGGCTCAAGGCCATTTGAAATCTGCTTCAATCAGTAAAACCAACAACATGTATGGCTAAAACAAAAAAAAAAAAAAAAAAAAAAAAAAAAAAAAAAAAACATTAAAAATAAATTTACCCTAGAGGAGAAAAGCAAATTTACTGGTTACACAAGTTAAGGTTACAAGAAAAAGAAAATTATCTACAGATCATGAAAACAGGAAGCAGTGAAGCCACACAACCACATAAAAAGAATGTTTATCAACTGGCAACAGATAAACTTGATTCACTGACAAAGAATGTTAGCACCAAAACTTGCAAAAAGAAAACATGCAAGAACAGGGAGTGGGAAGGAAATTCATGCAACAACCAATTACCACCACACTGACATGCACAATTGACAACATCACAAAAATAATACCAAAAAAAAAAAAACAACTAAATCTTTATTATAAGTACAGCCTTTCAAAAACCAAACAGCACAAGTCTTTTCAAAAGATCTTAACATTAGCAAATACATACTAAAGACACTGATGTAACTTGAAACAAGAAAGCTACTAACAGCTACAAAACATAATTTCAAGAAGAATGCATGGTCAGTAAAAGTCATAAAACCCCAACAAGTTCATTCATCATTCACTCAGCAAACAGCATACACACTACAGCCATTAAGAAAAAAATCTCTATGGAGCAAATTACTACTTTTTATTTAATGGAAAAGAAACCCAGAAAATTCTACAAATCAAAACACCACTACTTAACACAAAGTCTTAATGATGCCATGTTACTTGTTTTTATGCTTCAAAAGGAACAAATCCACAATCAAGCTATTATTACATTGCACTGACCACAGTCACAAGTCACAATTTAAAAAATCAACTTAGTTTTTTCTCCTATACTTTACCTTGCTCCACCACTTTCCTGAAGGAAGACGCTAAAACAAAAAATACAAAGTCTAAATCATATTTGTTTCAACTTGACAGCTTTGTTCAGCTCTGCAACACTTATCAGGAGTAACACGATAAAATGCGATAACACTTAAATTCAAGTGAGGCTACTGATATTAAACAACAACAAAAACTACACACTGCTATACTTACTGGGATATGCAAACTTAATTACTTAATTAAAATTGATGGTTCAGATGTCTTCACAAATTCAAATAGTACTGTATAAGCTTGTCATGGTTACCCGAAGGTTAACCTTTGAGTGTTATTACTGGACAAATATCCATGCAATTCCGTAGCATAGGTTTAAAAGCATTATTAACCATAATTTAACAACCACCAACTGACTTACAGTATGTTTCAAGTGAAACTGCTCAAGAATATGAGACCCAACACCTAAAGTTAATTTCTTTCAGCCTGCCACAGCAGTGATAAAAAAGCAAGTTGCTTTGATACAATAGGTTGGATGAGATAATCAAATTCAAAACTTATAAGGTTTGTTGACTCCATGAACTTTTCAAGTCAGAGAAATGGGAAAATGTTCAGGTCTGAACAGAAAAAAAAATTAAAACTCAAAGCACTAATACTTCGGAAAATAAAAATCAACCAAAACATAGAGATTTGAGAAAAAAGAATAAAAAAAGACAACATCCACAACACTTGGTGCAAAGCTTTTCTGTGCATGCAATCTAGCTCAAAGTGCAATTCAACACAAACACAAAACAATGCAAACCGCAATGGTATGTGACCTTACTTAGAAGATAACTTGTATTGAAACTCATTTAGACTTTTCACAAATAAGAGTTCACTTACAAAACAAAATGAATGTACATCTTTAAATCAAAACCATAACAATCATAATTGTAAGAGATTTTAAGTTATGATTTTTTTTTTTGGCAAGAGGATGAATAATGTGTAATTTCTGTTCTGTCAATGAATGTACAGATGTGTAAATGAGGTTAAAAAGCTTAGGCAAGACTTGAGCAGGCAGAATACTCGTTCACTTACACTGACGTTGACAGCCTTGCATAGGGTGGACTTAAAGCGATTCATGTCCTGATGATCTGGGCGTGGACTAAATATACAACAGAGCATGGCAGCCATTTGTATATCTGATTGATGTGCAAAATGGGCAATCCTGAAAAAGAAAAAGAAACCATTAGCCTATGATGAGCATACTATAAGACATGACAGAAATATAAAAATTACACTGATGCATACATAGATTCAATGAGGCTGCGTCCAAATGGATGATTTGTCCAGGGAACCCCATCATCAGGATCAGCCTCTGGATTAGATGCAACGAGTGAAGCTGTTGTCCATGCTTGAACTAAGTCACGACGGTTCACACTAGCAGCAACTGCAGCATTACGTTGACAACTATTTACGATGTCATGACTGTTTATACTGTATCAAATCCAAACACAAAAAGGAATGTAATAACCAGTAAAGGAAAAGTGTGTAGTGTGCAATTGGAAAGACTTTGACTTACACATATTTTTCTCCTAGTTCACGATGAAGAAGGAAAAGTGGAGAAGCATCATAAATTAACACCGCTGCTCTTGTTATGCGTGTTGGAGTCAAGCGACCTACAAGTCCCCTGGAATTGGTGTGAAGGCCCCGCGGCCTTACTCGAGAAACTTGACCCTACAAAATTTACCCGTTATACACTATTGCAAAATTATAACTCCGAACAGAAGCTTATTATTTTTGATACCACTTACTCTTTCTTGATAATAATATGAAGACACAGAGGTATAGTTATGAGTCGGAGTTCCGGGTGTCCACGCGCCGCCCAAGGCAGAGAGTGATCTGGGAGTCCACATTTCTGAATGGAGGGGCAATCTTTTTGTTGTTGGACCTCTTCCAAAGCACACTAAGACACCTGCACAGAAAGATTATCTTGCTTTCGAACCAAGCTCCTTAGGAAAATGCATAGATGTGTTTGTGAATCTCACCAGCACCACAGAACTTGGCCCCTGAGGTGCGGGGGAACGGAATGTTGGCATCCTGAAAGCTACGGTACATGTTATTGGCATCCAAGTATGGCGATGGTTGGGATTGCAGTCGAGGAAAGGTGGCTGTCTTGCTCTCATTATCTTCTGACAAAGATAGCTGGAAAAGAATTTGGGACAGGTTAAAAAAGAAATTGTTTGAAATGTATTTGAAAGAACAGGAATTACCCGTTTCCACTTACTTGTTGAAGAGAGGATACAAGCTGCCGCAAGCAAGGATCAAGGCATGTACGATTCTTACGTACCCGTTGTTGGGCAGTGTGTTTTAAAACCTGGAATCAAAGCCACCAAAAAATACAATGATTTAAAATGTTTAAGCAAAAACCATATCGATGGATTTATTTTAATTTCCTTATTATAATATCAGCTGATGCCAGATGCATTTTAACTTCACAGACCTTCTGTAATTTGGACTTGCTTGCAGGATTCAACGAAGTTCCTTGCAAGAATTGGAAAGTTGGAGGAGTCGTGTAGGGATAAGTTGGAGGGAAAGAAATCTGAAGAACAGCAACATGTCCATTTGCAGACACAGTGACTGTGCACACTCGTTTGACCGGGTCCATCTATTTAGAGAGACAAAAATGAATAAATTGGCTCCCTCAATCGTGGAGAGGAAACCCCACAAGAGACAGAAAACTCACCATGTCGACATCAACATTAGTAATGTTCAAGTTTATGTGGGAAAACTCCTGCTGCAACGACTTGGGCTGTGTTGGAGACCGCACCGATGAGATTCTCTCTTCCCCGCCACTGTCCCCCACGCTGCCGCCTCGGGTCACGCTGCCGTTGCTGAGGCTGCTGCTGCCTCCCCTGCCGCCGCCGCCACCGCCACCGCCCACACCGCCAAGGATGCTGCCACCTTGGCTGTCGTCCGTGGTCTCCGACGTGCCGTCCAGCGACAGAGACAACGAGTTTCGCCCACTGGCGGACAGCATCTCGGAGAGCACTGAGGCATTGTCCAGAGTGAGTTGCTGGAGGTTCTGGGGCATGGAGTGGTCATTATCTGCAGCACAAAGACAAATAAACGTACCACAAGTTCAATGATAAGGAGTGCATACATAGAAATAAGCATGTGCCAACCGCGCCTCACAGTTCAACATAATCATAAGACTTCTATCGGTAACATAAATCTGAAATCATCTGAGGTGGGATCATCACTTACATCGATGCCGCTGGTAGTCACTGAGAGAGGACTCATGAGCATTCTGAGGAAGGTCATCGATGAGATCTTGAGGATCCAACACATGATCTATGTCTGGTTCATGACCACACAGCTAGTGATAGATACAATAAATTCAGTTAAAACAATTCCACTTTATGACAGGGCAGAGGCAAAACTTGATTACCCTACCTTTTGAAGAAATGGTTCTATTCTCCATATTCTTAAACTTTGATCTCGAGACCAAGTGATTAGTTCAAAATCAGAAGAGTCTAAAGAAATTTGAAATGGAACCGTTTATAAAATACACCAATAATATATACCTTACTAACAAAAGAATTTACAGAATTTACCTTGATTCACACGGCGCCATTCAAATTCAAGAACAACATCAGTATGACCTACAAAAGTGTGGACAGGTGCCGCTTGATTGTTGATATTCCACAGCAATAAGCTATTTTCTCCCCTCCGCAATTGAGGAACTACAACTGTAACAAGGCCTTCACCAAATGGCTGCCAACAAAAAAAAACAGAAGTCATGAGCAAATAAGAAAATCTTTTTCGCTCAGATTCAACAACTTAAAAGGAGAATTTTTGCTTACAGTGTATCTTGCACGCCATACAGGCATACTGGTTGTCAGAACTCCTTCAGCTTTGCGAGGGTTAGTGATGTCAAATAGCTTTACAGTTCCATCTTGACTAGATGTTGCCAATTGGTCTTCATGAAGTGGACTCCAATCTAATCCATGAATCTGAAAATCAAACAGTATGCAATTAAGCTTAGGAAAAACAAAAACAAAGAAAATCGATCAAGATGATAGGCAAAATTACTTTGGCGAGGTGGGCTGAAATATACACAACTGGCGCAGTCCCTTTCCGTTGGTCCCATAGCTTAATGTCTCCATCATGTGCAGTGGCTAACAGGAAACTTGAAAGACGATTCCAGCGAACTTGTGTGGATCCAGCTAAAGAACCACAGATAGTTATTTATAATTGTGTAATGTTATCAAGAGACAAGAAAGGTTCTTCTGATCACACTTACCGACAGCACTAAGTGATTGTGATGGACGCCTAGTGTCTCTCATGTCCCAAACATGAATGAAAGTGTCTATGGAACATGATGCCAACAAGTTGGGATCAAATCTATGCCAGTTTACGTCACTTACAACACGAGTATGAGACTTTAAAGAATGCCGCTGTTCCAAGTCCCCATTGGCCCAAGATAAAACCTCAACACGCTGGTTGCTCTGAAATCAAAACCAAAAACCTTAATGAATGCTCATTATAGCCGTAAGATCAAAAATTCTTTCACATGAATCAAAAGAACACTTACAGAGAGAGCGCAAAGCTCTTTGTGTGAAGGATTTGGATTCCACTCCGCTGCCCCAACTTCATACTTGCTCTGTCGTGGCACTTTGTGAAGGCGATCTGATTGTTCATTTAAATTTTTGATTGCAAGGTATCTGCGGCTGTAATTGAATAAATAAAGCAAGGTTTAATCACAAAAATTCTAGCAGCATTGGTTAATGATTGAATGAAGGAATGAATGAATGAGAATTAACTCCAGCCTTACCCAGCCAAGAGGACATAATTTCCTGTGTAGTCCACTGCCATAGCATTTGCCTTCAAAACAAGAAAATCACAGGATTGATAGAGGGAGGTGTCACGCGATGAACAAGACGGAACACAAAAACAGAGTAATAAATAAGAAATAAAACTGACAAGCAAAATGGTACACCAACACAAAAGAGAAAACAACAGGAAAATGTTATATGAGGAACATGACATCATTTTTTACCTGCAGATCCCGATGTTCTGCCACGATATATTCGCTGCTCCATCTTGTTGCCATTTCAAATGACTTTATAAAACTAAAAAATATAGCCGACTTGGAAACCTTTGCATTTACATAACCTCTACGTGGCTAATTATACCTTACGGCTTATAACTGATACAATGTATAGGGGGGCCCATCATGGCAGACGAAAAGTGTCTTGATACACAGAGCAGTCACAACTCCTTGGAATATTTTGGGGCGGCACCAAAATGTAAATGTCCGGATGGACAGAAAAATACAGCCGTCAAGTCAACATTGTTTTCGAAATTCTCTATTTGAGCATCAAGAAATTTCTCATACATCCGCGTCAAAGATTATGAGAAGATTGACGTGACGAAGACCAACCCCTCCTCTTACCCCCTCACTCACCCCTTCCCCATGCCCCTCCCCCATTCTCTTGTTGTTGTTGGTTGTTGTTGTTGTTGGTGACGTTCGAGTTTGCGTTGGTTAGGACCTTACAGTGAAACTCTGTGACTCATTCATTCATTCTCAATTCAGTACGCCCGTGCGGTCTGAGAGTGTCGCAGACAACCGTAGGAAATTGAATCCCTGTCATCCATTTCCTCGTAAGCTGTAAGAGAAGAACCACATTCAAGATGAAGGCTAAAATGGCATTTCAACATCAAGCGGGGACGGCCATGGAGTGTCTAAGTGTAAGTTACGTTTTCTTCAAAATAAACCATTGGGGCGTTTCTCATGGGCTTGGTTGAAGACTTGAAAGTAACAGCGTTTCTGTGACGTTCATCTTTTCTCTTTACATGCTCTGAGTGAATCGGAATTAATTTTAATGTCAGATGGCAAACTAGGTTAGTAGTCAATCAGGTTTCACTGTACTCATTCACTCATTACAAAACTTCTTTCTTATTTTCAGATTCCTATAACACTTCACAAGGAAACTGTGATGGATGACATGGGCCGAGAAGTGCTCAAGTGTGGATTTAAAATTGGCGGTGGCATTGATCAAGATTTCCGCAAAAGTCCCCAAGGCTATACAGACAATGTGAGATACTCCTCAAATTTTTATGGATGACTGTAAAAGATCTCCAACGCAGACCTAAGACTGATGACACCTTTTGTTTCAATTCATTTTTAAAATTTGATTTTGCAGGGTATTTATGTGACAGAGGTTCATGATGGCAGCCCTGCGGCCAAAGCTGGACTTCGTATGCATGACAAAATATTACAGGTACGACATTGGTTGTGAGATGAAATAACTAAATCACAATTCGAAAAGGAGAAACCTTGTTATTTGTTCCTCTTTCTTATTTTTTGATTTGTTTTGCAGTGTAATGGATATGACTTTACGATGGTGACCCACAAGAAAGCAGTTGACTACATCAAGAAACACCCCATACTAAATTTGTTGGTTGCGCGGAAGGGGGTGACATCAACATAAAAGACCAACTGTGAATTACTTATTTTTTGTACCTGTTTAAGTATTTTATGCGTAGTCTTTCCAGAAAAAACTTTTCAATCTAATATATTTAGGCTTGCTAGAAGTTACTTAGTCTTGTATTCCAAGATCAGCAGTATATTAATGTGTGATGAATTAGAATTGTTAGCTTTTCTCATGTATTTCTTTTTGTAATGGTGTCAAAAATAGGGAGCAGGTACTTTGATTCCTAATAGAAAGACAATTATTTAATGCTGTATCTATGCTCTTAAGAATTTAGGTCACATATTAAATTTGTAATTTTTTTGTGTGGGCCACAATTTAAAAACTTCTAATTTCTCATGCAATCTGAAATTTCTCTATTCAATCCTTAAGACCTAAATGTCGAAAGTATGAGTATGGTAATGAAAAAATGCGAAGATGCAAATGTCTTGTTTTGGCCCACTTCGAAATGATATTGAAACATTTGAAAGTTCCAGAATTATGTAATTAAAGTACTGTTGTAGAGAATTTTAATGTGATATGGATTGGGTGTAGTGTATGATATCCTGATATATTCCTTGGAAGACATATATTTTATTTCCTAGGCATTGTTTTCAAATTTGTAAATTTAGTTAAGGCGCTGATTGTCATATTGAGATTTATTGCAAGAAGTTTTTCTAACAAAATTGTGGGAGGCATTTTGTTCTCAAGAAACTTTGTGTATCCAAATAATATTGCATAGTAAAATGGAGGTGATTATGTTGGAAACTGCTACTTAATTCAAGTTGAATTGTATTCCTGAAGCAACCAAAGATATCAGTCCCAAATAAACTGTCACTCGATTGTACAATTCCGTTGTAATATGACCCATGTATTCTTGCTGTTAAATTACACAGTATGTAAAGTGCTATCTAGGTTTTAAGTTTGTGATTTACTGGTTGAATATGTCTATGAAGGTGATTGCTCCAGTTAGTTGTAGCTAGAATTATGTGTGTGTGTGTGTGTGTGTGTCTATATTCCAAACAAAGAAGAATGATTTCCTCTTTATCTCAGATTTATAAGAACTAATTTCAGTCCGGTAAGTGCTTATTTTTCATTTTGGTGCCGTTGGTGTGTATGTGTTTTGGGCTTCAACATAACCTTATATATTACACCATAATATTTATTATTATTCTAAACTTGAAGCTGTTATATGTGCCAAATGCCTTACAACCTTCAGCTTCTGTTAGTGGCACTAATGGGATAGATTTTTTTTAAGCTGTACTTTTTTAGTTGCTTGTAACAAGGAAGGGTTTTCCTCGTTACTTGCGCCTGCAATCAGATGGACTGTACTTTCTCAAATTTCTTACAGTTAGTTGAAAATACGTACTCATTGGACTGACATTCTGTACTTTAAGTATCAAGAAATACAATGCTTTTATTTTGTAGATCAGATTCGTGGAAACGATCTGTAAGTAATTTACCTTTATTCTACATTTTTCTAACTTGACTTTTAAGCACTCAGGTGTGTCTTCTGTGAAAGACAATTGACAATTTACTCGTTTCTTACTTTTATATGAAATTGCTATGCCCATCATAGTCATTTGTTTATGTTAATGTTTGTGCATTTATCCTTAATATTTTTATGTATATGTTAATCCAAATGCAGCATTGTGATTGTAAAGTGCAAAGAAACGGCAACTTTTTTTCTGCACTGCCACTTCTTAACAACTACACTAAGTTTTCCTGTGTCTTTCATTTTGACATTCAGGTCTGGTCATGGAGAATAATGTGTACTGTATCTTATCATGTAATTACATTGAATTTTATTTGGAACCAAATTGATAAATAGAACTCTTGAAAAGCACTTGGTTGGTCCTTGACGCAGTCCCTGTTCCCGCTACTCGTAGTACACCCCGAACACGATGCCCGAGGCCACGATGTGCAGGCCGCTCATGCTGTAGGTGGAGTGGTGGTCCCGCTGCGTGTCCCACAAGTAGCCCACCTCGGCGTGGATGCCCTGGAACAGCTTCTCGTACACCTGCACCACGCACACGACCCTGTACCTGGAAGCCAAAACCGACAGCATGGAGGGAGACAGTACCCACACGTCCGTCCGAATCAGTCGACACGGAGCGGAGGCATCGCCCAGAGTCGAACCGAATGGCCCCTAGCGCAAGTCTGCTGGCCTGCTCGAGCACCTGTCGAAGTTGAGCTCCCGGATGCGGGTGCGCACCTCGGCGGCGACGCTGGCGGCCAGATCGCCGCACTTGTCCGCCTCGTACTCGGCCGCGTCCAGCTTCTCGTGCATCACCTCGCGCAGGCACTGCAGCGCCGACTCCTCCGACCACGGCCTCTTCGGCTCCATGCGGTACGTGTTCTGGAACGAGGGCCGGACCTGCACCAGAAGGGAAACGCCGTTCCAACCAGTGGGCCAGAAAAGCAATTCAGGTGGACGGAGCGCGGGGCGGCGCCACGAACCACGAACCTTGCCGTCGAACGACAACTCCTCGGGCTCCGGCGTGGTGGGCGTCATCGGGCGGGCGGCCGCGATGGCCCCAGCCTGGTGGCGGTGCGGCATGGTGACTTAGAAGGCCCCGCTGAAGGCCGAGCAAGTCACCCGCACCTCGGGCAGCTCGGGGAAGGGCTGGCGGGACGACGCCGTGGTGCCATGGCGAGGCGAGGACGGCAAGTAGGGCGTCGCCTGCACCGGGGTGCGAGCTGGCGCCGAGGCTGGCGCGGCTGCTGAGGCTCCCAATCGACTGGGGTTGAAGGCCGAGCCGAGGCGGGCCTCAGGGAGGCGGGCCGCGGCCCCAGCAGACGTCAAGCAGTCAAGGCCCCGCGGTTGGGGAGGGGGCGGGACTGGCGGGACGGGACGCACACGCCGCGTCGGCGGCCTGATGCAAGGAAAGCCGAAAACCATCCGCTCCGCGCCCCACAAGTTTGATTCCCTACAGCTCAGTCGCTCTGTCACTCTCGCACCTACACATAGGTCAGCCCGTGGGTGGGACAGAACGAAGAACTGGAGGAATCCAGAGCTCAGACTCAGCCTGCAGCCGGCCGTCAGCCCGCGAACGGAGGCGTAGGCAACCCGGCGGGCAGCCGCGCGCGCGCACCCTCCCCGATGCCTACCTCACGGGCGGCGAGGCCAACAGGCCAACTGTCACCGCGTTGCGCAGGCCTTGGCAGGCCTTGCCAGGCCACCCCTCCGAGGCGGGTGCCGCGGTGCCCTACTTCGGGGCGGGGGCGGGGGCGGGCGTGCTGCGCCGCCGTTCCTCTACGCCGCCGTCGCCGCCGCCGAGCTAATAGGGCAAGGTGGTCGCCTTCTCCCCTCATTTCCGGGGCCGCGTTCTCCAGCCAGCCCGCCAGCCGAGCGCCGGAGACGGCCTGGGACTTCCCTTCCGATAACGGCGGCACGGCGGCACCGCGGCACCACCCCGACGACGCGCACGCGTCACGCGACCAGCACGCGCCGCACGCAACGCGACTGCCCCGCCGCGGTGGGGCCGGGGGCGGAGCGGCACAACGAGGTGAAAAGACGCGACCAATCAATCGGAATCACTTCCTTGTTCTGAGTCTCCGAACTGGCGGCAGCGCGGCCGAGCTGCTGGAGGGTCAGCTGAAGCAGGCGTCGAGTCGGCGTGAGTACACAAAAGAGCCTGCGAATGGGTGGGTCACTTGCCAGGTCGTCAACCACCGTCTGTGGCCTGGTGTGTGACGGGGACCCGGGGCCAAGCCCGGGGATGACGGCGCGGCAAACCCAGCCCCAGCCACCGCGCACAGTGGGCCACGAGGGGTCGTCAACTCACATCGCGCGTGTACGAAGTAATACAGTAATATACGTCCTATATTACCGTTTTTAGGCCGATTTTTCATGCTACCTATGCTCCGAGTAGTCTATTTGATAATATTTATGGACTTTAAGCGGTAATATAAGAGTAATATACAAGTAATATAGAGCCTGTGTACGAAGTAATATGCGAGTTGACGACCCCTCGGTGGGCCAGAAGACCGCTGGAGGCGGCCAAAACTCTAGACGTGTTTTGAGCTCCAGAGTCGTTGAACAGGACTCGAACCGAGCGTGTGACGCCACCAATGGATTCCTCGTTCGGAGAGCAATCCATCCATTGGTGGGGTCACACGTTCGGTTCGAGGCCTATTTAGCGACTCTGGAGCTCAAAACGCGTTCAGAGTTTTGGCCGCCTCCACTGGTCCTCTGGCCCACTGTGCCGCGTCGTGCCCCGCGTTCGTTTACCCCGTCTCGCAGAGGGCGCGCGGCTGGTCCTCGCAAAACACAGCAAGGTTTTCACGGTGCGGGACACCTCGGCCGGGCTAAGCCGGGCCAGCAAGTCCATTACAGTATCGATCTATCGCTATCGGAGCACCAATCCGATAGCCGAGGGCCGAGGCGCGAAGTGCCACGCGGACGACAATAAAGCTAGGCGTGCCGCGTGTGGGCGTGTGGCGTGTGGCCGGGCCGCGTGGTCGATCAGATAGGCGTTTGTGTGTCTGCGGGGCCGCGGGGCCGCGGGAGGGCCGCGGGAGGGCCGCGGGGACAACAGATTCAATCATGGGAAAATAAGTGCTCCGGGAAAAGGGGCGCCATCACGCGGCCCGACATCATGACTCAAGTTTCGGGTGTCGGTCGTGTCGGCGGGGCTCTTTGCCACACACGGTACACTGTGTTGCCACAGCCGGCGATCGCTAAACATCCAGCACACCCAGCAAGCTCTTGGTGGGTAGGCAGACCCACTGAAACATCCAGCACACCCAGCAAGCTCTTGGTGGGACCGCATCAGCCCGCAGCCGGGGACAACCACTGAAACATCCAGCACACCCAGCAAGCTCTTGGTGGGTAGGCAGACCCACTGAACATCCAGCACACCCAGCAAGCTCTTGGTGGGTAGGCAGACCCACTGAAACATCCAGCACACCCAGCAAGCTCTTGGTGGGTAGGCAGACCCACTGAAACATCCAGCACACCCAGCAAGCTCTTGGTGGGTAGGCAGACCCACTGAAACATCCAGCACACCCAGCAAGCTCTTGGTGGGTAGGCAGACCCACTGAAACTGCTGCCCACTAAGCCATTGCTGGCGGCCACTACGGCGTCAACCACGATAGGCCTCATCCCATTGGCGCGCAGCGGCTCGCCCGGCGTCCTGGTTGGTCCTGGTTGGTCCAGGGCCCCGCCACTCGCCGGTCGCCGCCACTTGAACCGACCACCAGGCCGCCAGGACGGCGTCGACGCCTCGGCTCGGACCGCGCCGCACCGGACCGCCGGGCCCCACTGCGAGAGCGACGAGAGCGGCGTCGGGTGTCTCACTCGCTCGGACGCAGCCACGGATGCTAATTGGGGGGCGTCGCGACGCCACGGCCTATCTCTCTCGCTGTCTCTCTCGCACCCCCGCGGAACCTCCCGAGAGCGCGAGCGAGACGGAGCGGCCCAAGCCCCGGCCGCCGATTGGACGCGTTAGCTCCAATTGGATCCAGCCCACTGGGGCGCGCCCATGCGGCCCATACGGCCCATACACGTCGATGCACTCGACGGGGTCGAGCAGCGCCCCAGACTCCAGTGGCAGTCCAGTGGACACTGGGCGAACAACTGTCTCAACAGCAGCTGGACGAAACAAAATTTGTAAAACTGTGATGGGCTTGCCAATAAAGGATGTGGTTAATGCCGAGGCAGTCACAGCCCCTGCCTCGATCCCGAAAAATCGACGAGCGAATTTGCAAACAAACACATCAAGATGACTCGCACGGTTCCCGCGCGGTCAAACCACCTGGACGCGTCGATGCGTCACGAGGACTCTCGGTTGATTCCCTCGGATTTCCGCGCTCACCACAGAGACGCCATAATTCGGAAGAGAAAAAACAAAGACAGAGACAACGACGCGTAAAACAGAGTGGAACAACTGCCGAGAGGCCGGTGCTGTGAGAGCGCGTGTCCAGGACGGCTGCTCCCTGCTCCGCGCGGTGCGCGGTGCGTTCATTTAAAAGGTGGCGCCGGCACCGCACGGCGCCAGTCTTGGTTTTGTTCCTCGCGCGCTCCCACGACGACGAGCCATGGCACGCGCGGCTACGGTAAGCGACGAAGCGTCGCGGTGCGATGCCGCCAACTGGAGGAACAGACGAGCTCACTGCGGATTCGACTCAGAGTTGTCAAACTGTTTACCCTCTTTCCGACTCGGCGTTTCCGACCCCCGCCGCGCGTGCAGGTGTTGGTGGTCTGCGCTGCGCTGCTGGCCGTCGCCACCGCCCTGCCTCGGCCGGACCCCCAGGGCTTCAACCCCGACTGCCAGGGCGGCGACTATGACGGTGACTACGATGACGGCGACGGCGGCGGCGGCGGCGGCGGGTACATTGGCAACGGCCTCTACGGCACGGGCGACTCGGGCTACGCACAGGTATGAGGCGCCGCAAGAGCAGCATGCTTGTCTCCCTCGCACTCACGGGGCGTCCCACTGGTGTGCGAGAGAGACAGGACACTGCTACACTGCTCAGCCTGCGGACGCGCGGCCGGGGAAGAGTTCCTCGCTGACACCGCGCCACCCCTTGCCCCTTGTCATTGCAGGGGTACAACGCGTACTCCAGCTACAGCGGCTACGGCGCGGGCACCCAGGGCGGCTACGGCGGCGGCCATGCCGACCCCTCGGGCAGGAGCGCGTCGTCCTTCGGGGTGGGCTTCGGTCGGTAGCTCGGACTTGGACTCGGACTCGGCGAGGAGGCGGGACAAGGCGCCCTAGGGTAAGTCAAGTAGAGTCAGAGGGACCGGCCGTAAAACAGCAAAACAGCTCGAAGCAGCGCCGAAACAGTGTCTCCGTTCATCTATCGACGTCTTCGTTCCCCCACGACCTTATGACGCCCCCCCCCCTTTTCCTGTCGAGCTGCACGTGGCTTCCAGCGGCCCCCTGGGAGAGCGCGGGAATTCCCCCAGTGCGGCGGGGGCGTCCCCGCGGAAGCGGATCTGTGCCCGACTCTCATTCCCCGTCTGTCGGTCTGTCTCTCTCTGCTCAGCCCGGCTAGGCCCGGCCACCGGCGGAGCGAGAGAGACGCGCCACTGGTGCGCCGGCATGATGGATGGGCGAGCGGTCACGACCGGCGGCGGGAGACAAAAAAGTTCCGCCAAGGCAAGCTTAGCAAAGCGGTCTTGCCGTGGACCGGCCGGGGAGGCCGGGCAGAGAGGGGGCAAGAAGGGTGGGGGTGGCTGTGAGGAGTGGGGACTGGCGCGGCGAGGCGGCGCGGCGTGGCGGCGCAGGACGACGACAGACGACGACGACCAACACGACCATGCAGTCCCCTCCGAGCCCGAGCGCGCTGAATGGATGGATGGGTGGCGGGTGGATGGGATGGGATGAGAGGGATCGGATGCAGAGCTAGAAGCGGTAGCAAGACCGCTTAAAAAAGGTTGTCTTTGCCCAATCATCCGCCTAATGGAATCAGAATCAGACGGCCGCGGGGATTTGGTTTGCGGCCGCGGCGCCCTTCAGTGGCCCGTCTCTCTCGCACCTCCACGGTACGCCCCATGAGGGCGAGAGAGACGGAGCGACGGAGCACTGCTCAGAGTGCCGACCCTGGTGACGTCCAGGGTGACGTCTATGGCTTTCGTGGGAGCGGCTCTCGCGGAAAATTTTTGACTTCTAATTGAGTGTTTACTTTGGCTAGTAGAAAACAGCGCGAGAGGAAACTGGTCCGGGAGTCACCAGGCTTGTCAGTCTGTCCGAGCACTGCGGTCAGTGAGGATGGCACCCACTCTCGTAAGTCTAGTTGGAGCACGGGACGAAACGCAATTTGTTGTGTTTGTTTTTGTCGCTGTTGTCGTTGACGTTAGCTTTGCTGATAATCCAAACACCGTAAAATGTAAAAGTCGTGGAGAATTTGGAGATTCTGGTCTCGCGAAATTCGGTCAAATGCGTCAGTTGTGACTCTGCAGAAGAGCCACTTTGGGTCCTGCAATCCGACTTTCAAAGCACTTGAGGACGTAAACGTTGATTTTAAAAACAATTCTGCGCCGTGTTTGAAGGTGAAGATGCTCCGCCGCCTGCTCGTGGTGGTGCTGTTCGTGCTCGTGATGTACCTCACCGTGACCGACGCCAAGGGCGGCTACAGGGGCGGCTACAGGGGCGGCTACAGGGGCGGCTACGGCGGCTACGGCGGCTATGGCGGCTACAGACCGCGCTACGGAGGCGGCTATGGCTACGGCTACAAGTACAAGTACAAGGGCTAGCCGGCTAGTCCGCCGCTGCTCTGACGACCACCTGTCTTCTGCCATCGAATTCTTCTTTGTTTTGCGTGGGCGTGCAATCGAAATAATAAACATGCTTTGAAACGTTTTGACTGAGTTCAGTGCCTCCCCTCCTTTCCTCCTGGATCCGCGTCTGAACCCGGTCCCAGTGACGTCCCCGCTCTATCGATGACGTTCGCTCCAGAGTGACGTCTCCTGCTTTTGCGGAGCGTCGCTCGTGGAAAATTTTGTCTTGTAATTGCGGTCGTTAGTTGGGTGGTAAAAAACGGCGCGAGAGGGACAGGCGCCGGAAAAATGAACTGGCCCGGGAGTCATATATGGGGATTATTCTGTCCGAGCACTTCGTCCAGAGAGGAAGTCTGTCCGGTCAGGGAGGATGGCGGCACCCAGTATGGTAAGTCTGGTTGAAGCACGGCCGTGCCGGGACGGACGGACCTAAGGAATTTTGTGATTATTATTGTTGTGACTGCACCACCACTGTGAGGTCTAGGAATAAGCTCAGATGTGCATTTTGGTCTCCTTTCTGGAACTTTGAAGGTGCTGCGCAGCGTGCTGCTGCTGTTCGTGGTCGTGATGATCATCACCGCGGCCGTCGGCGCCGGAAGGGGCGGTGGCGGCGGCGGCAGAGGCGGCTTTGGCGGCGTTAGGGGCGGCTCGCTTGGCGGCAAGGGTGGGTCCAGACTGTCCAGACCACGATTCAGTGGCGCTTACATCCCCTACGACTACAGGTCCAAGAAAAAGGGCTAAGCTAGCTAGCCAGCCGCGAGCTCTGGAATTGCTTTCGACTACGTCGTCGTGTTCGAGTCCTTGGGTGTTGAACGTGGACGCGTTTTTATGGTAATAAACGTGCTTTGTCGCCCTGAAACGTTTCGTTAAAGTCCATTTCGGGCGTTTTTCCCTTGTGAAAAATAAAGAATAGAGATTGGAGTTTCAATATTTATTAACATACGATTTTCGTATTTTGCACATAATAATACTCTTCTTGTGGACAAAAAATTAACAATCAAGGTTCGACACTCAGCCTGAAGCGAAGACTAGACTAATACATATTCAAAAATATGGCATGACTACAACCAAGGACGGTCCACTCTGAAATTGTTTTTAAAAAATATCAACATTTTTTGCGAGATGTGAAATTTCATGATTATTGGATCCCGAGAACGTCATTATAAAGCTTTTCTGGTCGAGTTTCAGTGGTTTACTTTCTATGGCAACATCTACACACACATTAAGAAACCGCGTATAGTGAAAGCCTATAATAATATAAGAAGGATCTGCCATTTTAATAAACGTGGCAGCTATTGGCAGTAGTACATCACACAGCGACCAACAAAAGAAATGAACACAGCTGCTCTACAAAGTAAGCTGTACCCGAATGCGCCCGGTGTCGGATGCATACAGGATCCCTGGCAGACTTTTATGTCAAACAAGCAGAAACACTTGTGCTTATTTTTGTGGCGTTGTTGCACAAAGAAAGGTTTTTGATATGCAAACGAATTATTTCCCTCCACGCTTCAAAGCAAAGACAGACAACGTAAAAATATATAGACTTTTTCCTTTATCTAGGCTTTGTATGGAACGCTCCTTCCAGATCTCTCACATTAAGTACACATCTTAATTTTAAATTCATTAAAATACGAACTTTTTAACGTTGGGTCCCTTTGATAGTTAAGACGACAAGAAGCCGATGTGGCTAGAGGGTGTTCGGGGTGGGCTTTTGGTGACTGTACTTACTCGTCCCGGAGGGGACTCGCAGCGACTTGCAGACTCCACCGAACACGTAACGGCAGGGAGTGCCAACTTTACAAAACTTAACACAAAAGGTAATCGTTTCCTCATTTGATTTATTCATTTAAAATTTAGAAGTTTTGTTCAGTTGGCACTCCTTGCACAAGAGATGAGACTACTCTATTTACGTGGTAAAATGCGTCAATGTCTTAGCCTAAAGTAATGCTACTTAACAACTAGCCCTCGCCGCGGACTCGAGGAAAAACTAACATAAAATTACTATCACGTCTGGCAGAATAAAATGATTCCTAGGCGCCTCGCACGGGCTGCCTCTAAGTACGTCTTTTCGACACCGACCGGCGTGTCTACATAGGGTTCGCCTCTTGGAACTCTTACTCACATAAATCAAAACAATCGAGCGAAGCTTGTGCCTGACAAAATTCCGCTCACCTCCTCGCGCGCCCTCATAGAAAACGGTCACGGCAACATTAGCGCGTCAGTACAAAATTGGTGTGTTTCTCGTCAGAAAACGACGACTCTCTCCAACTAGATCGCCCCAGCCAGAAAATTTCCCGCCCAGCCCAGTTGGGTCAGATAATGCGTGGAATCGATGAAAATATGTCCCTAGAAGTTTCCAGCGTAGAGAGGATAAGATCGTCGCGCCTGACCGACAGGCCGGACAGGCCGGACAGGCCGGACTCGACGGAGACGCTTCTGGCTGGGGTCTCGGCAGTGGCGCCACGCCGCCACGCCGCCGCGGGGAATGCTTGGCTGCAGCGCTGCTCTAGTCGATCATGAGCTCGAAGTGCACGGAGCCTTCCCGCAGCGTGTTGTGGCGGCGGTAGTTGATGTTCTTGGCCCACGCGCGGCACTCGACGTTGATCAGGACTTTGGCTGCAACAAAGTCGCCGAGGTCAGTGTGAGAGGCATTTCAAAGCTCCGTCCATCTTGCTCCTCATGAGACAGAGGCTGTTACGTGATAATGTTGACGGGCGAGGTACTTACGCGTGGGGCGCACCAGGTAGATGGCCACGACGGGGCTGAGGTAGCCCTCCTGGTTCTCGTAGGGGAAGTAGTAGCCGGGGATGCCCATCGTGGGGTACATCTGGATCTTGCCGATGTTCTCCTTGTCCGCCGAGTTCTCTCCCTCGCAGGACACCCACACCGTGTTGCGCTGCAAGGAGACGGCCAGGCGGCCGGGTTAGTCGTGAGGGGTCGCAATCGGCGTTCTGACTCTCTCGCACCCCGATTGAACCCCCACGAGTGAGAGAGAGCCACAGCGATGAAAGCAGTGGTCGGCAGACGCGTGGAGGCGCGTGGCGGACACGTCCCCGTCAGCGTACCTCCTTCGGCGGGCGGGTTTGGATGAAGGTCTTGAGGTTGTCGGGCATTTCCGCGGGGAGGTCGTTGGTGTCGTTGTAGTACTCGGGAACCCAGCCGTAGATCTGTGCGACAGAAGCGTATCATAAAGCAGCCGCCCTCTGGGGTTTGCAGTCACCTGGAAAGCCACGAGACGAACCTTGTTGAGCTTGACGAAGACGCAGGGCGACGACCGGCTGTAGCCGTAGGAGGTGGCTCCCTGGCACATGCCCCAGTTGTCCATGTTCATAGCGCACACCTTGCCCTTGGGGGCGGGGTTGCTGGCGTCGCACTGCACCTGGTTACGGCCGCCGCCTGGCAGCGAAGACTGGTTCTTGTACGCTGTAACAAGGCGGAGGCGAGAATGAGGAGCCTGGCGGAGCCTGGTCCATTCGGGGTTCATTCATTTCATTCATTTCGTTGCTTTCATTCGCTCGTCTGTTTGGAACCCCGCCTGATGCGTTATTCATCGGCGAGGCCTTGACGACGGCCTCCTGTCAGCAGCGCCGAGCCGCGTGGTCGCATCCACCCCCTACACTATCACATTTCCATGACGCGCCACCCCCGCCCCGGCGGCGGCCCGGCGGCGGCCGGGCCGCGATTCCGGACAGTTGTTTCGTCGCGCTGTCTCTCTCGCACCCTCTCGGGAAGTCTCACGAGTGCGACAGAGCGACGAACGACTCTTCGGGATCAGCGTGCAGGGTGGCTTCACAACCCCCACCGGGACACCACCGCGCCGGGCCACCACAGGGCACGGCCCTCGAGCCTCGCGCGCAGGGCTCAGCAACGGGGCTAAACCGGGGCCCGCACGGGGTCAAGGCGACCGTGCGCCTGGACTCGAGCACGGCCCAGTGCACTGGCATGCCGGGACGGCCGAGGAAGCTCGTCCGAGTGACGAGTGTGACGTAACCACGTAACGGAAGGGGTGGTTCACGCCACCGTGTTCTCGTCGACGTCACGAACGAACGGCAGCCCTCGCGGCGGACCTGCCGCCCGGCCGGTGCTGCCGCCACGCCGGCCGGTGCCGGCTGATGGTGCATGCCGCGTAGGCCGGCCGGTAGGCCGGTAGGCACAGCCAGCCATGCGTTCGCGGCGTGCAGGCCGGCGGGGCGGGCGGCGCGGGGAGTCTCGGTATTTTCCAGTTCAGTCCGGTTGGCCGTGTGGGGCGTGGCGGGGCGCGGAGGTGGCGCGGCGGGGCGGGGTGGGCGCGGAGGGGCGCCGCGCTCCTTTGCCCTGAACCTATCGACTGGCCAGCCCGGCCGGCCCGGCCAGCCGCACGGCTCAGCTGGGGGCCGCCGGCGTCCCTAGCAACGTCCGCGGCAACGCGGGGCGGCGCCGCGGACGCCGGCTGGGCCCGCCACCCTCGCCCTCACTTACGTTTCAGGAAGTCTTCGATGCGGTCCGTCCAGACCTTGACGTTGGTCTCGTTCTTGGCCACGTACCAGATGAGGGAGCCCTCCTTCTCCACGTCATGGGAGATGGGGCGGAAGCCGAGTCCTGGAGGATGCGACACACTGTTAGAAAAAGGGACAAGGTGCGCGCCTCGGTCGGGCCGAGGGCCGGGCTGGACCGAGCAGAGCCGAGCGGAGCCTCACCTGGACTCGAGCCGATCAAGGAGTAGTCCTGGGTGAAGTAGGGCACCTTGGGGTCGATGGTGTGGAGCATGCCCTTCATGCAGATGGCGAAGAAGGCGGCCAGCACGATGTAGAAGATGGTGTAGAACACGGCCAGCCCGCCTGCACAGGAGATTACACAAACTTAGCTCTTTATGGCGACCATATCTCACGTGTGGGTGTGGGTGTTATCAGTTTGCACTCGGCGGCTTTTACGGAAATCGGCGGAGCCTGCAGAGAGGCCCTAATTGGCGGAGGGGGAGGGGGAGGCCCGTAAGGCGCCGTAAGGTAAACGCAGCGAGGATGACGTCAAGCGGGAAGGACGGAAGGGCGAAGCGCGACGCATGGCTAAGAATACGCCAGTAGGGCGCCACCGCCGCGCGCCGCCCCGGGCCGCCCCGGGCAGCAGAGCCAGCAGCACGCGGTCGAAACCGCCATTTAGGTCTCCCACCGCGCGGGCCACTGCGGGCTCCGACCACACCATGTCAAGATAGCCACTCGCCGTGCATCGCGCGTACGCGGGGCGGGGCGGGTGGCCAATTTCAACCAGGACGGCTTTATAAAGGCCGCGGCCACCGCACGGTCGTCCCGAAATGGGCCGTGCGTCGAGGGGTTGCGCTGCCATGCACTGCCAACCCGCAGTGCGGGCCTGTAGGCCATGGACGCGGACAGGCGAGTGCGCAGTGCGGCGCAGTGGCACGCACCCTCCGGCCGTACCGATGCACCGATGCTTTCGCAGCGCGGGCAGGGCGGGGCCGGTCCGGCCAAATCGGAGTTCGCTTCGGCCGTGGGCATCACGGACGCAGCGAAGCAGCGGCGCGCTGACGGCCGCAGAACAGGCCGGCATCTCCGTGGCGATAACGCTGAGCCAGCGCCGCCACTACTCTGCGAAAACGCGACGCGGCGCGCAGCCTGCGGGCTGCAGTGGGGGAGAGCCAGGAGAGCAAGCTCTTGCACGCATTGCAGGCAACGCTGATTCACGCTCCACGTGGTGACCGTGACGCACCGGGACGCGGTCGTCGCGTCGGCGGTGCGCGGGGCAGTGCCGGCAGTGCCGGCCGCGGTGACGGTGACGAAATCGGCCAAGCGCGAAACTTTGACCGAGTTTTGGCGCGCAGCGTGGCGGCCGCTGTGGATGTAAACTGTTGCCCGCGCGGGGCCCGGGCGGGGCCTGTGCCTCGGCCAGCTTGTTTTCGGACGGCGGGGCTGCGCATCAAAGCGCCAGCGCTCATTCCGAACCGAGTGCCACTCTGTCTCTCTGCTTCGGGGCGCGCCACGGGTGCGAGAGAGACAGAGTTCAGGGGCAGCGAGCAAAAACGCCGCCGTCGAGGTCGGCGCGCGAGAGCGCGAGGGTGCGAGGGACACGGTCAATCGGTGGGGCGCGCTCTCATCGTGTTCATGGCATCGTGTCTCTGGCGGGGCTGCAGGGCGCGGCGGGACCCGGTCGATGCCGTCCCCGACAGGCCGGCACGCCGACGGCACGCCGACAGGGACAGGCCACCGCCCTCGAGGGCCAACGCGCCGCACCGCACAGTGGGCCAGAAGACCGGTTGAGCGGCCAAAATTCGAGACGCGTTTTAAGCTCCAGAGTCGCTAAATGGGACTCGAACCGAAAGTGCGACCCCACCAATGGATAGCTCTTCGAACAAGGAATCCATTGGTTCGGTTGGTTGGTGTCCCATTTAGCGACTCTGGGGCTCAAAACGCGTCTCGAATTTTGGCCGCTCCACTGGTCTTCTGGCCCACTGTGCGCCGCTGGCCCTGGCGGGTATAAGCCAACCGCGTGCAGCCTTGCCGGCGGGACTGCACACCACTGCACACTCTGCCTGTATCCTGCCCTGCAGCCCGGCAACAGATTCTGCACATCGCGGTCGTCTCTGTCTCTCTCGCACCCCTACGGCCCTACGGCCCTACGGCCCTACGGCCCTACGGAACGGCTTATGAGTGCAAGAGAGGCAGAGCGACGTGCGGAATCGGGCAGCTGCCCATCTCGTCGCGTCACTGCTGCATCATCGTCACGTCAGCTCATTCGACGCAGCGACGCGGCGACCGTGACGGACGGAAGCGCAAAAAATAAAACGCGAAACGCGCGCCAATCTAGTGTGTCGATCCGCCGTGCCGGCCGTGCTGTGCGGGTGAACCTGAGCCTCCCTTTGGGCTACGCTGGCTACGCTATCGGCCGGCCATTGTTCCTCAGTTCCACCGATAAACTCCAGCAGGTGGCGGCCGTGGAGAAGAAGGAAAACGCCCCATGAGTGCGACGGAGGCAGGCACGGCAGCGCGGCGGGGCAGGGCGGGGCGGGGCAGAGCGACAATCGAGCCTCCTTTAACGAGTGCGTCGTCCTGTAGGTCCTGCCGGCGCCGCGCGCGCCGCGTGTCACCCAGACGGCCAGACGGATGCACCTTGATGGGCTGCTTGATGGCGGCGAGCAAACAGCGCGCGCAACGAGCAGGCGACGCGCCACGTCCTGCGTGCCATTCGTTGCGTCGCGTTACGTGCCGTGCCGCCGTCACCGTCCTCGACCGCCGGCCGCCCCGTCCGGAAGTTGGTTGCCATGGCTACCGACCGACCAGCACGCGTGGAGCAGCCCGCAGCAGACGACAGCGCTGAGCAGACGACAAGCAACAGGCGCCAGTGCGGCGGGTGGGAAGGGGGTGGGCGCACCCTTCCAGCCCCCAGTTCAATCAACCGCCGCCCTGGCCTGTCCTGGCCGGCCATGCTGGCCTATACTCAGCGGCGTAGCTCGGCCGCCCTCCTCACCCCGCCGCCAAACAAGAAGCCAGAGTTGCCACTTTTCGGGCACGCCGATTATTTCCGAATCGGCGCGCAAGAGAGTGCGAAGCTACGCGACTGTACAGCACTGCACGGTGTTTCGTCGCTCCGTCTCTTTTGCACCTATCACGGACCGGCCATCCATGAGTGAGTGTGTGTGTGAGAGAGAGAGAGAGAGAGAGAGAGAGAGAGAGAGAGAGAGAGAGAGAGAGAGAGAGATGACAGCGGTGCGGACTCATTGAACCTGCCGTGGGGCAGCGCCAAGGCAGCAAGGGGGTGCGCGGTGCTGCGGCGGTGCCCGCCCCACGCGTTACACGGCGTCACAGCGTTACTTTCGGCGGCCACGTTGGGCCTCTGCCACGGCGGAGGGCGTGGCTGGCCATTTTGGTTTCGAAACAAGAAGGCGGGCCCGTAGCCCCCGTGCCGCCTGTTTACAATCAGGGCGGGGAAGTGCCACCCCGCACGCCCGGGTTCGAACCCCGCCACCGGCGGGCGTCTTTTCGGCGCATCGACCAGACGATGTAGTCTATCCAAGCTCGTAAAACATTCTGATTGCCTCTACGCGCGGATGTTGTGTAAACCAGGGCCGAGATGATACTTTGTGTGGGTACGCTCGAGAGCCGCAGACACTGTACACATAATCCGCGGAGCGGAGATAAGGCGATTTAACGCTGCGCCGAGAATGCCGAGAACACACGGGTACCGCGAGAGCACGGAGGCGAGGGCGACAAAACGCTGTGCGAAAAAAAGAGTACGAATCACGAGGCCAGCGTTGCAATTGTCGAAAACTAGCGCGGGACGAGCGGCAAAGCGGGCAAAGCGCCGGCCAGTGTGGCGTGCCGCGATTGGGCTCTGGAGGCTCCAGCAGGCAAAGCGCCGGCCAGTGTGGCGTGCCGCGATTGGGCTCTGGAGGCTCCAGCAGGCAAAGCGCCGGCCAGTGTGGCGTGCCGCGATTGGGCTCTGGAGGCTCCAGCAGGCAAAGCGCCGGCCAGTGTGGCGTGCCGCGATTGGGCTCTGGAGGCTCCAGCAGGCAAAGCGCCGGCCAGTGTGGCGTGCCGTGATTGGGCTCTGGAGGCTCCAGCCGAGTCCAGGACGCGGTCCATAGAGCCTCGGCATGACCAGCAGGGCAGGCAAACTGGTTGGACCAGCGCCGGTCAGCCGGCACGCACGCGGCACGCACGCGGCACGCAGGCCAAGGGCACGGGCACGGGCTCGGCGGAGGGGCGGGGAGAGGGGGCAGGCGATGAGCTAGGCGCCGTAGGCCGTAGGCACCTGTCGAGCCATACCGAAGCGTCGTGTCGTCGCTCTGTCTCCGTCGCGCCCCTGCAGGCCTTCAGGACGTCGCCTGAGTGCGACGGAGACAGAACGACGGTATCCGTCCGCAGGGAGGCTTCCTCCGGCCCGACAAGGAGGCGTTGTCGGCGGTATCGACGGAGATGCGAAAAAGCCGGGAAAAGCTTTTCCGGCGACGCGATCGATACACTGGTAGGCTGTCCGCGGCGGCGCGGCGCGGGCTTATCAGGCCAGCGGGCGGGCCTCCTTGTTCTGCTCCGACGTTTCCGCCGTTCTGACACGACAACAAAGCCGCGGCCTGAACCTCATGAACCTCAACGTCCGCGTCAACACAATGGCACACCTACGGACGGACAGCGGCAGGGGGAAGGTTTTAAGGTTTAAGGATGGACGTTCAACGGCGGGCGCCTTTCGGCAGCCGCGGCGCAGGATGAGCTTTGCAAATGTAACACGTGCACACTGCAGACGCCTCGTGCAAGTTCTAGCAAGCCGAAAAGTGCACTATCTCCTCCGTACTGGCGCGCCGTAGGGGCGCGAGAGAGACAGAGCGACGAGCCACGGCGGCTGCGAACCGACAACCTGCCGAGTAGTTTTTCGCAGAGCCGCGGGCGGGGCGCTCGTTACTACGTGTCGGGCACGTGGCGGACTCAGTCGGGCGTGCGCCTCTCCGTGCGACGCCGCCCCGCCCCGCCCCGCCCCGCCCCGCCCCGCCCCGCCCCACCCCGCCCCGCCCCGCCCCGCCCCGCCCCGCCCCGCCGCGCCGCACTGCCGCCGCATACCGAGTGACCTCGACCAGCACGCGGCCGTCCAGGCCGTCCAGTAGCCACGCGGCCGGCGCGGCCAGCGCGGCCAGCACAGCACACCGGCCCGGAGGAGCACTGTGCTTCTGTTTGAATGGCCGCAGTGTCCCCGACGGTCCCCGGCGGTGCCCGACTCCCGACCGGTCCACTGTGGGCTAGAAGACGGGTGGAGGCGGCCAAAACTCCAGCTCCAGAGTCACTAAATTGGTCCCGAACCGAACGTGTGACCCCACCAATGGATTCCTCGTTCGGAGAGCAATTCATTGGTGGGGTCACACGTTCAGTTCAAGTCCTGTTTGGCGACTCTGGAGCTCAAAACGCGTCTGGAGTTTTGGCCGCCTCCACCGGTCTTCTGGCCCACTGTGCGGTCGGCCCTAACAGTGTGGCCCGGCCGGCGAGGCGTCCTTCCGCGCCTCCTGCACGCCACGCACGGCCCGACCTCGAACCAGCGGCCACACAAGGCTCCTCGTCGACCCTGGGGGAGATGGAGGGAGGAGAGAGGAGACGGCAGCGGCAGGTGGAACGGCGCGGAGCGGAGCGCCCGCGGACGGCGGGGTAGGCAGCCACGGCGCGCATCTGCGTCCGGCGGGCCTGCCTACTCGCAAGGCGCTCCATTACCATTACCACTAAGGGACAGACCACACATGATCGTATGCCATTTCGGGCCCGACACATGCTCGCCTGCACTGCAAAACGAGACATGGCCGTCCTTACTAAGGTGACACTGCCGCCAACGGCCCACAACGGCCGGCCTGCCGATTCCCAAGGATCGTTTCTTCGTTTGTCGCTCTGTCTCTGTTGCCCTCATGGGGCGTGCCGTAGGGGAGTGAGAGAGACAACCGTTTTAGAGGGCCGGTTTTGGCGCGTTCCTCGCCAGTCCCCGCTGACGTGGTCGCCGTCATTTTCTCTCCATCAGGCGCGACTTTTCGTCCACTCTGATCGCCTCCCTTCGTGACCCACCGAAAGAACGAGAACGGTCGCAGGGCCCATGGTGGCCCAGGGCGGCGACTCACAGTGGGCCAGAAGCCGGTGGAGGCGGCCAAAACTCTAGACGCGTTTTGAGCTCCAGAGTCGCTAAATGGGACTCGAAGCGAACGTGTGACCCCACCAATGGATTGTTCTCCGAACGAGGAATCCATTGGTGGGGTCACACGTTCGCTTCGAGTCCCATTTAGTGAGTCTGGAGCTCAAAACGCGTCTAGAGTTTCGGCCGCCTCCACCGGCTTCTGGCCCACTGTGCGACTGGCGGCCAAAGCCGTGAACCCGGACCCCCTTTCCGGCCAAGAAGGCCAACACGGCACGCCGCCGCGGCATTCCCTTAAGCGCAAGATAATGCCCGAAGAATTCCAGACAAGCGCCACGGACACTACGGCGCGCCACCCGCAAGCCGGCCATTAGTCGCTGCAGGGGGTCTGTCTGTCTCTCTCTTTCTCGTGGGGCGTCCCTGGTGGGTGCGAGAGAGGCAGCCTTCCGGGCGAGCGAGCTGCAGGGCCATGAGGGCACAGGGTGGCGCGGGTACCGACTGACCTGGCAGCCTGGCCGGCCACCCTAAGGGCCGCCCGGCCGGCCTAGCGGCCTAGCCTCGCTCCAGGCGAATCAATAGGGCTCGCCCTTTGCCCACCTTCGGCCCTGCGGCCCTCTGGCCGGCCGGGCTAATTCAAGGCCCGGACAGGTGGAGACACACTGCGTGACGCTCGGCGTGACGTCATCCTCCCCTCACACCGCTGTCAGTGCGTTCGTGTGTCTCCAGATGCCCACATACACACAGCCGGCGCCGTGACGTCACCAACTTATCAGTGTGTCAGTGTGTCTGCCTGTCTGTGTGTGTGCGGAAAGGCGGCCGCCCCGGCACGATAAGCGTGATAAGGCGGCATGTGAAACCTTATCGCTGTGCCCTGCCTGCTGGGCCGGCAGCCTCGGCCACCCCGGCGTGTTATACGACACCGCCTTGACAGCGACAGCAGCGACAGCAGCGACAGCGCATGAGACGAGACGCACAGAGACAGCCGGCAGTCGGTCAGTCAGTCGGTGTCCGCTGGCAGCGGGCTGGGAAACCAATTTCCAGGCCCGTCCGGGTCCAGGACCACAGCCCCCGCGAAGGCCAGAGCCGGGTGCCGGCCCGACACTGCCTCCCGAGGAAAGCCACAGCTGTCTTTGAGACGGGCGGGACGGGACGCGACGCGCGCCGCAAGACAGGAACCAAAATAACCGCGGCGGCGCTGGCGCCCTCTGGGCGCGCTGGCGCGCTGCGAGTGTGCTGAGCCGGTCGTCGCGGAGGGCCTCTTCGGGGTTCTCGGCGAGCGGCTCCGGCGAGGCCGCGACAGTGTCTTTAATGAGCCAGGTTAATGAGCGCGGCCGGGTCGCCTTCGTGTTGGTAAATGGCGTGTCGTGTAGCCAGTGTAACCAGGCCGGCGAGGCGGCGAGCTGTCAGCGCTCACCGCCCTCGCGACACTACTCACCCCAGGACGCGCACGTCCTGCCGAAGATCTCATTGGTGCTGGGGTTGTAGATGCCCAGCCGCAGCGCGTCCCACCGGCTCAGCTCCTCGGGCTTCCGGTAGGGCAGCTCGTACGTGCCGTTGCCTTCGTCTCCATGTCTAGGTCTCCGTCGGCCACGTCCCGCTGCGCAAACAGGGAAGTCACTCCACCTGTCGACGGCTACCTGGAGCGCCTAGTGTCGCCTAGTGTACTGAGGAACACGTGCCGCGCACACTGCCGGGCACACTGTACACACCTAGGCAGAGCTGTGCCACGCGAGCCTTGACGGCGGGGCGGCTGAGGTGCAGCACGCGACGCACCACACACCACACGGCTCCAACGAGCGTCGACGACTACACCGACCGTCCGCCGAGTCCGAGTCCGCGCGAGCGACGCGACGCGCCGGCGGCGGGGCGGGGCGGGGCGGGGCGCGGGGCGGCCCGGCAAAGGCATCGCGGTGAGGGGCAGCGCGGGGGGCGGGGCGCGGCGGCGCTGGCAGCTCTCAAGGAGCGGCGTGGGGGCGTGGGGCGTGGGCGTGCGGCGCGGGCGGGGCACCCGGTGCGAAGCGCGAAGCCTGGCCCCGCCCTTCCCTCCGCCCCTCGACGCCCCCAGCCCCGGTTCGGAAAATAGCCAGGGACGCGTTCCAAGTCGGAGGGCCGCGCGGTGCGACGTCCGCGACGTCCGGCCTAGAGTCCGGCCCGCGGGCCTGGCGCTGGCGGCCTGGTCGGGGAAGTGCCAGTGCCGGTGCAGTGTGGTGGCGCGGACGCCTCGGACGCAGCGCGGCACACGGCACGCCATCCACGTCCAGGAGGCTCATTCCAAACACTGCTTTCGTTGCTGTCTCTCCTACTCTTCACACGATAGCAATTTGGAGTTTAGTAATTCAATTGTTTTTATTGTATTTTGAAAGTTGAATTATTAAACATAGAAAAGACTAAATTTCACTGAATATTCCTTATGTGGCCTTAAATTGCAACATTCTCAATATAACTATCAAGTCTGGCTCCAAATTTTTCAAGACGGAGCTTTACTTTAGTCGAAATATGACTGCTGACTCGAATAGAAGCAAATCTAGGTGAAAATCATTAACGGGTTTGGTCTCTTTTGGACTCGTAAACTTAAATATCTCCCAAAGTATTTAGTTAACCGTATTGGCACTTGGCAGGTGAAAAGAGAACATAATGATGAGTCTTTGGTGAAATTTTGAGCACTTTTGGTGATGACGTCAAATTGTCTAGAAACATTTTTTTATTTTTAACGACAAAAAAATTTTTGAAAAAAAAATTTTTTTCACCAAAAATTTTTTTGACTCAAAAGGTATAGGTATACCAAGTTTGGTCCAAATCCATGAGGTGTTGGCAAATGGCTTGCCCTTTAGGTCTGGAATCTGCCGACAGCGCCACGAGAGCAGCAGAGTGGCGCTGGCGGCTCGCCCCAAGCTTAGGTGGGGTGGCTCGTCAGCCCCTCCGGCCTGTGATACCCCCCTCCCTGCGCCAAAATCCATTTGGATTGAGACGCTCCCAACTTCGCGTGGCATGACCACGCATTTCGAATGTTCTGACAGGTTTGAATTGGTGGTCGTAGACTACACTACCCTGACACGAGACGAGTCAGTCTCACGATCTTTCAATGGAAAATTGGCTCATTTGCTCCAGTTTCGAACCGAACGTCTGTTCTATCCTGCCTTCCCCTTTGCAAATTCCAGCTCTTATATGACCCATGTGAAGTGAGTGAAAGGGGGATAAAATGATAACTGAAAATAGCTATATTTAACAAAGATATAAACTTTAATATACAGGTTTCATTTGAAAATTACCACTGTGTACATCCAAGCCAGCAAAAAGAATCATGGCTGGCACACAGAAAAGTGTGTTCCCAGCTCAAACAAAAGAGGGAATAAAATTGTTGGACAAATCAAAACAGAGTACGCATTAAAACAGTTTTAAGTTCCTTAGAGGAATTTGAGATAAAACAGTTTGGTGTGCAAGAACCAAATTCATTATTATTATTAATATAGACTATTCGAAGGAATAATAGATCAGATCTGATCCTCAACTTATATGCAACAAATATGATTACAATAAAATATATCAAGATGTAAATCTGAAAGCAAGGGCGCATTTTTCTCTAGGCATAAATAAATACATTCAACCAAAATAATACAGATATGAAATACACATGATTCAATGGATTCGTACATTAACTATGTATTTAACAACAAGTCTCAAAGACTGAACAATAGTCTCATGCAAGAATTTTTTTCCTTTAGTTCCAATACTATAAATCTTTAGTGAGCAACCAATTGGTATCATACATTTTGCTATTGATGGTATATGCCACTGGTTTAAAAGTAGAGATGCTGGTAAATCATAAATGATTCCCCAACTTAATGAAGGAATGAATTATAAAGATCAGTCAAATGCACAGCCTCAACCTCAGCTTTTCTTATATTCGATCCTTTCCACCTTAACTTCATCTCCTACAAGCTGGTAAACATATGTCACTACAGTTGAACTCTGAATGTCCATGAGCACAAAGGAAGGTGTGACCATTCTGAAAAGAATAACATGTGGATTACATCAAAATTCAGCCTAGAATCAATAATGCAAAATTAATCAAGAAAATACAAAGTCCCTTAACAAATGTGCTCAAAGAAAACTTACGTATCAAGAGGATTGTAAGCCCCAGTGGCAGAGCCAGGGTTGATGTAAAATTTGCTTTCATGTTCATAAGCTTCAAACTTGTGAGTGTGACCCGAAATTAAAATATCAACATCTAATTGACGCTGGACAAGAGATAAGGACTCTGGATCACCCCATGGCACAACTTGATGGCCATGAGAAAGGCCAATGCGGAATTGACCTACAGTTACAACCTTCTGTTCAGGATAATTCAAATTCTGCCAATGAAAAGAATTGATATGTTATTAATAATTTATAGAGTCAAACGTTTTACAACAAACCTAATGGGATTTGTCTTACCTCATCGAAATCACCTCTTACTACATGGACATCGTTGGCAAGTGTTTTGAGGTAATCGTATGACTCTTTCGTGCATAGATTTCCTGTGCACAGGATGTGCTGGATACGTCCAGGCACCAGCAATTTCTTGAATTTGGCAGGTAAACTGCTACAACGGTGAGGTATGTGCAAATCACCCAACACTAAAACCAACTGCAACAAAACCAGCAAATAGCATGAAATAAGATATAGGCAGACTTACATCACAGAGAAATTACCATTGAAGATCAAGTTCTAACAGGAAATACTGTTGGGAATTATGAGATGAGACTACAGGCCGGATAACATTAGTACGGACACACTCATTTCGATTTCACAGTATTAATGCACCTCGCTTAACGAAATGTCAAAGGGCCGTTCTGAGACATTTGTAGGTTATGGAAGATTTTTACGTAATAATCGCATATGACAAGTACGCGAACCATCAGAAACGGGGCCACAACATCACCATATTCTTACCATTGCTACGGGCTGTAAGACGACAGACGGTGACACCTGAATCACATAAAATCCACAACGTAAATACGGTTCGAAAGAACGTCAAAGGGTGTCGGTTTGCTGAGATCAAAATCCATGGAGTATCAACGGAATAGTTCGCTCGAACGCCGCTACACTAGCGCCCACTACCAACCTACGCAACGAACACAAGCCATCTAAGCTGCAATGGACGTTCAATTGACCCTGAGACATTAGATGAATTAAAGCCAGTTAAAAGCAGTTTTTAAAAATAAAATTTTATTGACTGTACGATATATAATTCAGTGCTTTTAACGTATCAGTTTTTTTCTCTTAGGTGTGCTGAGTCTGGGAGAAGTGGGAGGGGATCCGACCGCGTGCGAGTTGCGAGTTCCCACTCTTCCCATCACCACCCTGTCCGTGCACTTGCCTCTTCTCTTCTGCAAGGTCGTCTGGCACAGCACATCTTCGACCGCGGCATATTCCTCAATCAATCAAAATGTTCTCCCGTCTTGTGAAACCACAATCTGTCGCGGGCATCGCCAAGAGCGCCCAGAATTTCAGCACCAGCAGCCAGGTAAGACATTTACCTCTTGCCAGTGCGTAAATTTCGTGGATATTATTTGCCAATCCAACGTCACGTATAACCTTTCCGGGTTAAACGGATGGCTGAATGTTTCAGCCTCACGGAACTTTCTTTATTTCTTTTTGGGACTAAAATCCCGACTCTTAAGTCCGTTTTCGTTCATTGGTTTCATCGGATGCTGTCGCATTCTGTATCTGTTATTCGTCTGTACGTAGATAACAGTCTGGGTTCGGTCGAGATTGCATCTCAATATCACTCAGTAGAGGTTTCCATTTCAACCTTATCACAATTTAGTAAGTTCATGGTCATAGGGTTTGTACCATGGCCTTAGGGCATTTCTGTTTGATCGGCCTTGAATGAGCTCTTGTGAGGTGTGTATTTTTAATTCAATGTTTTTGCCCAGTGTCACATGATGAGAAATGGAATGAATGGATGGATGAATGAATGAATGATTCAGTGGGTGGTTGAATGGCAGACTCACCCAAGGGAAAAGCCAAACGCAAATTTAAAAGACTCCATATTTCAAATCTTCATTTTGAAAAGGGCTAATTTAAATCCTCTCTTTCCAGAATAATGTTAAAGTTGCTGTTCTGGGAGCAGCTGGTGGCATTGGTCAGCCCTTGGCTCTCCTGCTGAAGAACTCCCCCCTTGTCACAGAGCTCTCTCTGTTCGACATTGTGCACACTCCTGGAGTTGCCGCCGACCTTAGCCACATTAACACCCACTCCAAAGTCCGTGCTGGCAATGGACCAGAGCAGCTCAAGGTGAGTACCGCAGTACTGCTGACTCATGATCAGCTTATAATTTTATAATATAACTGCCAAATCACAGTGCTGTGGTTACAGTGTCATGCTCAAAACCTCTGCTTTTACTCTAGGAATCTCTCAAGGGAATGGAGGTTGTCATCATCCCAGCTGGTGTGCCCCGCAAGCCTGGCATGACCCGTGATGACCTGTTCAACACCAATGCCTCAATTGTGCGTGACTTGGCTCAGGCTTGTGCTGAAGTGTGCCCCAAGGCTCTCATTGGAATCATCTCAAACCCTGTAAGTATGCCATCTTATCTAGAGGCATTTGATTCAACACTGTAAGAACTCTAACAGTTTTCTCTAATTGAAAATTTGTACCCTAGGTCAACAGCACCGTCCCCATCGCCTCTGAGGTGTTCCAGAAGGCTGGGGTGTATGACCCCAACAGGATTTTTGGTGTCACAACTCTGGACATTGTCCGTGCTAATGCCTTCATCGGAGAGGCTAAGGGCCTGAACCCAACCCAGGTCAATGTTCCTGTCATCGGTGGACACTCAGGAGTCACCATCATTCCTCTTATCTCCCAGTGCAAGCCAGCAGTTGATTTCCCCAAGGACCAGCTGAAGGCTCTTACCGAGAGGATACAGGTGAAGCATCTTGATTCTTTTTACCATGCTAATTGCCGAAATGAGCAATTTGTAATGGCTGGTTTTGTCTTTGTCTATTTGTAGGAGGCTGGCACAGAGGTCGTCAAGGCCAAGGCTGGTGCAGGTTCTGCCACTCTGTCCATGGCCTTTGCTGGTGCTCGCTTTGCCTTCTCTCTCTGCCGTGCCATCATGGGAGAATCCAATGTTGTTGAGTGCTCATATGTGCGATCCAATGTTACTGATGCCAAGTACTTCTCAACCCCTATCCTTCTGGGAGTAAGTAAAAATTTGTCAAATAACTTTCCTCCTATTTGTTATTGACTTGCAAGACATTTCATGGTTCTGATTTTTATTTATAGCCCAACGGAGTGCAGAAGAACCTTGGTCTTGGCAACCTGAGCCCCTTTGAGCAGGAGCTGCTGAAGGCTGCCATTCCTGAGCTCAAGAAGAACATCCAGAAGGGAGAGGACTTCGTTAACAAGAAGTAATTTATTACAGCAAGAAAATCCTGTTAAATTGACCCAAACTGCTGAAAAATGGTTTGTGAACACTAAACCAATAAAAACCAATTTCAGTAGGCTGGAGGGAATTGAAGTAACTAGTCAGCAGGGTGATGGTTAGCTTCTAGAGCTAGCCTGCCAGCCAGCCAAAATACGCGTGTAGGACCTAAGCTGGTAGATTCAGTGGGCAGACCTTTCTGGGCAGCCTCATATTTGCTGTTGTCTGCATTTTATACTGTTGTCAATCCAATTAGATTCTCATTCCTTGAGGCTATGACCATTTTCAGTTTGATACCTGTATTATGTATATATGAACCATGTTTTACTGAATTAATACTCCTCTGTACTGGTTATTTTCATTAAATGAATCTGTTTTAGTTTGCCAGGTTTTAAATTAAACTGATCATTATTACATAATCATTTATTTACCTTGTTGAGACATTAAGCCAGGAAATAATCACAATGGCAAATCAGTCATTACAATTTGAAGCCCATTTCATTCACCCACTTCAGTCCTTCCACAGTTGTGACAGAGGGCTTGTACTCTAATCCAATCCACCCAGTATAATTAATCTTTTTCAAGAGCGAAAACACATAAGAATAATCAATCTCCCCACCAGTATTGGGTTCTCCACGCAAGGGAACTTGGGCTACTTGTACATGTCCGATAAGTCCGGCGGCCGCTAGTGACTCAATGTTGGAGGTCAAGTTGCCATGCAACTGCTGGAGATGAAAAACGTCCAACATGATTTTCAGATTTGGACTGTTGATTTTCTTGATGAGATCCACTGCAGCAACATAGCTTGACATATAATAGTTGGGCACGGACCGTTGGTTGATAGGCTCAATTAAACCAATAATTTCCTCCCTTTCGAAAACCTTTGTTGCCCAACGAATATTTTTCTCGTACGCTTCATGGTGTGAAGAGGTAGGGTTCTGCACAGCTCCAGACATCACATGAATCAGCTTACAGTCAAGGGCCTTTGCATAGTCCACCGCTCTCGTAACACTGGATTGGAATGATGCCTCTTGTCCTGGAATTGCAGCAAATCCCAGTTCTCCTTTGCTTGGGTCGCCAACAAATACATTGATGAGCACTTGCTTCAAACCAGCATCTTCTTTGGCTTTAACAAGTTCCTCTACAGTATGAATGTACGGAAAACCAACCTCCACAGCTTGAAAACCTGCCTTCTTAGCCAAATTATAACGCTCCAATAGATTGGGGCTTTCAGTGAACATAAAATTCAGGTTGGCACAAAACTTGAGAGAAGACATCTTGCACAGTTTGGGCGCCAGTGCTGAGGATACTGAGGACAACATCTGCTGTTTGCTCGGTTGTATCTTATCACTCTTATCAGCACACCCTCATAAAAATAAAGTTTGAAAATAGATGAATTGATCCCACCAATAAGGTGTTAGGATCTGGGGATCAGGTTGACTTAAATGGTTTTCTAAGAACAGTAATAATTAAAACAATAAAGAAAAAATATTGGCCCTAACGAGTTTAACACCTCCTATCCAACAAATCACAAGTTCACTAGACAATCACTTCTGTCACAAAAGTTCTATTGTTATCACTTAAGGAACTTTTTGCACAGCCTGTCCTTGACCATTAGTTTGACTACTGCAGTTGAAACCGTTTCCAGTCCCATTGGCTGTGCCAGGTGGATGGGAGTTTGCTTGCACCCCAACAGTTGACTCTTCAGCCTGCTTCTGGAGTAGCCGGGTTCGGCGCCTGGTGTAGTGTTGCCACAAAAGAATCTGTTGGTCGTCTATGAATTTGGTGCATTGAGAGCTTACAACCTCCCGGCGAAAATGTTCATATTGCAACAAGTCCAGGAAGTATAAGCACATGGGATACCTGACAGCAATAAAAAGACATATTGTAAACACTGTACGGACAGTTATTCATGACTTATCACAGCTCAATAATTGCTAAACATATCATTTACATAATAGAAAGATATAAGCTTAGAAACTTAATTTAGAAAAAGAATGCACTATAATACTCCATATAAACGGTTTTGTTCTTTAATAAAAGATTAGAGGACTGAATTACAAAAAATACTGCATAAAAATGGATAACATCACATTGTCTCAGTGTCAGCATGATCAAGTTGGACTATTACTTTTTTTCCATTTTTCAAACAAATTTCTTCCTTTGCTGGCGCTTTTTCTCCGGAGTTCTTGCTGACTATCTGTTCAACTTGGATTGCCACAGTACTTTCACAAGACTTATCTTCAACATTAAAAAACTTCTCACTTTTGTTATTAGACACCTCAACATCATACCCCAGCAAACTGTTGTTGGATTTAACTTTTCTCTTCAGTGAAATAGTTTCTGTTTTATTTGACAATTCAGGTTTATCTGATTTGGAATCCGACGACCCACATTGTTCATTGTCAATTATCACCACATCCTTGTTTCCTTTGGATTGAGATTTAACTTTAGGTAATGTGATAGGATTGCCTGCAGTATCAACAACACTGACTTTTGAAGTAGAGGATAGAACAGTTGGGTTGAACTTCAAAATGTCCGCAGAAACATTATACACAGCTGAGAGACATTCTTTCTCCAGTTTCTTCATTTTACTTTGTTGCGACAGTGCATTGGCGACTTCTGATTCACTGACAAACACCACATCTTCTTCATCTGACACAACTTCGGCCTTAACAGTAGTCACAGCAGCCTCAGTGGGCAAAGAGGAATCATTTTTATTTTCATTCGATTCTTTCTTTGAAGTGGAACAGTCAGGTTTAGGTCCATTCTTGGGAGCTGATGATGCCTGTTTCAAAAGCGCTCGAATTGCACGGGCACGCATCTCTAATTCAAGAATTTCTAATAAAGTTTTCCCCTCATTGCCTTCATTTTGCTTCTCTTGAATATTATAGTGACTATGTCCATCATCTTTCAAATTTTTTTGCATCTTGCCAGAGATTTCTTTATTCTTTTTCTCCAAATCCTCCTCTTCACTCAGAAAATCTCCCAATTCTTTTGGTGAAAGCCCAATGTGAAGCATGTCCGGGTCATCGTCCACTTTATCTGGATCAGGTTTAATTGTCTTTTCATTAATATCTAACTCCATCTGTTTTTCAGGCTCACTATCACTGCTAGGATAAGATTCACCACTGCTACTACTACTGCTGCTACTGCTGCTGCTGCTGACGGACTTCAGATTCTTGTCAAAATTGTCATCTTCCAGGTCTGGAGCATAAGGTTTCCCTTCTAGAATTTTAATAATGTGTCTTTCTGACATGCTATTTAACTGTTCCAGACACTGTGCTTTCAGGTCATCCAACTTAATTTCTTTCAAGATAGGTGGTAGCATAGATTGAATCTTATCCTTTCTTAGAATGTCAAACATCTGTTCAATCATTTCTGCTCGATCTGATAAGTAGTGACCAACAGGATACAGTTCTCTATCCAGTTCAAGATCTCCTTCAGAACCATCTACAGAGTGCTCACTGCTGCTTTCTTTCCTTGACCTCTTCTTGTGCTTGGATTGACTTCGAATCCCACTTTTGGCTTTCATGTTGGATGGGATCTTTGTTATTCAAAATGATTACTCAGTCTGCCTCACAGTATCAGTACACTGCGATGAACGATAATACAAACTCTGTTGGGAAATGACTGCAATATGAAATCCCAAATGTATAAGAATTTAATAGCACAAAATGAAAGCATACTTTGCTTTGTTTATATGGAGTAAATTGTGCATTCTGGCCCATCAAACAATAAATTCGACAGGAGTGAACATCAAACTCTGAATTCCTATCACAAATTTTTCAGAAACAATTCACAACAAAAAAAACGAAACAAAAATACTCACTTTAAATATCTGGCATATTCTGGCTCTTTCCAGTATAAAAGGTATTTCAAATAATTAATAAACGCCTGATCTTTGAAATATCCTCTTTGAGCTAAAACTGAAACGACAAACAGAAATTAAAACATGATTGTGAAAATAAATTATTAAAAAACGCCTTGCAAGTTCATGTTACGGACTCACAGTTCAAATAATTAGGGTTGGCTAAGCACTGTACAAATTCCAACTCTACTTGGAAGCGGAGACGCTGTTTGTCTTCTGTTTCTGGCACCTCACCTAAAGGCAGAAGGTAAAAGTTAATCGATAAAAGAAATAACAGAAAAGAAACGGGGCCTTAAGACGCGCGTAACAAGGACGGTCAGTTATCAATACACAAGACAGTAAGCCAAAAGAGGATTGAGTTATGGGACGACAAAAAAATAAAAATACAGGTTAGAGAACCCAGGGAGGCGCTTTTGGTAGGATGATATGGTCTCGTTCTGAGATTCCTCTTAAGAGTCTTAAAGCAAACGGTTGAGCTTGGCAGGATTAAAAACTGCACAGAGGGTGGGAAATCACTTTAAAGGGGGATTGAAAGAGGTGGACTTTTAAATGGGTCGACTGACAGTGCTGACTTGACTTACCATCGTCAAAACCTCCAGTGTAACGTTTCAGATATCGCCCCGACATAGAGAAAGGCGGCAGCCGTTTCCTCTCTTCAGACAAGTGGAGTTACCGTCATTGGCGTCTAGTACCAGCGAATTTCATAACTTTCAGGAGCGATTGGCGTTGCCGATGAACTGCGTTGGCGTTGTTACTTTCACCGAAGCATTATTTGCAGTACAGCGGGGAGGGGAGGAGGGGAAGAAGGAGGAGAACCAATAACAACAGCAACAACAACAACATTGACCCCTCGCGCGAGGCTATGGATCCGTAATCCGTCTGCAACTGTTTGTAAACTGTTAACCACCTGTAATTCCCTGTAATCTGTAAAGCCTGCATGAAAGTAATGTTCTTTCCCCGAAATTAAGATGATGTCCATCAAGCTGAACCCTCAGGAACTGCGAAACAGTGATGGAATTCAGAAAGTTTGTGAGAAAATCGCTTCTGAGGAGGTATTGACATCGGCACGTCACACGTAATTCTATTTTAAATCCTTACTTCGGACATGATTAAGATCGAATTTCGTTTTGTAGGAAAATGTCGAGAAACAGTTGGAAACTTTGCTTGCTAGACAGTGTCATTTGGAGGCAAAACTTCGAAGTGTCACCAAAGCACTACCTAACCTTCAGATAGTGAAGACTGATGCCCAACAGCTCTCCCAGATGATTGCACACACCTCGACTTTGGCCGAAAACGTTAGCGCTAAAGTTCGCAAGCTCGATGACGCAAGGGTAAGTTGTAGGGCTTCATTTATGGACTGGTGCCATAGCTGCATTAGGACCTAAACTTCTTCTCCTCTTCTAGAGCCGTGTTTCAGAGTGCCAGCAACGTGTTCATGATCTCCTGGATCTTCAACTCTGCAGTGAAGGCGTCAAGTTAGCTCTGCAAGAGGAAGACTATGAAAAAGGAGCTGCACATGTTCATCGGTTTCTTTCGATGGACCAAACTCTTTTGCGACAGACAGCTGATGACGTTCAACAAGGTATCCTCACATGTTTGGGTTGTGTAACATACCTTCAATTGTAGACTTGTTACTAAACTCAAAGTAATATTTTATCTACTTTCTAGATTGCACAGCTGTCACGAATTCATTCTCCTTGCTTCACAAGGCTGCTGAACTGCTACAGACCGAAGTTACATCTCGATTTGATGAAGCAGTCAGAGCTGATGATCTGGCATCAGTTGAAAGATTCTTTAAAATATTTCCTTTACTTGGACTCCAGGATCAGGGTTTGAGTAAATTCTCAATATTTCTGTGTTCCAAAGTAAGTGCAGGCTCCACAGATAATCTTATCTTATCTAATTTTGTAAAAGGAAAAAAAAAATGTTTCTTGTGACGCATGCTTTACACTTGTTCACAGCTTCAAGAAACAGCTCGAAAGAACTTAAAATCAGCTCTTGAGACAAGATCTGCAGACAAAAGAGCAAGTGTAATCTATGCAGATACGTTGACTCTTCTATTTGAGGGAATTGCTAGAATAATAGAAATCCATCAACCTCTAATTGAAAGCTATTATGGTGGGCTGGTTACCTTCTTTCAACTTTTTCTGTTTTTTCCACTCCTAAAATAAGATATCCTGTTAAATTTTTGTTTTAAATGCAGGACCAGGTCGTTTATTAACTGTGGTCAACGCATTGCAAGAAGAGTGTGATCGCCAGAGTAAACTTGTTATGAATGAGTTTCGTAAGCATAGGCAATTGGATTCAGCTCTTGCACAAATTGCAGATTGGTTAAGAAATGCCAGCAGCTCTGCAAGTAGTAGTAACTTAAGTGGGGCAGCCACAGCTCAACAAAACCGCACCGATCCCAAAAACCTTGACCTTTTATTGGGTGAACTGACAATAATGCATGCACGTGCAGAAATGTATGTCCGTTTTATTAGGCGTAGAGTGCAAGTAAGTATTATTTGCTTCCTCTTGTTGAGTTGATTTCAGTATGCACATTTGTTTACGGATTAATTACTCTTCTTCAGAATGATGTTGAAGTCGGGGTTCCAGCAGAAATAACTCGAGAACTTCTAATGGATAAGTTAGAGACAATGCTACGCAGTTCTGGTCTTTGTCATTCTATGCAGGCTCTACTGGGCAATTATCTCCAGCTGGAACACTATTTCATGGCTGAAAGTGTGAAGAAAGCTGTTTCTATGGATCAGTTGGAAGATAATCTTCAAATTCAGCAAACATCTAGCATGGTTGATGATGTATTTTTCATTGTGAGGAAATGCATTAGGTATGTGAGCTGGTAACTTTGCTAATACAGTATTCTAGCAAAAGTTGTGTCCATGCATTCTGAAGGATAAAAATAAAAACCACTTTTATTTCCAGGAGAGCAATATCAAGTTCTAGTTTGGATGGTGTGTGTGCTGTATTGAATAATGCATGCAGCCTCTTGGAGGCAGACTATTGTTCAGTTCTTCGCAGCCAGTTACGCCAAGGATACATGTCTGGGTACTTAGATTTAACTCAGGCCTATAATGCTCTTCAAAGCTCTTTGCAGCAAGGAAGGTTGCAGGCTTCTGACTCTGAAAAGGCTCGCCTCAAATTTTTGGTTAGCTAAAGGACTTAATAATAATTACTGTATGTTTCATGGGTTCTTATGTCTCTCCTGTATTATTTTTAAAAATCAATATGTTTTTAGGCATACCTTAACAATGCTGACGTAAGCACTGAGTATATTGCCACTCTTCGCTTGAGCTTAGGAGAGGAAATGGCTGCAGCCCTGCCTGGCATGACTGACAGAGACAGAGCAAAACTGGAGAGTTGTTTAAGTGGTATGGGAGGAGTCACTGCTTCCCTCCGTGCTCTTGTTGAATATGGTATGAGTCAATTATCTGCAAGTGCCATAAAACCACGGGTGAGCCCGTGGGTAGACGCCTTCCTAAACGTCAGCCACATTCTTACAGAGGTATGCATTGTATGATTACTTTCTATGTTTCATTTTACTTTATTTACCGTATGTGTATTTATTAAATCTTCATTGTGTTCTTCAGGAGGAGTTTTCTGGTTATGAGGCTAATGAACCATTTGTTCGCAACTTGGTGGCAAATTTGGATTCTCTTCTTTCGTCCTTTAAACCAAGCTTGACTCCAACTAATTATGATACATTGGTCAGCATTCTTGCCACTGAAGTTACTCACCAAATGGAAAAAGTAATTGCAAAGTCATCATTCAATAGGGTGAGTTGCTCTCCACATTAAAATTATGTTTGTACTCTCATGCAAATATTTGTTTCAAACCAACTATTAATTTTTTCAGCTTGGAGGATTAGTTTTAGACAAAGAAGTAAGAGTTCTTGTTGGGTACCTGACAAATGCTACATCATGGTCTATAAGAGATAAGTTTGCCCGTCTTACACAAATTGCCACTGTCTTGAATCTGGAGAGAGCATCTGAAATATCTGATTATTGGAGCAGTGAGCCAGGAGCAATAGCATGGCGCTTGACATCAGCTGAAATTCGACACTTTATGACTCTAAGGTAAATATTCTTTGATATGCAGGATGGCCAGGACATAAATAGAATTTTCATGTTTATTGTGTATTTGTTTACAGAACTGATTTTCGAAGTGAAGATATCAAGAGAATAAAATTATAATGATCGATACAGAAGCAAATAACAATAATTTGTTAATTTAAAATGAGATGGCAGGGTTTAAGACTAGTGGACCAAATATACAATAATAGCAGGTTTTAAAATTTGTATATCATTCATATATCATCAGACTGCTTACTTCAAACAGTATTCTGAGATCCAACAAAAAACATACATTTACTTCAGATAGTATAATTAGTGAAGGAGATCATCATCAGTCTTTACATCTTTGAAAGAGATATCATTTTCTGGCATGGTGGAGAAAAGTCCATCATTCTCACATAAGCTTTACAGGCGAATACGGAATGTGCTGCAAAAAAGTCATAGGAAATGTTAGCCACAAAACCTAAAAATATAGCTGGTGACTCACAAGGAGTGATTTTTTTACCTGCAAAAATCTGATGATTTATCTATGATGTGCTCAAACTCAGCAAAGGAGAGAGCACCATCCTCATCAAGATCAGCCTCATCAAGTATATTTTGAATTAAGTGCTTCATATCAGACTCGCTAAGTCTCTGAGATCCGGTTAGTCTCTCAACCACTTGCCGAAGGTCTGCTTCCCCTAACATATCATCTCCATCAAAATCTAGTGATAAAAACAGACAAGTTTCAGTCAGGCAGTGTAAAGCTGCTGCAAAAAATATTAAAAGAGATTTCGTATTTTACATACCAAATATTCTAAAGGCATGTTCAGCTTTAACACTTTTAGGTGCTGCATCACTAAACACCGACATCATGTCTAGGAAATCTTCAAAGGTACAGTCTCCATCGTGGCTGGAGCTGAAAGCATGGCAAATCCGGTCTCCAAATGGATTCACCTTTAATTCAGGGTATAATAAGATTTTTGACATAGGAAGTTTTGCATTTTTGTTATGACCGACTCTCTCTGGGGCCAATGCTTTGAATTTTTGATGTGCACTGCAAGAAACCAAAGAAACATGAGTATAACTGCAAATAAATTACAGTGATGTCAAATCAAAAATATACTTACTACAAAACTTCCTTTTTGGTGAAATAAGTCAAATCCTAGAACATGGATAAATAAACCTGTGTTAGTGACAACCTGCACTGAAACTGAATGACAAATTCAAAATGTTTCAACTATAGATTAAATTTTTGTAATTGGTCTGTAATATATTTTGTTGAAGATTAAATCAAACGTGTCCATTGAAACAGAAGCTGACTTAAAGTGTTCACAACAAAGTGCAAACATTTTAACTTTACCTGATAATCCTGAAGCTCCTCTTCTGTAAATTGACTTTTCCCTTGACCCATTCTCTTTGAAATGAGCACTCTCCACAGCAACAATTGATTTGGACTAAAATCCACTCATTGAAAATAACTTTGGCAAAAAATGACTAGGGGAGGTTGTGACAACTCAACTGACAGCAGCGACAGCAGCAGCAGACAGACAAGACAACTGCGAACTGCCTTGTGCCCTTGCAGACAATGTTGACACCGGAAGAGAGTACAGCCTGGCCTTTCGCAATGAAATTTGACAGAACTAACATGCAATAAACCGATTCAAACAATCCTTTTTATTTTAAAATTAATTCAGAATTTTGGAGTTTTGATTTACCACTAGAGTCTTGAAAATTTCACCAAAAATTATACACATATTTGTCGCTTTGTTGGTCAAATTGCACGGAGCTTGGTGTTTCTGCCCACAGAGGGAGACACAGTAGTTTTTGTTCTCGAGGGCAGACGACACTGGCCGACGTTGGTGAAGCAGCTGATTAGAAAAATATTGCCACCATGGCTGGTGCCACTGTGAAGGTAAATTCTTTAACATTGTTTTCAGATTCTGGTTTTCTTAACGACTAACAATTTCTCTTAAATTAACGTATTGACACAAGGCATAGCCCAGCAACATTTTCTCATAACCTGTTTTTCTCTTCTTGTGAGAACCACTATTTTTGCAAATATTTTCAAAGAAAATGTTTTAATTACCGCCTTCAAGTGATTCACTTGTACTTTCTACATGAATCACATCTAGTACTTACGCTTTTTCGGAAGTGAATTGTTTTGCTGTCTTCGAAACATGCTATCCCTCTTTTGGCTTACAGTTAAATGAACCAATGTTTTGTTGTGTAAAATAACAGTTTGTAATTTGTGTTTGCAGTTAACCACCGGCCTGACGGGCATGGGTGTTGCTCGCCACCCGGCAAGCACACTTAAGGGTCTCTATGGTAAAATCCTGCGCTCCTTGGCCAAGATGCCTGACGATGCTGCGTACAGGAAGTACACAGAAGAGGTCATTCGGGATAGAGCAGCAGTTGTTGAAAAGGTAAAATTCTTTTGTGCCTTGTCAGTTTGTTTTGTTCTCAATCCTGTTTTAGGACTAATCGTTTTTCATATTTTAATGCAGCATGGTGCAAACTGGAAGAACATTGAACAAGAAATCAACTGCGGGCAGATAGAAGAATTAATTATTCAAGCTGAGAATGAACTCAACCTAGCCCGTAAAATGGTGCTATGGAAGCCATGGGAGCCTCTTGTGACCAAGCCAGAGCCAGATCAGTGGAAGTGGCCCCCACCAAAGTAGATGGGATTGTTGGAATAGTGTTAACCCTGCCTCTTTTTTTTTCTTTCTCATTTTAATTTTGCTTCAAAATTAGCTTGGAAACAATGTAAATAAAATGTAAAACTTTAGTCTCAAACATGGCAGATTTATTTATTTTCTTCTTTTAAATCAACCATATCCTGCAGGCTAGTAAATGTTTTGGGTACTTTGGACAATGAAACCACAACTTATTAATCGATTGAGATGTTTGTAATTCATTAGAAAAAATACAGTACATACATGGTCAAAAAGCTGTAAGAAAATGGGAAGTGACAACTGAACTGCTTGATGAGTTACAATAAGTCATTAAGATTTCTACCAAGTCAGATTTTATTGTGCTCAGGTAATCTCCATATGTAGTAATATCCAACTTGAGCTGCTAATCACTATGCTAAGGAACTAAAATACTTCTTTGAGTCACTTCCTTGAGCTTGCATGCATTAATAATGCTGTTACCATAAGAGGATGTCTATGAACAAATAGCAGTCTCTGGTTTAATTATCTACCACGTCTTTAACAAATTAGATGGATTGTAAATTTGCGTTCTAAAACAGAATTTGTAATTTAGAGGATCAAAGACACTCATTAACATAAATTCCTCATCACTGGAAGAGTGATCCACTGCATTCACACATGCTTCAGTGATAGTGCACCTTGATGCTTTGACACAGTAAATAACCAGTGAGTGGGTTCCATTTCAATTTGTCTTGTTTCAGACAAGGTTATCTCAAAATACCTAAATTGGCGTTCAAACCTTAAGAAAAGTTGTGGGACAGTAGAAAACATGATACAAAAACGTGATGGCTCATTAATACTCAGTTCTATGCTGTATTAACTTGAAATTCTATGAAAGCTCTCAGGACATGAAGAGACACACTGGCTGCATTATTGAAGGCTTGCAGCCGTGGAGTACAATCTAAGGCATTAACTTGTAGTCACACTGTGGACTGAGCATTCCTGTCAATACTTAAACAACACTTGAATTCCTTTAAAAATTTATGAACAAATTGTGAGAGAGTTAGGAAAATTATCTTAAAGAAAAGAGGCTGGAGAAACCTTGAATTGAGGCTCTCAATTTACTGGCAAATTCCAAAAAACTTGGTGACTAGCAAAAAAAGGGGAAATCAGAATCTCAAAAATGTCCAATGAAACCAATGCACTCATTTGAGGCAGTATATTCAATACAACATTGCGTGTGATTGCCGAATCACACGAATGTCATGCTAGCTTTTTTCCAGTAATGACACCGACCAAAAAAATTAATTACTAATTAAAAATGATGACTAGGTTGGCTGTTCGCCTGTCATCACACTCAGGCAGCAATCACCGTCGAACCGTCAACAGGGAGCAAAAGTTACCGTACCAACAACAGAGGGCCACGAGTTGAAAAAACGCGACTCTAGAGAATTAGACTGACTGGGCGTTTCCGAGTCCGTATCCTGGTCCTCAGCTTCCAGGGTTGGTAGGGGGTGACCCTCCGCAGAAGCTTACAAGCATAATCTTGGAAAGGACTGCACTTCCCGCTCCGGAGTCGGGCGCTGTTCAGGCCCAAAGCCCAAAGCCGGCTCTGCCGCCATCCCCGAACCCCAAACGCCCGTTCCCCTCCCACGACTCAGATCCTCAGATTCGCCACTCTCGCTCGTAGGGGTTGGGCTCTTGCTGCTTGGGGCTGCCCTGGTGCGCCTGGTGCGCTCCCCGGCCCATGGGGCTTCCCCGCGGCACGTGCTGGCCCGCGTGCGGGCTGTGCTGGCCCGCGTGCTGGCCCGCGAGTTGGCCCGCGAGAGGGCCAGCGTGCTGCATGTGCGACATGTGCGGCGAGTGGTGCATGGGGTAGTGGTGGTGGTGGGACATGATGGGGGTCATGATGGGCTGCGAGACTTGGTGATGGTGGAGTTGGTGGTGGTACTGGTGCGCCGTGGTGGGGACCGGCGTCGGCTGGGTCGGAGCGGGCCTGGCCAGGACAGAGAGCAGAAAGCACAATTAGCCAAACGGGGCCGGTAGTCTTGCAGACGGGCAGGACGAGGAAACGGTTGAGCCGGGAGAGAGAAGGAGAGAGAGAAGGATAGATTTGCACGGAGTGTGCGATAGGCTGGGTTCGTTTCCAGAGCGTCCATGTTACCGGAAAAGCGAGGCATTTTTATAATTCTTTCCTGTTTTAAAAGTCGTAAGGAGTTGTCGGATGAGTGAAAATACTACTGCTAGAAGCTTTCCTCGCAGAGGGCGGAGGAGATTGCGTGTCGAATCAAGAAACTGTCAACTAAAGCATGCAGTAGGAAAGTACAGAACACGGTACGACTCGGTCCTGGATCTTCCAGGACCGTCTGGTTCTCCTATGTCTTTAGCATAGGAGAAACCAGGACGGTCCTGGAAGATCCAGGACCGAGTCGTACCGTGAAAGCGTCGGCCCGGCGGCCCTAGGCCTGGGCTCTAGGGATAGAAACGCCACCAGCAGAGCCGCGGCTCGGCTTTGGGACTCGACGCGGTGCTCGCGCGCTCGCGGCAAGGCGATGCCAGGCCATGCCAGGCGATGCTCGGCAACGTGAGCAGGGTAGGCTAGACCAGGAAAGATCTTGTGCCGACTGCCGACCCAGGCGGTCCCGCTCAGTCCCGCCGCGCCGCGCCCACTGGCGGCGTGCCACTCACCGGAACCGGAACCGCAGGGAGGCCCAGGCAGCCCAGGCAGCCAGCCAAGGGAGGCGAGGCGGCCCCCCGAAGGCTACCGACTCGGCGTGTTGCAGAGGTGAGTGGTGAGTCTTTACCGTGTTTACCGTACAGCTCGCTGAGCTTGCTGCATTGTTGCTCTGGCCGGACAGACCGGACGGCGGCATTGCTGCACTGTGCGGAGAGGCGCTGTGCCTGTTTAGTTCTCTACGTTGGCCCGGGGCCGGGCCGAGGGGCCGTGCCCGCGGCCTGGCCTGGCCAGGGGCATGGCTGGCTGCTGGCTAGCTGCGCTACAGACGCGTCGTTCTGTTGTAGCAGCTAGAACGACAAGAACAACGCGCCGTCAGAGCTGCTGCAAATGCGAAGTGCTAGCGGCAAGGCCGGCGAAAGGCGAGGCCAGCGCCTGCAAAAGACGAGCAGGCAACCCGCCGCGCTGCCCTGTCCAGCGGGGTGCCTACCCTTGACTCCGCGGGCGCTTCGCTTGGGTACTACTGTCGAGAACGAGCGCTCTTTCAGCTGCAGCCCTTTCCAACCAACGGAACCAAATACTCTACTGCACTGTGTGTGGCGCGAGCACGGCCTGCGCCGCGGGAAACCACGATACTGCCTCTACAGTGGCGCGAGGTCTACGACAACCGGAAGTACCAAATAAGCTCCGCTCTACTACTCATCGCCATCATCAAGTCTAGAGTTTTACTTTGTCTATGGGCAGGAAAAACGGCCCTGGTGCAGCAAATCGAGGCCTAGCTACAGAGGGTGCTGTGACGGCGCGGCGGCGCCAGGGCCTGGTCGGCCTGGCCAGGGCGGCGCGCGGTGGGTGGGCGATGGGCAGCCTCTGGCCGCCCCCGTCAAGTCTCTGGAGCTCCAGCTAGCTAGGAGGCGGCACTCTCACATTTATATAGGCCCGGAAACGTGTAAACAAGTGTTACGCGTTCCCAGACGATCGTTTGCCGGTCAGCCGGTCACACGGATGAGGTTGGCGGACACGCCAGAGGAGCCAGAGGAGGCAGAGCCACTGACCTCTCCAGCAGGCGGCGCTTGAGTTCTGGTGGGTACGTGACGTAGATATACTGGTCGCCGTCCATCTCGCCGTGGTATTGGACGGGGTCGTCCGGGTGGCTGGGGTGGCCGTAGGGGTCGTCGCCGGCGTGGGGCCCGCGAGCCGCCTGCGGCCCATAGGGGCCGTACCCACCGGGGCCACCGGGGCCACCGGGCCCATGGGGGCCTCGGCCGTCTCGAGCGTCTCGAGGGGCGAGCCCCGGACTGTCGCACCAAGGCTCTTGCGACGAACTGCGCCAAAGTCCAACAGGGTGGTGTTTCGTCAGTCGGGCACGGCAGGGGAGTACAGACCGTCTAGGTGGACGCACTGGGCACTGCCAGGCACTGCCAGGCACTGCCAGTGAGGAGTGACTCTATGGAGTTGTCGCTTTAGCCTAGGCGTGTTCCCTCTCATGCGACTTGCCTCTCATCGGTTTGGAACACAGAAGTGCAAGCGGAACGACTACAGAGTAAAAACACAGTCCTACGTTCAAGTCAAGCCAAATAAGTAACACACGACTGGCCAAGAATACACAACAAGCCACACTGAGTTGGCTCTATGGAACTACGGAATGTCGATGAAATAGAATTCGTAATTGGACTTAGCGGGTGTTCCAGAGACGCCAGGGTGGGGAGACTAGCCCCCGACGTCTCCGGAACGCCCCGGAGACTGCGTTCGAATTTGGCATGCAAAAAACAAAACAGACGGAATCTTCCCGGTCGGTGCTGCAGGTTAGTGCGAGTCTGCTGCTATGACAAAACTGGTTATTCTAGAAAGTGGCTTTGGGGGGAGGAAGGGTTGAGTGAATGGGCGTGTTTGGACCGACAAAGGATACTCACTCGAAAAGGACCCAGATGATGTAGTAGCAGACGACCACACCCACGGCCAGCATGGCGCCCATGAGGGCGAGCAGCGTCCAGGGCGAGGCCCTCGCCTCGGGCGGGGAGTCCTCCCAGTAGCGGTCGCACGTCAGGTACCAGCAGGAGGCGCGGTTCAGCTCCTCTGCAGGGAGGACAAGAAGGCCGTCATCATGCCGTCGCTCTGTCTCTCTCGCACCCTTGGGCCGTCCCCCAGGTGTGAGAGAGACAGCGACGCTGTGCTGCGGAAACAGACTACAGCAGCGGGCGGCGGTGGCGGTCTCAACGCACCTTCGATCTCCTTGAAGTCTTGCACGGAGAGGTTCACTAGTAAGCCAGCTATGCAGTCTCGGACTAGTAACTGCGGAGAGAGAGAAATGGGAGGGAATGGGAACAGTGAGACCGGGCATGCCGCAGTGACACAGCACAGTGGGCCAGAGGACCGGTGGAGGCGGCCAAAACTGTAGGCGCGTTTCGAGCTCCAGAGTCGCTGAACAGGGCTCGAACCGAACGTCCACCAATGGATTGCTCTCCGAACGAGGAATCCATTGGTGGGGTCACACGTTCGGTTCGAGTCCTATTTAGCGACTCTGGAGCTCAAAACACGTCGAGAGTTTTGGCCGCCTCCACTGGTCTTCTGGCCCACTGTGCACAGGTCTGCCTGCTTCGTTCATGCTCCACTCACCTCGCAACGAGTCTTGAGCTTGCTCAGCTCCTCGGGCTTGCAGTCCGCCTTGAAGCGCTGCATCTCGCTGAGCCGCTGCTGCTGTTGCTGCTGCGGCGCGGGCGGCACGCTCGAGTCCACCAGCGTCTGCCCCTTGTCGCACATGTCGGCCGTGGCGTTGGCGTCACCCTGGGCGTCGCCTTCCCGCTCCCGGCTGCCCGTCGCCCCACGCGCGCCGCCGCCCTGCAACACGCACGGCGTCGGGTTCGAATCTCGCCGGGGGCTTGACGTCCGTGTCGTATTTGCTTACTGACCGGTATGGGCGCGCACCGCGGCGTCTGCGGCTGCGTTGGCGGCTGCTGCTGCTGTGCCTTGCGGCCCTGCGGCGCCTTGAGTGACGGGAAGGCGGTGACGCGCGCCAGGTCGCGGGGCGCGGACACGGACAGCGCGGTGCGGTGCGCCATGCCGGCCTGGTGCGTGCTGGACCGCCACACCTCGATGTCCGTGCCGCCCAGGCTGGGGCCGTGCGCCTCCCTCGCCGCCAGCACCTCGCACCGCATCACGTCGCAGTAGTCCGCCAGGCACACCGCGTCCTCCGCCTGCAACAGCGTCGTTGTCTCTCTCATGTGGTGCCTCGGGGCGGTGCGGGGCGTGCGGGGGAGACAGATACTCACCATGTTGATGGAGTCCCGGTGCCTGCTATCGAAGTGCTGGTCGAGGTGGCGCTCCGTGTAGAAGCTCTTGCCGCAGAAGGCGCACGCCCACTGCGACGCCCGGTGCTGCTGCTTGGCGGCCTGCTGCGCGCCGAAGATGTCCCGGCTCGGGTGGAACGGGCACTCCAGCCCGAGCTTCACCGACCGCTTCTCCAGCACCGGCAGCCATTTCTGGAAGTCACCCACACGGACATGAGACCGACACCGAAACAAAGACGACAGAGCGAGTCGCGACGCCTAGGCGATGCCCACCTTCTGGACGAGCTTCCGTACGATCCTGGCGCTGTCCCTGGGGCAGGAGATCTTAAAGACCGTGGGCCCGGGCCACGGGATGAGCATGAGCAGCAGCAGGGCGACGATCTGCAACACCAGACTCCTCCACGTCAGCGGCGTGCCGCGCGTGCCGCGGACCCAGAGCCGCCCGAGGCTGCCCAGGGTCCAAGATACAAGGCCGGCGCGGCCGGCGTGCACGACAGGCAGGAAGCGGGGTGAGCGCCGGAGCGCATCGACGTATTCACGCCAGTATCGATTTTCTGGCCGCCTGTGCCAACCTCTCGGCGATGCGCTGGAAATGCACGGTTTGGGGCGTTGGCAGACCCCGTCGAGCAATTCCCGACGGGGACACGGCCACCCGGAGAAAACCAGGCCCCTCTTTGGACGCCGCATCCAACACCGCCGGAGACGAGGACAGCCAGGCGCCGCAAGGCCGCAGCGCCGCGGCGCCGCCAGGCCGCAAGCAGACGATGCGTCTAGCCTCACCCCCAGCTCTCGACAAGCGCGCGCACCGCGAGCAAAAAGCGAAGCCAAGGCGCACGTTACCTCCAAGGAGAATGATTGGGTCCTCATTCATATTCTTCTATGCTATGCCACGGATCATACAGTCGGCTCTGTGGGAAACCGAAACCGAAATGTTTGAATGCGACCGTCTGTCTCCAGCCCAAGGTCCGCACTACCACGTTCCCGTGCCGCTCCCCGCCCCTCCCCAGCCCCTCCCATCCCCGCCCCGGCCACCCTCCGAACCACCCCCTGGCAGCTACTTGCAGCTACCACCCACCCGCCTCCCCCCGCTCCGCCGCGACCGGCGACCCGGACAGCGTTACTTCGTCCAAAGGGGTAGCGGAATCCGTTTAATATTTTGTGTTCTTTGAGGGGTGAATGTCGAAAGTGTGTGGGAAGCACGCGAGGGAAGTCTCGCTTTGCAAAGTGCTTCAAGTTGACTCGCGTAGTGGGCAGGGCCTTGCGTCAGCAGAGAACGATGCCGGAAGCCCCGCAGAGTTCCGACTGCCAACATTGTCATACTCGACTCGCTCGATTCCCTCGATTCATTCGCCTCGACGCCGCATTTCCTTCTCCCTTCTCTCTCCACTCCCATTCATTGCTCTCTATTGATCGAATCTAGTCACAACGTCTGTGGTCTGCGACAAGAACCTGAAGCAAGCGTTCCACAAACCTAAGAAGCCTTGAACCGCCACAGTTTCCTGTCATTCGGATCTCTGCTCAACACTGCATTATTTGGGCACTGGTTCGGTTCGCCAGTTCGTCAGTTAATTGTCAAAGATGGCGGCAACGAAAAGGTTACAGAAGGTAAGCAACCGTTTTTCTATCTAATTGAGACATGTGCGACACTTTTTATGTTATTATCCCTCGCCTATTGAGGATGTTATGGAACTTGAGCCGTTCTGCCCGGCCTGCTGGTCGCATTACGGGCTGTCAGCGGCGGTTACTTAAGCCGCGCCACTCGCACATTCCTCCCTATCATGGCTGGGTTATCTAAGCCTACCCCGCCAAGGTCCATCATGTTATTCGCTGCGACGGCCTTCTTCGCCCTCTTTTCGAATGTCACTACGGGGCGAGCTGGTCCCCGCACGGCGGGGGTGCGGCCTTGACGCCTGTTGCCTCGTCCCTGGCCCACTGTGCGATGCCGTGCCAGCCGCCCCGGGGACTCTGCGTTCCCTTCCCTAAACTGCTGTGTTTGACAGTCATTCAAACGACTGGCCGCCTCGCCTACCGGCATCTTCTCGAATGGGCGCGACGTGCGCGTTTGGCACGTAGTATCTTCTCAATATCATGTCGTTGCATGGCCCAGGTTTACCGTAAACACCCGTCTTTCCCCAGTTCTATTGAAATTAGCGCTAGTGCTGGTTAACTCTGTCGGAATCATTCTTCCTTACTGAGAGACCATGTTTCCTTTCTTCTTTTTTGTGCATACCTAATCTCCTATATTGTTTCTGTTGGCAGGAACTCGTTGACATTCGAGTCACAGGTCCCAAGGCATTTAGGGATGTCCAAGTTGATGAATCGAACATGCTTCTCTGGCATGGATTCATTGTTCCAGTAAGTTCATTCATAGTTTTAAAATTTTGAAATTTCCAAAGTTAACGTAGCAGAAATGATATTAATGTTGCACTTACTCTTTCAGGACAATCCACCTTACAATAAAGGAGCATTTCGGATTGAAATAAATTTCCCAGCTGAATATCCTTTTAAACCTCCAAAGATTCACTTCAAGACTAAAATCTATCATCCAAACATTGATGAAAAAGGACAAGTATGTTTGCCTATCATCAGTGCAGAAAACTGGAAGCCTGCTACCAAAACTGATCAAGGTGAGATTCGTTTCCATGCAGCTATCAATTGTTCCTCTTTGATTCTGTCAGCTCATAACCCAACTTGTATTTAATTTTGCAGTTATTCAAGCTCTTGTCGCTCTGGTCAATGACCCAGAACCTGAGCATCCTCTTCGAGCAGACTTGGCTGAGGAGTATATTAAAGACCGCAAGAAATTTATGAAAAATGCTGAAGAATTTACGAAGAAACACAGTGAAAGGCGACCTCCAGAGTAAACTTGTCCCCAATGGTGTCACTGTGATAATGTCAACAACCTCTAATCTTGTTTTAACTTTTTTCTTTCTTAATATCTTGTGACAAATTGCAAGTATTTCTGGAACCCAGTCATATAAGCAACATCAAAGGTTGTGGTTGGTTAAACTCTTATCAGTACACTTAATGGTTTTCTGCCCACTTGCTTATGTTTCTGTATTGTCTACTGCAGCTGAAACCACTGCAATTGTCTTTTTATATTCTCTTTCGTAATTCTTAATTTTGTTTCTTTATAATAAAATGTTGAATGCTAAAATTTAGTGTGCACATGCACATGATTTTGTGCGTCGATCTATCTCTTGTGTGCAGTTTATTTGGTTGATGACACTCTTAGACATTCTTAAGACTGGTTCAGCTATGCTCAGGCAGGTTGATGTTTTTTAGGTCGCCATTGTGTGTTCCTTTTGGTTTCACACAGTCTTTCCACTCGAGTTTGAGACTGCCCTGTACTCTGCTTATCACTCCTCTCATTCATGGCCGAATTATAGAAAGTATCTTTTTTTTTTAAATTGTGAAATAAATGGCATAAATTTAGTCTTTCTTTCTTTTCATAGAAATTCAGCTTAGTGTTTCAATTGTGTGCAGTATTATGTTAAGTTTTGTCTGCATATAAGGGGCTTTTCATGCTTTATTCGTGTGGGCCCGAGTATTAATGATTATTTTCATATGTAGTGGTTGATGAGAAAAAATGATTCCTAATATCTTTTTTACAAGTGTTCAGCACTGAAGACACATCTGCAGGTTTCAATTTTCGTCAGATTTTGTTCCTGTATTTTTTAGTGGTTTTAAAAGAAATGATTGTACTCTTTATACCCTTACATATTGTGGAAGTCGCCATATGAAAGTTAATCACTGGACTTGTACATCAATGAACAAAAAGCAAATCAAAAAAAAAAAAAAATATTTTGATAATTTTGGAAGGTTTGTTACAAAAGAATTGTCTGGCTTAGCTCTTTGTGCATTTGCTCCCTTTTGGAGACGTTTGTGATGTGATGCTGGTGTGGTAGGAAACCGTGTAATAATTATTGAAGCACATAAATTGGTTTTCATCATTTGTAGTTTCTTACTTACTATGTTTGGTAACTTTCTGCAATCCTTCTGGCCACATTAAAATGTGGGATCTTCCCATTTTATAAACAAATTCTGTATAATTTTTCAACTCTGAGGGTATATTTTGGTCTGGATTAACGTCGCTGCGTTCACACCGCATGTCATCGGGCAAGCACCGTCGTGCCTATCAGCAGGTACCTGGGAGGTACCCACAAGCCATAAGTGGGCACTGGTTCTTTAGATTTGTATTTGCCGGGTGTTGGCTGGGCTGGTGAAGTAACCTAAGGAACCCAGCCAGCAGGGACTTGTATTTGCTCTTCTTCAAAAGCACATAAACTATAATACCATTTATTTCTTCTACATTGATTTCAATACTGCCCAGTTATCTACTGTCAGGATATACACAAAATTAGCGAAACACAATCACACACTTTCTCGTCAATGTTGGACAGACTGCTCTCGCCCGAAAAGCGTTTTGTGTTGTGCCTAGAAGGCAGTGTAAGACAGTTGAAGGTTGTCGCAAAGCGGTGTGGTGCATGCATGCATCACGTTGTAGTGCGTCGAAACCACGTGTTGTGGTAACAAACATTAAATTTGAATAATGGATACTCACCGTAAGTGGTTGCGATTTATCCATCTCATATTGTTAAGCCATTCATAATGTCCATCTCCTTGGATCTTTGGTCGACAGTTTAACTCGAAAAAGGAAGTTACTTTCCGATAAACAGAACGCCGGCAAAGCTAGGCCCATGCGTCTGCTCCCCTGAGATGTTTGTGTTTTCCAGTCGGTTGTTTAATGTGTCGTCTCCTCGGTCCGCTCGCCCTTTGTGACTTGTTATTAATTAACATGGAAGTCAGACATCCCCTTTGTTGCTCGGCGTCGTCTGTGTCTTTGGGACGATGCGTCCGTGACGTGCATCGCGCATCGCATCGCGCGTTTGTATTCGCTGCATCTCTGGACCTCCGACCCGACGGAGGACATTAGTCCGTTTTTCTGATTGATTAAACCAGTGTTGTGTAAATGCTACTTGTAGTTTGAAGTGTATTCACGAACTCATTGAGTTGTTATTGTTTATTGTTTACATGTTCTTCCTCTCTCCAGAGAGTTCGAAGAAAAAGAAGGAGAAGAAGACCCTTGGAGAGGTTCAAGCTGGACAAGATTTCGCTATTGAACCGTCCGACAAGAAGGAAAAACTTGATACTTCACAATGGCCACTTCTTTTAAAGGTATGCGTGTTTTGATTATGTCTGGAGCCTTTGACAATGTTTGTCTTTCTTGCGCTCTCAAAATAATCATTGTGTACTTGCTTCGTTTCAGAACTTCGACAAACTCAACTGCCGTACTATGCATTACACTCCTTTGCCATTCGGTTCATCACCTTTGCAAAGAAACATCAAAGACTATATTAGCACTGGTGTCATCAACCTGGACAAGCCATCCAATCCCAGCTCTCATGAGGTTGTCTCTTGGATTAAAAGAATTTTGAAAGTAGAGAAGACTGGTCATGCAGGAACCTTGGACCCTAAAGTCACTGGTATGTACCTTCTTTCAACGTTAATTTTAATTTTCAATTAGATTAGCCTGAATCATGTAAGTCCGTAAAGTCACAAGGCAGCTAGTTCCCGGTCGTAACTTACAGCCTGATTACAGGATGCCTTATTGTCTGCCTCGAAAGAGCCACTCGTCTTGTTAAGTCTCAACAGAGTGCTGGTAAGGAGTATGTGGCTGTTTTCAAACTGCACTCTGCTGTTGAAAATGAATCTAAGGTACATTTATTTTTAATACTTGTCTCATTTCTTTTATTTCAAGTCTTTGAAATTACTATGTCTATTTTGCTCTGATAGGTTGCGCAAGCCCTTCACAAATTAAGAGGAGCATTATTCCAACGACCACCCCTGATATCTGCAGTCAAACGACAGTTGAGAGTTAGGACTACCTATGACAACAAGTTGATTGAATATGATGCAGAAAAAAATATGGGTAAGCCATGTTTATTAATAACCCATGATTTTGCCTTGTGCACAATATTGTAGTCTCATTATGTGCTAATCTTTATTTTATCAGGTATATTTTGGGTAAAGTGTGAAGCGGGCACCTATGTCAGAACAATTTGTGTTCATTTGGGGCTTGTTCTTGGAGTTGGTGGCCAAATGTTGGAGCTGAGACGAAACCGTTCTGGTAAGTAGCTCTTGAATGAAATCCTTGTGTCTATGATCATCTTTGGCAAGTCAGTGTCAACAATTGTCTTTTCCAGGGTTACATGGTGAACAAGATGGTCTCACCACTCTACACGACATTTTGGATGCTCAGTATCTGTATGAGAACCATAAAGATGAATCCTACTTAAGACGAGTAATTCTTCCTTTGGAATCTTTACTTAAGCACCACAAGAGAATTATAATGAAAGACAGTTCGGTATGGCTCTCCTCTGATTTTTATGCCATTCTTAAATGTACAAGTTTTGGTAGTGACTTATTTTTAATTATTTTGCAGGTTAATGCTGTGTGTTATGGTGCTAAAATCATGCTTCCTGGTATTTTGAGATATGAGGATGGTATCGAGCTCAATGAAGAAATTGTCATTGTCACCACAAAGGGAGAAGCCATTGCAATAGGTTTGTGCTCAATTTGTCCTTTTTTCTATTTCCTAGTAATAAGTTACATTTTGAATTGTCAATTTAGAATAAGTTGACTTTAATTTGAAAGTTTTCGCAAGAGACTGTGCAAGACAGCTTTTTGGTCTTGCTTGTCTTGAGCTTTACAAGTGCAAATAAGTACTATACATCAGATTTAAATTATACTGCACTTCATACTTACAGCCATTGCTCTCATGACAACAGCTACCATAGCTAGTTGTGACCATGGTATAGTGGCTAAAATTAAACGAGTCATTATGGACCGTGATACGTACCCTAGAAAATGGGGCTTAGGACCTAAGGTAAGACAGATCCTCCTCAACCTGATCAGAGTGCACTGTTGATTCTTATCCCTTTTGGTTCTTACTTGCTCTTTTGTCTGTTTTAGGCTTCAATCAAGAAAGGAATGATCAAGCAGGGTCTGCTGGATAAGTATGGAAAGCCCAATGAGAACACTCCTTCTGATTGGTTGAAGGGTTACCAGGATTACTCGTATGTATTGTGGCTTAGTTGGACTTCTTGCGATCTACTCATTTTAATTTTCCATGGCCAATTTGCATTCTGTCTGGTTGCAGGGAAGTGAAAGTAAAGGAGGAGCCAGAAGAGACTATGGCGGAGGATAATGGAGGAGATTCATCAAGAAAGGTAAGAAAATGTCACTTTCGTATTTCACTGCCTAGGCTTTGTAATACTGTTACAGGCGAAAATTTCCTCATTCATTTTTATTTCTTTGTACAGCGTAAGCTTAGTGAAAGAAGTGCATCACCAACAGAGGGTGATACCTCAGTAGCTGATGTTTCTATTAAAAAGGACAAGAAGAAAAAGAAGAAGAAGAGTGATGAAGCTGAAGAAGCTCCTGCTGAGGAAGAAGTAAGTAATTTGTTTTCTGTATTTGGCTGTTACTACTTGTTGCACTAACAGATACTTCAATTGCTTACTTGAACCCATTTTATTTCTAGGCCCCCAAGAAAGACAAGAAGAAGAAAAAGAAGAAGGACAAAGAAAAGTCAAAGGATGTGGACAGCGATTGAATTTAGATTTAAGCAACAAACTAGAGTTATGATTTATTTTTTCCTTATCCGAATTGGGAAGATGATGTGATACAATTTATTTTGTATTTGGTTCTAATTTTTTTCTTGTCACTGTACTGGTGTCTAAGCAGGCACAACATAGATGGAATCTGGAAAGCAGATTTTTATTTTGTATTGCAAGCTGCAGTGGCAGTATAATTTCTTTTTCATTCTGTTTTAGAAATTTACATTTTTCAACTTCTAGCCATGAAGTTAAGTTAGGCTAACTTTGACAGCCTCTACACTGAAACTTTTAGTGTGTCACAGTGGCTGTCAACTGCTAAAGCAAGTAGAGTTATTGAAATCAAGATTGTTTGAATTGGTTCACGAGACAGCAAGTGAGTCGTAATCATGATGAATTTATATGGTGTATAGTTCTCCAATTTGACGATTACTCTGTACGTATTGCTAGAGTGAAGCAAGACATGTGCTTTCTGAATCGGGAGTGTTACATTTTATTAAAATAACAATTAAATCAGTTTGTTTTATATTTTCCTTGGCCTTATTTCTATCTAAACATGAGAAATTTTATTACCTAGTGTTTGGCCTGACCATTCTGACTGATCAGTGAGTCAAGGTAGTACACGTCTTCTGATACAATTCCTGATGTCAAATTTGTAGAAATCCTCTGTTGATCGCAGGAGTAACTCTAAACTAATGTTTATGAACAAATATACACAGGCTGTTGATGCAAGCATACAACTGCCCCTTCTCCAACAAATAGCCGGCATTCTTAATCTCAAAATCTTAATGCTGTCCTTAAACGGAAGCAGACAAATGACAAGATGTTTCACAGAATAGTATCTTATTGAAAAAGTTATATCCACAAATAAGAGCAAAATTACTGTCATCTGGCCGAAATGGCAACCTGTGGGGTAGTGCCTAATGCAGACTGAACCATTTTATGCACATAACACTGGTTCTGGCTTTGACGTAACTTTCTGAAAAGGGAGATATATTTGCCCGCTGCTGTTGTACGAGGAATGATGAACTTCTCACAGAACTCTGTGCGATTAATGGCAGCTTCACTGAGGCGACCATACCTTAGGCTGCGCAGAAAGGCCAGGACAAAGGTGTAGCAGTTGAAATCAGCTTCATTGTACCTGTCAAAGAAATAAAAAATATTAATTTAAGTAATAGTAAGACTTACAGGTAATGAAGGAGCAAAAAGGAAATAGGGAACAACCTTTCAGCTGTCCAACAGTCTTGATGAGCAACATGCGCTAAAGTACTGTCCCAATGATCACTCCAGGGTCCTGCCGCGCCATCCAGCACCAGGCATTGCTTCCACAGGTGAGCGTCAGCCTGTTGAAGCCCACCACGATCAAATTCCACAACCATTCCTTTGGAATCAGTCACACCAATATGCAGATCCTTGGAGTTGAAGTAATCACTGCAACAGAAACAAGCATGAGAATATGTACCAATTCTAACTATCAGCAAACAGCAACAGATTAACGTACTTGAGAAAATCTCCTGTAGTTGGCTTGATGACAATAGAACATGGATGCTGTGTGGCTCGCACAAATGGATAAGGAACTCTGAAGAAAAGGAAAAGACAAAATATAGGAAATTACAAGTAAGTACGTAGCTACAGGTTAATAGGAAATTGTCCGAAGTCATACCTAAATGGGAGCAGTCGGAAATTGGCAGTGGCCAGGGGAACACCACACACGGGGCATTGCAGGGGCAGCTCAAAACAGAAAATATTCACTGGCCCACAATGCTGGAAGCAGAGTATTCCAGGATCTGTGTCCATTGTGTGTCACTCGCAAACAACTGAAAAAGAAGCAAAAATTCAAATACAATTTACAAACCGAAGAGACATTAATAAAACTATGGTAGGTATAAAATTGTAACCCTGCCAAAATACAATGCAAAGAAGATTAAAAGTACTCGAATTCAACAGGTTTCTATGGCACAACAGAAATAACTGTAACCTCCAATTTACTAGGGAGAAATCTTACGTACAATTACTACTCCGAGACAAGCACTCATCTAAGACTGACGGGATTTTCTAAACACTCCAACAATGTCCAACTAGAGCAATCTCGTAATCAGATCCCCTGCCAATCAAACAAATCCCATGAGATCACTGTCTGCAGCTGGAACGACAAGAAGCTTGACAGCAACTGTGTTGACAAAGGCGAATTTCTCATACAGCTCTCCATCCTGTCCCATGACCTCAATTTCTCGTAGCTAGCGGGAACTTCAAAATTCCCATGACGCTCACATTATTCGAGAATTTGCAGCCGTTTTCGCTCTAGTGCTGCAAGGGGAAGGGAATGGAAGGGAGAGAGCTACACCGCGCTGAGAGGGAAGTACAAGGGAAGTCCGCCTCGGAGTCCCGCCGCGCCGTTCCGCCATGTCCTGGCCACGTCCCGCGGACCGAGTGCGTGTTGTTGACTGGTTGCCCGGCAACCGCTCCGATGGGGAGCGAGCCGAGGGAGCCGAGCAAGCGGAGCGAGCCCATGGGGTGGACGGGGTGGACGGGGTGCGCCGAGCGGTTGGGCTGCGAGGGGCCAGGCGGGCCAGGCGGGCCAGGCAGGGCGCCGGGTGGTTCAGTGTGCGGTAACAAGTGCCAGGGTCTTGCTCCAGCACGACGCCAGGGACCGTAGGCTGCCGTAGGCGTGGCCGCTGGTTGCGTTCGTCGGCGCACCCCGGGGCCCTCCAGCCGCTTCCAGCTCCCAGGTGAGACTCCATGCCAGCGCCTGCCTTCCTCCAGCAGTGCCGCGACGCCCGCTCTGTGTTCGAGCACTTGTACCGGGGTGTTAATTTTGTAAGGCAAACGGCTTTTTCGGAGGTGCGAGCGACCGCCAGTCTTGGATTGACGAAGGAGGTACGGGGGTGGCGGTGGGCGCGAGTGGCCTGGCCCGGCCTGGCCGGGCCTCGGGGACTCCAGCCCGTCTCCGGCGCAGGGACAGAGACCTCAGCCGGGCCTTCCGGGTGGGTCGCGAAGGGTCGCGAAGGGTCGCGAGACGGGTGACCGCATCGCGCCGGGTCGATACGTACGGCCTATCGCTTGGGCCGCGCCTTGGCAGCCTTTGACTGCCTGAGGCCGCCGTCGACACACATGCCGAGGCCGATACGCCGCCGCCGTCAAGACAGCCGCCCGCGGCCCCGCGGCCGAGCAGCGCCATCTGCCCGCGCCGAGCGGGGACATCGCCCTGGTACTCGCCCTGGCCCCCTGGCCCCGTGCGAACGCGCACGTGCACCTCAATGCGCACGCAGCGAACGCCTGCGAAGCGTGGATAGGCACCCCGCCGAACAGGCGTGCGTGTCGGAGCTGAGGGTTGCCTACCTCGCGCCCAGCGCGCCTGCGAAGCGTGGATAGGCACCCCGCCGAACAGGCGTGCGTGTCGGAGCTGGGGGTTGCCTACCCCCGCGCTGCCAGGCGCTGGCTCCCGGCCTGTGCGTGCATGGCGTGCAGAGCGGCGATAAGCAGGTGTTCCCTCCGCGCGGTTGGCGCAATTGGCGCGCGGCCCCAGTTTGGAAAAGGGTGAAACGGGGTTAAAAGAAAAGTTGCTCCTCTTTCTGTTTCTGCGGAGTCCGCGGTTGTCGGCGTCCCTCCGGGGGTCTCGCTCCTCGCAGGATGTGCGTGTCGCCTAGCCGCCTTGCCGCGCAGCCCGCAGACTGATTCCGAGAGCCGCTTTGGTCGCCCTGTCTCTCTCGCACCCACGCGAGACGCCCTATAAAAGCCAGAGAGAAAGAGCGACGAAAACGACTCTCGGAGTCAGTCCGCCGCCGGAGGTAATCGCTCAATCCATCCTCCTCCGCGCCATCCCGCCATACCGCTCCGTCGTGGCGTCGCCCGCGCAGCGCCCGCGACCCTCTCACAAACAAGACCACGTCGTCCCCTGTGGACGCCTTGCCGCCTTTGTGCAGTGCAGTGCCGGCACGGCCGAGGGCACGGCCATGTGGATGCGGACTGCGCCTGCTCGTCGGCTGCACTGCCAACTCGCTCTGATTAATGAAATGACAGCTCCCCCTCGGCCGCCATGCACCTCATTAACACCCCCACCCTCTCCCGGCACGCTGTGCAGGTTTGCGCGGTTCGCGTGCGCAAGTTTTGACGCCGTGTACAGTGTACTGTGTCTAGCGGTTGTCTGCCGCACGCCAGGTCTTTGTTGCCTGAGGCTAACCCGCGCCGCCGCCCCGCCCCGCCCCGTCCGACTCGGTGCAATTCATTAGCTCGGCCGGGTAGGGCCGACCTCTCCGCCAGGCAGCCAGGCAGGCAGGCAGCCCGTCCGTGGCGCCACACTTTTCGGCGCGCGATGGCGGCGATGACCCGGCGTGACATCCTTGCCTTGGCACGCGCGGCACGCGCGGTTTCGCAAATGGAGCAGCTTCCGCGGCGGCGGGGCGGCGGCGCACAGTGGGCCAGAAGACCGGTGGAGGCGGCCAAAACTCTAGACGCGTTTTGAGCTCCAGAGTCGCTAAATGGGACTCGAACCGAACGTGTGACCCCACCAATGGATTCCTCGGTCGGAGAGCAGTCCATTGGTGGGGTCACACGTTCGGTTTGAGGCCTGTTTAGTGATTCTGGAGCTCAAAACGCGTCTAGAGTTTTGGCCGCCTCCATCGGTCTCCTGGCCCACTGTGCGGCGTGGCCACGGCGGCGGCCTTGGCACTAAAGTCTGAAAGCGCCTCGGCCCGCTCGGCCTGCTCCCCTGACCCGGCACCGCCTGTCGGACGGTGCGCGCAGTGCCCGCAGTGCGCGCGGCTCGTGACCATCTTGGCCTGGCCGGCGACGCGGCGCGCGGCGGGCAGCACCGTGACGGACGGGGCGCGGCTGGCGTGGCCGGCGTGGCGCGAGCCTCTTTGCGGAGGGCGGAGGCTTCGCGGAGGCTTGGCGGACGCTTGGCGGAGGCCGCGCACTGCGATTACGCGCCTAACGACGCCCCGTTGGCGCGTTAACGCCGTCCTCTGTTTGCACACCGCGCGCCGCCACGGCCAGAAGGGCAACAACGGCCAGCCTGCAAGGCAGGCAACCCCTGCACCGTGGCCTCTGCACTTCCACAGGCGCTGAGCTGCTTCCGGGCGGCGAAAGTCGGGGTTTACCTGGGACGGGACAAAAGGCAAATGGCCGGGTGTCAACGCGGCGAGAGGGATTTGAACGCGGGGCGGAGGGGAGACGGGATCCAATCGATGAAACGATGAAGCGGCGTTCCTACCGCGGGCGCCGCGGGGTACGGGCGGCATGAGCACGCACCACGCACAGCCAACTGAGCCTAATTAGTCCGTCCAGGACAGGGCTCTGATGGCCCTGTCCAGCAAAAGCGGTCTCGTCTTCAGCCCGAAAACGTCCCGTCCCCGTCCCTCCCTAGCGACGCGCAGCCGCCCAGCGAGCATCCTGGCGTAGCGGAGGAGCGGGGCCGGCCGCCCAGCCCGGCCCACTGCATCCCGGGGCCCGGGGCCCGGATCCCAGCCCGTCCGGAGTCCGGAGACCCCCACCACTGCCACTTGCTTCGCACGGCGTGGTCACGGCCGCACAAGTGCAACGCCTGGCCGCGGCCGCAGCGCAGCGCGCAGCCATGGCGCAGCCCAGAGAAAGCGCGAAGGCACGAACCGCCCCGCGCCGCCCCGCGCCGCCCCGCGCCCCGGCCAGGCACTGCAGACACTGCCTATGCATGAGGTTACTCAGCAGTAACTTACTGTGTGATTTATCAAGCCGGGCTGGACCGTGGCTCGAACCACCGGCGAGCTGCTACACTCGCCGAGGTACACTGTACGCTTCCGCCGGCAGGTGCATTAGTGCCGAGGTACCGCGAACTGCCGACCGAGTAGATCGTTCCCGCGGCCCGCTTGACCTACAACGGTCTTTGGTCCAACGCGCGGCCGGCAGGGGCAGGCCAGGCCCTCGGCCAGGCCAGGCCGGCACGGGGAGCGTGCGGCGCAAGGCGCACGTACGTCACGCAGACGTCACCGTGGTCAGGGTGGCTTCGCGGCGCCTCTCGGCCTCGACTCATTGGAGAGTCCACGGCGAGACGCGGTGCGGTGCCATCGGCTTGGACTGCGGCGGTCGGCGGAACGGCGGGACGGCCGACGGGGAACGGAACGGGACTCGTCGTTAATTAATTCACTTATCCGGCGCAGTGCGGCTTGGCTCGGCTCAGCTCGACTTGGCTATGCGGTGGCAGCGTGAGCGTGGCTCGCCGCCCCGCCACTGGAAAGCGGAAAAGCGCGGAGAAAGAGCCTCGAAGCAGATCGCGGGGCCGTGGCGGCCGTGGCCCAGCCAGCCCGACAGCGTCGTCGCGTAGCCGGGCCCGTTCACGCGTCTTGTTTCATCGCCACGCCCTGAAGCACCTGAAGCATGGCCACAACCTGCTGACCGGAGAGAAGGGCGCGGCCGGCCGTGTGCTCGACGTCGTCCTCGACGTCGTCCTCGACGCCGTCCTCGACGCCGTCCTCGACGCCGTCCTCGACGCCGTCCTCGACGCCGTCCTCGACGCCGTCCTCGACGCCGTCCTCGACGCCGTCCTCGACGCCGTCGTGGAGCGAGCGGGGACCCGCGCCCGAGCGCTGCGTTGCGTCGGCGGGACTGCCGTGTCGTAAACGGCAGAAACTCCCAGGCATGGCCAAGCACGGCGTCATTAGGACCGGCACCGGGACGGACTGCCGCGTCGGCCACACGCGGTGCGCCGCGCTGCGCTGCGCGGGACGCTGGAATTGGAAGCGATCCGATCCGCGCGCAGCATTCCCACTTGGATGTCGCAAGGCAGGCGGCCCGGTCCGCAAAAAAGCGTCTTTATTGTGGTTTGGCCACTAATGGCTGCGCGGCGCTGCGCGGGGAGGGAGATTGCCCCACGTGGAACGTGACAGAGCCGCAGCCGGCAGCGCACGGCCCAGGGCGCAGCCGCGCAGCCAGCAAACAAAGAAAAGAGGCAGAAAAACGAAAACCAGGACCGCGTCTCAGCAGCTCAGCAACCGCACAGCAGCTCGCCTCGAATTAGGCCTCGGGGACTTCCTCCAGGACCAGGGAAGGGAAGTGGTGGACTCAACGTTGATACGTTTTGGCTGTGAAAAGCAGCCATCAAACACGGGACCCATAAAACTGAACTGAACCAAACCAGAAAACTGGACCAACTGTATTCTTTTGGGACAGACGTAAAAAATGGCTGGCAGGTCCGCACTGAGGTAAACCGTGCGGGTCTTGCCGTCCTCCGAGCGCGGACTTGAACCTCGCCGCCGACTAGACGGCTTGATGCGAGTGGCTGTTGCGTCGTCCTTCCCGTCTGACTCACCTGAGTGGGCGTGGCGTGGCGTATCTAGCACGGCCTGCAGGGCCTGCGGCAGACGGAGTGGCGGCGCGGCGAGCAGCGCGCCGAGCACTGCGCCGTGCCCCACTGGATGGGCTGGCCGCGGTGCGGTGCGGTGCGGTGCGGTCGCTCGGCCGCACTGGGGACGCTGGACTGCTGGAGCCTCGGCTGGAGTCGACGCACTGCTGCTGGAACTGCAACCGCCTCGCCCGCCTGGACAGCCTAGACTGGACTCGGACTCGTTGGCGAACCTGACCTGCGCCAGCGGCGCGGCGGCCCAGCGGTGGCTGGAGCACGGCGGCGGGGGGGGCGGGGCGGGGCGGGGCGGGGTGGGGCAGGGCGCGGGCGGGGCGGGGGGGGCGCAACTGATCCGCGGTGGCGGCGGCGATCTGCACAGGCCAGCACTCCTGCAGCGGGCCGCGGGCCGCGCGGGGCCTGGACCGCCAGCCTGCAGGCTGATTCCCAACTATGCTTTCGTCGCCGTCGTCTCTCTCTCGCACCCGTGGGGTGTTCCGGACGGTTGCGAACGAGACGGACTGTCGGACCACGGCAGGTCGGGCGGCCGCTCTATCACGGCACAAGTCACAAAGTGCAGCGTACGACCGCAGCGCGACGTGGAGACGTGGATGGCAACTGCACCGGGTGTCTCGGGCCTCGGCCAAGACGCCCCGCGGTTTGCGGTCGTCGCATGAGTGCGAGGGAGACAGCAGACAGAGACGAAGAGAATCTTCGAAACGGGCCTAACGTCTGGCCTGCCGCGAAGGAAACCAGAGGAAACGCAAGCCTGGTGCGGGGTGCATGAGGCAGCCGGTGCCGGCGGGGAGCAGTCCCATCACACAGTGGGCCAGAAGACCGGTGGAGACGGCCAAAACTCTTGACGCGTTTTGAGCTACGGAGTCGTCAAATGGGACTCGAACCGAACGTGTGACCCCACCAATGGATTGCTCTCCGAACGAGGAATCCATTGGTGGGGTCACACGCTCGGTTCGAGTCCTGTTTGGCGACTCTTGAGCCCAAAACGCCTCTTGAGTTTTGGCCGCCTTGACCGCTCTTCTGGCCCACTGTGCATCACCCCGCCGAGCCGGGGCACTCGGGCAGGCATTAGCAAAGGTCGGCGTGGAGGCTGTCGTGGAGGCATGTAGGTCCCGGCGGGTCCCGGCGCCTCGGCCGCACCCCCGCCCGCCTCCACAGTGCACGCGGCCAGCACCGCCAGCACCGCCACGCCGGACCGCGCTGGCCGCCTGGCCGGTGTGAGCCTCTCAGCCTGTCGGCCTCTCCCATGGCGTCATCTGCATGTGTTACCTCACCCCGAAGACGCGGACGGGGCGCTCGAGTCCGATTCGCGGACCGCTATTCGGTGTGGGCCGCGCTGCGCCGCGCTGCGACGTGCGCCGCGTCACCGAGGAGCTGGACGGCACCGGCTGGACCGAGGACCTACGTCGGGTCATCGACAGGACCGCGGCGACACACAGTGGGCCAGAAGACCGGTGGCGGCGGCCAAGACTCTAGACGCGTTTTGAGCTCCAGAGTCGGTAAACAGGACTCGAACCGAACGTGTGACCCCACCAATGGACTGCTCTCCGAACGAGGAATCCATTGGTGGGGTCACACTTTCGGTTCGAGCCCTGTTTAGCGACTTTGCAGCTCAAAACGGGTCTAGGGTTTTGGCCGCCTCCGCCGGTCTTCTGGCCCACTGTGCGACACAGTGCAGGCCGCGACGCCCGCATGACGCGAGGCGTTGCGCGAGAGAGAGCATCCCGTCGGGGGGACGCACCGGCCCCGAGGGGGGGAGAGGGGGCGCGGGCGGCGACGGGGGCCGCGCGGTCTCACACCATAATCGCCGTTTCCCACGCAAAACTTACGTGCGTCCACGCTACACTTTCTGCGATGTGATTCAATGTGGCCGGCTGGGTCGCACGCCGACACGTCACTTTCACCCGGGCAAGTTGTCCATTGTCGGGTCCGTCCTCGCCATCCGCGTCCTCCCGGTCCTCCGGCATGACGTGCTTCACGCGCTCCTGGACCTGGACGTCCTGGACGTCCTGCACGCTCAAAACCGCTTCGTCTCTCTCGTACACCTACGGGACGCCCCATAAGCACGAGGGAGACAGAAAGGAATCGGCCGGCTGCCGTCTGATTCCGAGCACTGCTTTCGTCGCTCTGTCTCTCTCGCCCCCAGGGGGCGGTCCGTAGGGGTGCGAGAGAGACAGAGCGACGAAGCAGTGTTCGGAATCGGCCGGCTGGGATGAGCCTTAGTAATTAGGGCGCCACGGACTTGCCGGACACGCGACACGCGACCTCGCGGACGTGCGTAGAGACCAACCCGCCGCCGCATCGCCGCATTGTCTCGCGGCACTGCAGTGGCGTGGTCACTCTCTCGAGCCGCCGTGCCGCGTCACCCGGAACTCGGCCAAGTCTTCCGGAGACTTTTCTGTGCCCTTTGAATAGATACGCACGTTGACAGAAGCCGTGGCACACCAACAAACACGAAAAACGCGCGATGTTCGTTGTCCCGTCGTCGTAACAATCATAGTTTCAGTCAGAACCCGAGTCATTTTAACTACACGGGGTGGTAGATACCACTTTGTGACCTCACGTGTTTGTGGGGCGGTTCGCTAACGGTGCAAATCCTTTTACCGCGGGAGGGGAAGGGAAAAGGGCGGAAAAGGGACTCGGCCTGCGAACGCGTTTCCATTCCAATCACATTAAAGCGGCTCCCCGCTTCGTCGCCTCCGTCGTTTCGCTCCGCCCGTTCCGCTACTCATTGATATCCAGTTACTCGCTCATGACCTTTTCATGGCTCGCCCCGGATGACCCCTCGCTCCCCACTTGGCTGCGGAACACAGAGCGCGGCACCCCTCGCGTCGCTCTGCGTCGCTCCCCACGGCCATGCCGCGGCCCCACGGCCCCGGAGGGCTGGGTCGGCTCCGAACTGCGATTCGTCGCGCTGTCTCTGTCGTACCCCTGCGGAACCGCCCCAAGAGTGCGAGAGAGAAAAGCACCGCTCGGAAGCAGCCGGCAGCCCGGGGCCGTGTCAGGTACGGGACGCACGCGCGTGCTGGGGGCGGCGAGGGGCGGCGAGGGGCGCATCGCGGGGGCGGAAAGCAGACGACGCCGCCCCCACTTTGATTCCGAGGGGGAGGGGACGCACTTCCGGGCCGTATGCAACTTTAAGGGCCCTGCGTGGGGCGGCGGGGCGATAACTTATAAAGGAACAACGCGCACCCCGATCGGAACCCCGTGTGGGGTGCGGCGGCCGGCGGCGTAGCCGTGAGCGTCGCCGGGGAGACTCCGCCGGTGGCGTAGCCGCGTAGCCCTAAGCACGCGCCGTCGTGGAGGCCGCGGAGGCCGTGGAGGCCGCGGAGGCCGTGGAGGCCGCGGAGGCCGTGGAGGCCGCGGAGGCCGTGGAGGCCGCGGAGGCCGTGGAGGCCACCGTGGAGGCGACGGAGGCCGTGGAGGCCGCGGAGGCCGTGGAGGCCGCGGAGGCCGTGGAGGCCGTGGAGGCCGCGGAGGCCGTGGAGGCCGCGGAGGCCGTGGAGGCCGCGGAGGCCGTGGAGGCCGTGGAGGCCGCGGAGGCCGTGGAGGCCGCGGAGGCCTGAGGCGCAGCTCCGCGCCTGGAGCCCACCGCCGGGAGCGGCCGCGGAGGCCCGAGGATCCTTCGCATGCTCCGGCGCTTCGGCTAGCCCACCGCGGAGAAACGCGGCGCGCGCGCAGTGGCATACAGTGGCATTCAGTGCAGTGGCGTCCGCTCCGCACGTCGTGATCCACATCGGGATCAACGAGGGAGTGTTCCACTAACGCGCGACGCGCGGCTGCCTCGGACATGGGATTTCTTTTCCCGGCATGTTCCCGGCTCGAGTTCGCCTCACCCTGATAACCGCTATAATTTTGTTGCCATCACGGCGAGCGCTGCCCGCCGCGGCCCGCCGCGTGGGTGCGCGGCACGGTGCGCGGGCTGCCTGGGCTGCCCGGGCCTGCCGTGCGTGCAACGGAGACAGACGGTTCGTTAACGCGCCGGCCGGGCGGCCCTCCACTCCAGGCCGTCTCGGTGTCGTCGCTGATCCCCGAGCAGCCGGAGTAGTGCAAGTACGTGGATGCGGCGCCACCATGTAATTGGGGACGCCGGCCGGGCGATCCGGGTTCAGTGATAACCATCGCGGCCCTGCACTGCTTTCGACGCTGTCTCTCTCGCCCACTTAGGCAAGTGCGAGAGAGACAGAGCGATGAGAGCGGTGCGCGGAATCAGTCTACTGGCTGCGGAGTGGAGCGCCGTTTGAGGCACTGACCCACCGCGGCGAGCGCTGGTCCAGTCAGACTCTGAATCTCTCTCTCTCTCTCTCTCTCTCTCTTTCTCTCTCTCTCTCCAGCATGCAGTGTGGCCGGTGGTAGGGGCGCAAGGTGGACGCCATGTCTGATGGCGCGGCTGGTGCAGCAGGTGCAGATGGGACCCTCGTCCCCGCCGCTGCAGCCCCTGCTCGTCCTCGTCTGCTCCGTCGTCGCCGTGCTCCTGCTGCAGCAGCCGCAGCGCGCCGAGGCGGGGTTCGCCTGCCTCAGCAGCCCCTGCGTCTACGGCATCTGCATGGATGACCTGAACAGGTGACCTAGCACAGCGGTTCTCATCACTCATTACCTACATTACATTACACACTCTAAAGGGGAAAATGCGTTCAGAAGTTTCTGTTTTGAGACGTAATGACTCTTGTGGTGCGACCTGGCAGCTCGTTCACGTGCTACTGCATCGACGGGTACACCGGCGCGCTCTGCCAGACCAACTGGGACGAGTGCTGGTCCTCGCCGTGCCTCAACGGGGGCAGCTGCGTGGACGGCGTGGCCGCCTTCAACTGCACCTGCCCGGACGGCTTCGTGGGTGAGTGCGACTGGCGGCTGCGTGGGGCGCCCATTGACAGGTCAATGGGCCACTGCCGCCACTGCGCATGCTGTCGCCGTCCGTCTCTCTCGCTCCGATACGGCATGCCCTACACTGCAAACCTAAGTGTCTACTTAGCACGCACTTACAAATGCATGCTTGCAAGTACACACTTACAAACGCCTATGCTTAGCATAGTTATACGGCGCCAAGCATGCGTTTGTAAGAGTGTACTTGCAAGCATGCATTTGTAAGTGCGTGCTAAGTCAGTGGCGTGCGCAGAAATTAGAAAAGGGGGGGGGGGTCAGGCACGCTTTTTGCCTACTTACAGGGGGAAAGTGACGCAATTTGCTACCTTCCAGGCGGCTGTCTAGTGGCCAAGGGGGGGGCATGACCCCCTGACCCCCCTGACCCCCTGACCCCCCCCCCTTGCGCACGCCACTGTGCTAAGTAGACAGTTAGATTTGTAGTGTATGAGCGCGAGACAGACGGACAGCGATTTGCTCGTCTATTCACGAGCCTATGATGATGACGGCAGGGGAGCTGTGCGAGCTGGACGTCAACGAGTGCCTGTCCAACCCGTGCCTCAACAACGCCACATGCCTGGACGGGCCCAACGGCTATGCCTGCACGTGCCCGCCCGGCTACTCAGGTAGGAGGAGGAGGAGGCCTTCGCGCGTCTTCGCGGCGAGGGCGAGGAGCGGTTCAAAAGGTGCCCGAAAACAAATGACATGGTTGCTGACGTTGATGCGGACTGCGCAGGCGAGCGGTGCGAGCTGGACGTGGCGGTGTGCAACACGTCCTCGGAGGCGCGCTGCAGCAATGGCGGCGTGTGCCAGGAGGGCCTCGGGATGGACTTTTCCTGCGTCTGCCTGCCCGGTGAGTGCAAGGCCCAATGGACAGTGGAGCCACTGTGTGCCAAACATTCACTTGAGATTGAAACCAACTGAAATGCGTTGGCGACGCGCACAGGATGGACGGGGCAGCTCTGCGAGGATCCCGTCGACGAGTGCGAGTCGTCGCCGTGCCAGCATGGCGGGGTGTGCGTGGACCTGCACGCCGGATACGCCTGCGCCTGCCTCTTCGGCAAGTGGAATGCAAAGCCCTGCTTTTGAACCTCGAACCCGCGACCTCCTGGTCAAAACCTTGAACGCGTTTGCTGATTGGCGTTGCAGGGTACACGGGCCGGCACTGCGAACAGCAGCTGGAGCCCTGCGCGCGCAACCCCTGCCTCAACGGGGCGCTCTGCCTGCTGGAGGACGGCGAGGACGTGTGCTACTGCGTGCCCGACTACCACGGCGACCGCTGCCAGCAGCAGTACGACGAGTGCCGCCGCGGCCCGGGGTAAGGCCAAGACTGCCTCTGTCTCTCTCGCACCCCTTCAAAACGCTTCGTGAGTGCGAGAGAGACAGCCAACTTGACGGGGGTGTCGATGTGCATGCAGGTGCCGCAACGGGGGCACGTGTATTGACGGCGTGGACGAGTTCTCCTGCTCCTGCCCCGCCGGGCTGAGCGGGGAGCAGTGCCAGTGCGTGGAGCAGCAGGACGGGCTGCTGAACTGCTCCGACGCGGCCCGGCCGCCCCCGACCACCTCCACGTCCAGCACGACCACCACGACAACGACCACCACAGCGTCGCCGCGGACAGCGCCTCCGAAGACGCGGAGGCCCTCGACGACGCCCAGCACCACCACCACCACGAGGAGAATGCCAACGGCATCGTCGCCGTCCACGAGCACGGCTCCAACTGGGGAACAGAGTACGCGCCCGTTCTGGACAGAGTCCGCAACGCGCGGCGACTTGGACAGCAACACTTCACCGTGGTACGCCCAGGGGACGATGCCACCGGTCACGGAGTACCCGCCGCCGACCGGCAACACCACGGCGGACGCGGCGGACGCGACAACGGTGGGCACCTCGTGGACGACGAGCATCCTGGACTGGGCCACGTCCACGACGCGCTGGGTGACCGGTGACGCCACGACGTCGATGACTCTGGCTTTCACGGTCAGGGACGGGACGTCGCCAGCGGCGCCCTCTTCGAGCACGCCGTCGTCGTGGTCCGCGTCCAGTGATGACTCGCTGGGGCCCGCTGCGACGTCCGCGGGGCCGTCCCCGGCTGGAGGAGGTACAACGCCGCCATCTGGCTTTGGCTCTGGCGGCCCTATGGGGACCACGGAGCTCTCGGGCGTCACAGACAGTCACGTCGACGACGTCAGCGCCACGGTGCAGCCCATCGGCCCGGCGACCCGCGACCCAAAGGCGATCCCCGTCGCCACCGAAAGCTCGGCGTCCACGACCACGGCCATGGTGCCGCACGCCCACCACGGCGATGGCGACCCCACCAAGGCCACCTCGACGGGCCACGACACCGACCAGCCCCCAAGCCCAGCCGCCCCGCGGACCACTGTCCCCACTGTCCCCACTGTCCCCACTGTCCCCACTGTCCCCACTGTCCCCACTGTCCCCACTGCCCCCGCGGACGTGGCGAACGTTACCAGCTTCCTGTGGACAACTCAGCCGCCGGGGACGCCGACGGACGCCGTGCCGGGAACGGCGACGCCCGCGCAACCTGCTTCAGCGACGGTGACCGCGTCGCCCGCGTCGCCCGCGTCGCCCGCGGCGGCCACTGTAACAGAGACGACGTTCTCCGAGGAGGCGACGTCTGCGTCCGCCGAGACGGTGCTCCCTCCAGATGTGGGCACTACGGCGCCGCCATGGACGACGGCGGCGGCCGGCGTGGAGACATCGCCGTCGTGGACTCTCGGTGGCGAGGACTTCCCCAGCAGCGCCGCGCCGCCGGTCAACGCGACGGACTGCAGCGAATCCCCCTGCCGCAACGGCGCCACCTGCGAGGACACGCCGGCGGGGGTGCGGGTGAGTGCGCCCAGCGCCACGCTACGCGGTGGTAAAATAATTTAGAAGTTATTTGCTAGGCTAGCACCAGCTGGTGCTCCCAAACTAACTAAATTTTAATAATTCAGTAAATTTGAAAATGTTCAGCTGGTTACCCCTCGGTTCTGGGCTTCTCTTCGCAGTGCCTCTGCGCGTTCGGCTGGTCTGGCCTCCGCTGCACCGACGGCGTCCGCGTCATCTCCGCGGCCTTCGCGGGCCACTCCTACCTGGTGCACCGCCTGCCCGGGACGCTGGGCGGCGTGCTGGGCTCGCGGGTGGCGGTCCGCGCGCGCACTCTCGCGCCCTCGGGCCTGCTGCTGCACGCGGCCCTGGCGCCGGAGCTCTACATGACTCTCTACCTGGAGGACGGGCTGCTCAAGTTCCAGTTCTCGTGTGGCGTGCAGACCATGGTCTTCAGCGAGGTGCAGCACCGCGTCAACAACGGCTTCGACCTGCACCTCGCCGCCTCGTGAGTGTCTCAGAGTGTGCATGCACATTGCATGGCCCTGGCCGGCCCTGGCAGCGTGGTCGTGTTTTGAAGGGCGTCATGGAGGTCGTGCTGCACTGCTGCAGGCTGGTGGTGCTGCCGCTGCGAGGCGCCATGAGGCCGTGCTCCGCCGCGCTGCACGTCAACCACTCCTTGGCCATGAGTGGCGAGCAGCAGTCCGTGGAGCCCCACGGCGGCGGACCTCAGGCCGGCCGGACCCCAGGCCACACCTCGCTGCTGTACCTGGGCGGGCTGCCCAGCCACGACCACCCGCTGCACCCCGAGCACCACGACGACGCCCCCATCCCCGGCGGGCTGGTGGGCTGCATGCTGGGGCTCGAGGTAAGTTACTCGCGCACTCGCAGACCAGTATCCGGGGGCCTTCCCGCCGCTTCCCGCGTCTCCGGACTCGCTTCTAATCCAACCTGAGTTCCCCGACCGGAAAGCCGGTACCGTACCTGCGCAGCGCCCACGCCGCGCCAAAGCAGCGGTGGTAAGGCAGAGCCGACGAAACGATTCCGTGCCCTATTGTCGCGCTGTCTCTCTCGTACTCCAACGGGACGCCCCACGAGTAAGAGAGAGATCCGCTCTGCCTCTATCGGGCGCGGCGTGGGTGGCTTGTGGTTTTGAAGGGAAATGAAGGTCTCCTTTCGAGGCCCTCGGGGCCCGGCTGGCCATTGGACCGCCGAACGCCGTTGGGCGCGCCGACCACTGCACTGCACACACCGCTCTACTTCCACTTTCCGACCGCCACAGGTGGACGACGCTCCGCGGCGCATCTTCGAGGACGCCGACGGCGGCGCGGAGGTGTCCGAGTGCGCGGCGCTGGCGTGCCTGTCCGCTCCGTGCCAGGCGGGCGGCACCTGTGTGCAGGACGGCCAGGACTGGAACTGCCTCTGCCCCTCAGGGTGAGTGGCCTTCAGCCGCCTTCAGTGCTTTCGTCGCGATATCACAAAATTCACACATCCCCCGGACAAAAATCCCCCCAATGAAACAATTAAACTAAAAACTAAACTCTCTCTTTCCGTCTCTCTCTCGCACTCATGGGTCATGGTTTCGTCCCTTGTACGTGCAAGAGAGAAAAAGCGGCGAGCACTGGAATCAGCCTACTAGCGCGGAAATAACCCGCGCCCAACGCCCCATGCCCGGCTTGGCAAGCTGGTGCTGGCGGGCGCTGACCCAGTGGTGTTGTTATTGTTGTTGATGTTGTTGGCGGCAGGTACGTGGGCAGGACGTGCGAGATCTCCGTCTGCCGGAACAACCCCTGCAAGTTCGGCGGCACGTGCGTGCCGTTCCCCGCCAGCGGCTTCCTCTGCCTCTGCCCCATGGGCAAGCACGGCCTGTTCTGCGAGTCGGGTGAGTCAAGGGCGGCCAAGGGCATCGAGACGATGCAGTGGCGTAGCATTGCGTAGCATGGTGTGCGGGCACGGGGCACGGTGTGCCGTCGTCGCGGTGCTGCGGGGTGCTGCGGTGCTCACGTTGCCTTGCCCCCTGCCACAGACCTGGAGGTGGCCCAGCTGTCGTTCTCGCCCTCGGTGGCGGGGCTGTCCTCGTTCGCGGCCTACGCGCTGCCCGTGTCCGTGGAGGACGCCATGGAGCTGCGCTTCCGCTTCCTGCCGTCCACGCAGGACCAGGTGGGGCTGATGCTGTTCCTGGGGCAGGACGGGCCGCACGACGCCACGTCGGACCACCTCGCCGTCAGCTTCATCAAGGGCTACGTCGTGCTCACCTGGAACCTGGGCTCTGGTGAGGCGCGTCGCGTGGCGCTCCGTCTGCCTCGCACCCCGACGTGCGGAGCGACGAAACCACGGTTCGGAGTCAGCCAACAGGCACTTGATCGTGTCCCCGGCGAGTGACCCTCTCTCTCTCTCTCTGCAGGCCCGCGCCGCATCTTCACGCCGCGGCCGCTGGAGCCGCGAGGACGCCGGCCGCACTCGGTGCGCGTCGGCAGGGCGGGCCACTCGGCCTGGCTGGTGGCGGACGGCATGGGCAACGTGACGGGGACCTCGCCCGGGCCGCTCAGCCAGCTCAACACCGCCCCCTGGCTCTACCTGGGTAAAGTGACCAACACTATGGGCGAACCGTAAGAGCAAACCAGAACACGGAGATAGCACGGCGGCTCTTCGACCTCGGTGGGCAGGCAACCCATTCAACGCCGATGTAAATAAATGCAACTCGTGCTGCCTTTTCGCTCCAAGAGCAGGAGCGCATAAAGTACTGCGGCGTTGCTTCAGTGCGCCGCGCCGCGCATTACATGAACAGCCCGTTCCTCATGAGGCGGCCGTGAGTCCGTCGGCCGGTCGCCGCGTTGCCGCCGCACCTCGACAAGGCTTGCGAGGGGCTGTGAGCTATGTGCCCTGATTGCCCTGCCCGCCAGCCGCCTCGTTCCCCGTCCAGCTCGAGCACGCCGTACAATACCTGACGTGGCGGGCTGGCGGGCGAGGCGGGCAAGGCGGGCAAGGCAAGGCGCGGGGCACGCGGGGGCGGACGTCGACCCAGACCCAGTGCAGCGTGTGGCCGGCCGGCGCCGCGCACCGCCGTGTGTTTATTGATCCCCACGCGCCCCGTCCGGCCCGTCACCGTCGTCATTGTGGAGTAATGACCCTATTGGCAGAGCGGCACCGAAATTCGGCGCTCAGTGACTCAGACGGCTTCGATTTTTAGTGATTTCCAGCTCCAGCCCCCTACCTGTGGGCTTCGAATTTTTTATTGGCGCCGACGCCGTGCGAAAGTGTTGTCCTAACCCGCCTCTCTGGCCGCAGGGGGACACGACGTCGCCAACTTCTCCGGCCTCCCCCACGACCTGCCGCTGCACAGCGGCTTCGCCGGCTGCCTCCTGGACGTGGAGGTGCTCGCCGGCACGGGGTCCTCGCGCGTGACGGTGGCGCTGGAGCGCACGCGTGCGGCGGCGGGCCGCGCCGTCGGCCAGTGCGGCACGACGCTGTGCCACGCGCGCGCCTGTCAGCACCGCGCCGCGTGCCTGCACCATGCGGCCAGCTTCTCGTGAGTAACTCAGTGTCTCTCTCTCGCACCCCTACGGGACGCCCCATGAGTCCATGAGTGCGACAGAGACCGCGACGTAGCTCTTCCCTCATCGTGCAGGTGCCTGTGCTCGGACGGCTGGTTCGGCCCCGTGTGCGCGCAGCGCTTCAACCCGTGCGACTCGACGCGGCACAACTGCAGCGCTGGCGCCACCTGCGTGCCCCTCAAGGACGGCTACGAGTGCGACTGCCCGTTCGGGCGCACGGGGCGCTTCTGCGAGGAGGAGGAGGCCATCACGGACGTGCTGCTGACGGGGCGGCGCTCCTTCCTGTCTCTGGGCGGCGTGGACCTGCAGCGCGCGCAGTCGTGCGTTGGCGTGGACGTGCGGCCCCTGGCGGACGACGGCGTGCTGCTGCACGCGGGCCACGCCGCCCTCCGCGCGCCCAGCCTGGCACTCGTGCTGCGCGGCGGGCTGCTGGAGGCGCGCCTGTCGTCCGGGACGCCGTCGCGGCGCTGGGGCATGGTGACGGTGCGGTCGCGGCGCGCGCTGGCGCGGGAGGACTGGCACCGCGTGCGCGTGTGTCGCTACGGACGCCGCCTGTTCCTCTGGGTGGACGGCGCCGCGCACAGCGCCGCGCTCAGGCCGTCGCAGCGCCTGCCTGCCGTCGGGGCGCCTCTGTACATCGGTAAGCCCTCCATCCTGGGGACTGGGGACCAGGACCCCCCGAGGAGTAATCTGACTGATTTGAACATAACACCCTGACTCCTGCATCATGCCTGCATGCAGGCGGCGCACCGGACCTGTCCGCGCTGCCGTCGCTGGGCGGCGTCGGCGTCGCGGTGCCGCTCCGCGCCTGCGTCCGGGGCGTGAGCGTCAACTGGCGGCACACGCCCCTGGACGCGGCGCACGTCCTCGAGGCCCGCAACGTGGAGGACTGCGACGGCACGGCGTGCGGCGGCGACGTGTGCCAGCACGGCGGCTCCTGCTGGCTGTCGGACCGGGCCGAGGCATACTGCACGTGCACGAGTGGCTACAGCGGCCGCCACTGCGAGCACCAGCTGGCCTGCGACGCGGCCAGGGCCGACAAGGGCCTCGCCATGCCCTGCCGCAACCGCGGCCGCTGCGTGGCGGAGCGCTGCCACTGCCCCGCCGGCTGGGGCGGGGCCTTCTGCGAGGAAGGTGAGTTACAGTGTGGGGAGTCCCGCAGGACTGCGAGAGTCGACACTGGCCTGCGCAAATCACGAGGTTCTTGTCCACGCAGAGGTGGCGCTGGGCACGCCGCACTTCGCCGGCGAGGGCTACCTCCTGGTGGACGCGGACGCGACTCGAAGCGGCAGCGGCAACGCACACGGTGACGTAGATGACTTTGGCGGCGCTGCGGGCGGCCGCATGCGAGCGCGCCGCGACCTGAGCTTCCTCTACCTCAACTTCTCCACGACGCACGACAACGGCATGATGCTGTGGTCCGCGGAGGTAAGACGCGCAGCGCAAGGCAGGCCGCGGCCAAGGCGGTTCGTTTGGCATGACAGTGTGGCACTTCTGCCCACCAGGACGAGGACCTCGTCGGCGTGGGGGTGGAGGCGGGCCGGCTCAAGGTGGTGTGGGGCTGGCGCGGCGCGGGCGTGTTCGTGGCCCTGCTGCCGGGGCCGGCCGTGTCGGACGGCGCTTGGCACGACCTGGCCCTGTCGTTCGGCGTCAACGTCACCCTCTGGACGGACGGCAGCCAGGAGCCCCTGCAGCGCGTGGCGGCGGACCCGCGCCCCATCTCGTCCGGCGGCGTCTTCTACGTCGGTACGCCGCACCGCAATGCCGCACCGCAATGCCGCGCCTCAGGCGTCGGCCCCAACGCTGCTAGGCGTGCAGGCCTGAAAGTTCTGTCTCTTTTTTTTCTTCCAGCGGGGTTCCCGGGGAACAAGTCCGTCGTCATGGAGACCAAGGGCCTGTTCAACGTGCCCTTCAGCGGCTGCATCCAACAGGTGTCCTGGAACCAGGACTCCAGCGTGACGGACTTCGCGGGCTATGAAGGGGAGAACGTCGGTACTTGCGAGCTGTTCCAGCCCTAGCTCATGGCCTAGCTTGTGATGGATGATTAGGTACAGCCACCCTCTGTTTTCCTTTTAAGGGCTTCCACAGACTTGCTTTCTTGAAGACTCTTTGAATGGAGGGAATTTTTATGTTTCGTATCGGAACTTACTTTGCTTTGTTATTTTTAACTGCAGAGTCAGTCAGAGTTTATAGCCCAGTTCAATTGGTAATTCTTTGTGAGTGATTGTTTAAGTTTTCCTGCAGTTGATATTAAAGATCTTACTAAGTTGACCTATTACGGACCTATTATGAAATTTTTTTGGAATTTCCAAATACCGTAGTTGCCTTGATTGAAAAGAATTCTAGTCCTGTTGTGATTTTTGTACTTAGAAATTGTAAAATCTTTACCTTAAGTGTTTAGTATTGTTAGTTGCACTTTGTGATATTAAAAGTTTTCATATGTTTCATAGTATTACAATTGTTCTTTAAGTCATTTTCAGTATGTGACCAATGAGATGAAGTAGTACAATGAAATAAATTCAAGTGAAAAAAAAAATGTTTTAATGTGAATGCTGATTGAAACACTTCTCCAAAACTGCATTGCACAGCACATTGATTAAGGACTTTGTGTGAATTCTTACAAGTACTTGATTGTGTCAGATGAAAACAATCGACAAGCATAAAAGCATATCTAACACACACAGGTGTGCAACGAAAGCAGAAGGAAGACTTGGCTGCCACAATCACTATCACAGTGGACCATCGCAATGGACTTAATCAATGTGTTCTTAACAACTAGGAAGAACAATGAAATTTGGTGAAGCACTGTACAAATTAAGCACCTCACATTGTAATTGGTTATAACATTTCCATGCCATAATAAATACCTACACTAGATAATGTGGTCAGATCACATACAAGTTTCAATTTTATTTTTGCTTTTTATTATTTTATGATCTGCCCTACATTTATTATTTTTAAACGTAGAAGAGCATTCATTAACGTAAGTGTCATACAAAAACCGTTTACAAATGCCAAATATGGAAATCATACACAACCATCAAAAAGACGTTAAGACGTTATTATTATAATGTCTCAAAACAATTGTGTCCACACACAAGAAATATGTTGCCGTGCAACATTCATTCATTCACAATGTTAAAATTAAAATTCATGGAACTAACTTGGAGTGAAATTTGTTCTTCTTGTAACCTCAATCTAAACATGTTCTTTGAGCCAAAGGGCCTCTGCTACTTTTAAGGTCACAAGTGTGCAAAGCGGTGTATACGTAAAATAGACACTAATTCTGAAAAGTAAGTACTATGCTAACAAACCATGGACTGAAGTCAAAGTCAGTGTTGGAATGCTATCCACAACACTCACTCAAGATCTAGAAAAATTTAGAATGATTAGTTTCACTTCATACTTATTGTGGTTTAAAGCTCTGAAAAACTTACAAACTAATAGTATTTTTTAAAATTAATAAAATTACAACACTATAGGTAGGATGGGAAACTCTGTTCAGTCAGTCCATGGTTTAGAGCACTGTCATAAAACTAGGGAACAACACAGCAATAGGGCAAGCCATCTACTTGCTTCAATGCCTCTATTTTTACACTTAACAGTAATATCAGCAACACAAAACAGTCCCTATTCACTCATCATCACATTTTTCTGCCTCTTACATTGACACGCAAATGTACCTTTCTTACTGTTTTTAGGCTTTAATTTGTACATTTATAAAAAGTATGACATCATAAAATTATTCTCATACAAAATAGAAGAAGCTCACATTCAACACAAAATAACTTGCTTACTGCTGAATCATCTTCCTGAGATAAATCACAATTTCTGAAGGGCAACCATCAAAATACTGAGCTACTGCACTAGAAATAATTTAAATTTTCTATGGACTCATTTACATAATGGTTAGATCCTTTTGATGTATTTTTGTCTAAAAGTTGTCAAATTTCACATTGGCCTACAATTTAATAACAGAATTCTAAAATGAAAGCCATTACTCTGGCCCAAGCTACTGTGTAGTCATTCCACAGAACTACCTCATAGTAAAATACTGAATAATAAAATTTGAGGCAGTTCACTCCAAGAGTAAAAACCTGTACAGTCTGCACAAAAATAAATATTGATGTATTGTCTTCAAGCTTAAGCCAAGAGATAAACATCACCATCAATAAAATATAGCTTAATAAGATAATAAGAGGAGGAAATCAGAGCAAATACCATGCTTTGTGAGACTTGAAGGAAATTATAAACATAGGAAAGTGTGTATGTATTACTCATTAGCTGAAACCGTGTGCTTGGGCCACGCCATGGCAGCATCAGAGTTGGAGGATGGCGAGCCATTGACAGACCCGGACCTGCCGGCACTGGCTAAGCCACCAGGCAAACCTCCAGACACTCCATTGGATGGCCACAAAGGAGTTGAAGAGGATGACATGCTTGACATTGATGAGATGGTGGAGTCCAAGTCCCGCTTGTACTTCTGCATAAAAAAATGCTGTTTACGTGAACCAGCAAGGATTTGGCCAAGAAAATGCTGAAATTAAAAGGGAAGGCTCAACTCACCCCATTGCTTTGTTGATGAGATGCCATATCTGACAAATCCACAGATGCATCTGAAGCTATTTTGCGAATTTCTTTTTGAGCACGAGACTCAACAAGGAAAATGCTCTCTTTTACCTCTTTGGAATTATACTGGTCCATCCTATAATAGTAATAAACCAATAATATAGAGCAACAAATTTTTAAATGGTAACTATAACTCATTCTTTATTTTTTGAGTTGGTAACACACAAACTTACTTATCATAAATAACAGCATGTAAGCCTAGCTCTTTCAGGTGCTTGATTGTGGATGCATCATTATTGTCATCACCCCAACAGAAGATCACTAGCCCAGCATCTTTGGCAAGCTTGACCTGAGAAGTGTCTCTCAATATATCTTCGGTGTGGACATTAATGCCCTGAAATAGGTGCAGCATTAGCTCACAACAAAAGAACAGCATTTTGAGATGTGACTGTTAATTTAAGGTGAGTGGTAGTTGGTACTTACAAGAATGTTGGCACCAACAGCGTAATGAATAGCCATTGGGATGGTTTGACAAATAGGATCATTGTACATTGGATATTTTTCTGTGACACCCTGGGTAAGGAACATCACCGGGTACTTGTTCTGTTTTAGCCGAATCCTAAAATGTAAAGCAAATTTAGAGATGACACACTCAAACTGATTTTTAAAATGTTTATAGTCGCAAAAAGTCACAGAAACACAGATTTACTAACATAGTGCAAATGTCCGGATGGAAACAGGAGAACACAATTTTTCTTGAGCCACCATGCTGCAGAACTGTTGTGAGTACAGTGTCCAAGTACATATTAATGTCAAAGGGATGGTTAAGTTCATATGTGCCATCCTGAGGAATAAAGAAAATACGTGAGGTATGAACTTGAGAGAAAAGGCAGCACAAAAGAATTTGGAACTGACCTTCAGTTGCATCGTCCACTTAATTTCAATATTAAAGCCAACATGAGGGTCCAAAACTTCCAATACTTGCTGAAGCTTAGGGAAAGGTTGATGCTCTTCCAAATCCTCATCAAATATCATTTGGGACTTTTCTCGACTTTCTGCCAGATGATAAACCTAAAAAAAATTTAAGGAAGGACTAAATAAATACATGGGGATATTGGTTACAACATAGGACCCTCACTCAAAAAAATAAAAAAATAAAAAATTAGAAACAAAAATCACACACCAAACAGAACAAAATAAGGTCAACATTAGTTTGGGCATTGGGGAATAAAGGGATGGTTCACACTAAAAACAGGTGCATCTATTTTTTTAAATATTTTTCTCTGTCCGTATTTGCTATTCACCACATGCAGGAAACTATTTACATTTTTGAAGTGGCGAATAAAAGATATACACAAAAGAATTCATTGGATCTAACATGTTAGTCAAGCCAAGCTTCAATCAATAACGCTTTAACTCTACCTCCTCCTTATCACAAAAGTGAAGAACTTTGCTGATACTTTGGGGATAGCCTATGTCCTGTTTAACATAATGGTATGATTCCAGAATGAACAAAGTCACTTGTTTTGGTAGAGCTGATTTTTCATCAATAGCCCACATAATTGTTCAATTATCTATATGGAGGGCATTCAAAACTTAATTCATGACACTTGCATTACCTTCAACAGATGAAGCTGCTCCAGTGTTAGCTCCTTAACAGGTAACTCTAGCATCTCCATGTCATTGGTGTCATTTTTGCGTTTCATTGAAATGCAGACATGGAAATCATGGTAGATAACCGGCACTAAATCCTTAGAGAGCTGCACATCAAACTCTACAAAATCGGCACCAAATGACGCAGCCTTCTTCAAAGATGCAATTGTGTTTTCTCGGACCTCCGCGCAACTGAAAACACAACAAAAAATATCAATCAAAACTTCCAAGCCAACTGTAGGAGCAAGCACCCTTAATGCAAGTAAAAAGCTTTCCAAAAATAATAAAACAAAATACAATACATATTTTTTAAAGAAATTTTTCACACTTTCTGAATACAGATAAAGTATAGAGAGATTTAAGTCTTTCACAAGAAAATTCACACAAACAAAGAAAGCATCTACAAAACGCTAAAATCAAAATATTCCATGGTGAAGACTGCCCCTCAAATAATTTAGTTTTTTAGAAACAGAAAAAAAAAACATGCATTCTACAATGGGAAAAGTAAATGAGAAGAAGAAATAAGTTGAGCCACTAACAGACTTAGGCAAAGGTGAGAGGTAACCCAGGGTGAAAATGTACAAGGGAAAAAGTAAAGATCCATAGGAGCTTCCATTTATCCTAAGCAATTTGACACTACAATCATTTCTCTCTTTGAGTGATCTGTTAGTCAGAGGTACTCATTCTAAAAGGAAGTAGATGTATCTAGTGAACAGCAACTAACTTCCAACAGGCCAGACCACATCTCAATTGAACCACCAAAAGTAAGCTATTCCACAAAAATTTCTTCTAACTATGATCCAAATATAAATCCATGCTCCACCATCCTCCCACCTCTGCTTCGTCACATCTCCAACTGCTCTAGGCTCGGACCCAGCTCCTCTGGACCTACAGGGAAACAGAGCAATGGCTTTCCATCTACTTGCTATCCAACAATGACATGAGCAAACTTGATATTACTGTCACAGGTGCCATTTAAATATATATCAGTGGCAGTTAAGGAGGGTCTGTTTTTAAAAAAAAAAAAACTCGTACGTATCCTTCCCACACATAAATATATATTTATGGTAATATGTCTTAAAATGCAATGATGGAACATACCACACAATACTTTACCAGCTAATAGATAAATAAAATATATTTACATTTCTATGCTATAAATACCAATGGACATATCTAACTAACTTCAAAATGTTAGTACAGCAGTAATAAAATACAAGTGCGGGTACGAGACACAAATACTCACTCTTTTGTCTTAAACTTGTTAAATGAGTTGCCCAAACCCCTGTGGCCTACATCCAAGCCAAGCCAATTCTGCTTCCAGTGCCGAGTAAAGGAGGTGCTCATATCGCACCAAAATCCAGGAATTGGATTTATCACAACATACTCAACTGTGTGGGAATAAGGCATTAGTTGACACACAGAAAATTACAAGTCAGTGCATTAAAGAGGAAAACAAAACATATTCTAAGAAGAACATACCAGATACTTGTCCAATAGGTCTCTGGTGGGTGTTGGTGATTGGAACAATCGTCTGACCCAAGCTCTGCTTTAGAGTAATAGGCAAAATGTAACTAAAACCTACATGGTATGGAGGATCTCCATCTGACATTTTGTTGCTGTACGCATAAAAGTCCATGAGGTAAGCCTGAAAACAAGTAATAAATATGATCCATTTATGCTGTATGCAAGACAGACTATACATAGTAAAGAATAGCAGAAAATGACAACATACCACCATTTCAGGGTTGTGAAGGCTAACCATAAAATTGATAACATCATCTTTGTTGTATGGGCAACCAAACTGGCTCTGCAGCTTAAATTCGCTTTCCTCAGGGTTCATGACCTAGTAGAAAAAGAATTGCGACAATGAGTCTGCAATAACAAGTTGCTGAAGTGCTCATGCAGAGAGCATCCAAGAACTTCAATACTTACAGCTACTTCAGTGATAGGCCAGTTGTCTGCTGGCTGAGGTCCATCTTGTGTGTCAATGCCTAAACTCTCATCTAGATTGTTCTCACCAACATAGACAGATTCGGCTGAAGAATTACTTCGAGTCAGGTTCACAGGAGTGACTTTAACAAACAACTAAGAAAACAAAGTAAGAAAGCGAATTAATTCATGCACACAGGAATCAACAGGGTAGAAGGGCAATAATTACCTTGACACCCTGTAGTTTAGATTTCCACATCTGGATTGGATTATTGAAAAGCTTCAATTGTATCACAGTCTGTGTTGTCAACCAGCCACGATCAACGCGCTGATAATGGTCAAAGTGTCCAAACTCATCAATGGTTGGTGATTGTTGTGGTCCTACCAAAAACCAAATAGGAAAAAGTGAGAATACACACCTAAATTCGTCCAGAAACAAAGTTTGTAACAGAATACAAGCTGAACTGATGGTTACCTTGCTCTTTTAAAATTCTGGGCACAACATTTGTTTCCCATCTTCGCACAATGACATGCCTTGTTTGGTTACGTGTAGCATCAGGCTCAAGAATTACACAAACAGCATAGCGGTACTCCAAAGGTTCGGAAGATGGAATCATCAGGGTGACAGTCCAGTCACTATCCCTTCAAAATAAAGGAAAAAGTTACTTAGCTTCGTGCCCGGTGTTCACGATCCTAACTCTAAAGAAATGCAACCCTACTTACTCCTCTGGGCTTTGTCGAGACATGGGAACAACAGCAGTGCTCTTCCAACTTCCCAGTTCTGGACAGCTGCCTGTGATGCATACTGTCTCACCTTTTGCAATACCATTGGCTGTAACATGGAAAGTCCACTGCCGCAGAGGCCTCTTGGAGTCCATGTTGTTCCTGAAAGAAATAACGATGAAACAGCATTAGAAGTGATGACGCACAAATAGGAAGATGAACAGAAATATTTGATTACACGAGTTACTAACTTGTGGTTTTGCGAGCTCAGCATGTTGTCGTTGGCCATCTCGCACTGCATCATCTCCTCTCCAGTTTCACGCCACCCCTCCAACATGGTGAGGCGTTGCTGCAACACACAAAATTCATGTTGGTTTGTGAGAATGGGTTTCACAGTGATGACACTCTGCAGTAAGAATTCATTGATGTGGGAAGTTCCAAAATAAACAAGTTAACAGAAAACAATGATCAGCCTAGGCAACTTATTTTGAATCAAGATTCAGAAAATCAATTCAGTACAGCGGAAACAAGAAGAATGTTCAACAGATTGGACGATGAGACAGACCAGAAGGTCTGGCATTCACATCCTATACAGCAAATGGACCTTTCATACAAGAGTCTAACATCAGGACCGCACCCCGCCGCACACTTCGGCAGTAGTAGAGCTACATTCACTCGCTTCTACACTCAGTTTCATTCACGAATGACTCAAAGTGTCTCCGATTTGCGGACAGAGCAGCTTCAAGTTGACAGGTCCAGTCAAGCCCAGCAGAACTCCATCATCAAAACAAGGGGACAAGTACGGACACCAGGGTCCCGACATAGGAGTGAGATGGAAGTACACTTACGAAGGGATCGCTGCCGAGAAGCGCAAACTCGAAACGCGGTGTAAACACGTAAACACTCAAACGTAAACAGCCATAACGTCAGGCCGCGACTGACATAACCTCATCAGCTGGCACTGCACAGTGCACACTACTGCAGCAGCAAGCGCAGCGCGCAGCGCGCCCGTTCAAAGGGGGTGGCTAGGGTGGCCACTCCAACGCCGCGGCGCGTGAGGCGCGGGGGTGCAACGGAGGCACGGGCGACAGCACCAGCGCCGCACCGAGTGGCGCACTTACACTTCTCGAGCAGTCCCGGGAACGCCAACGCTAGGGGGACGTCATGTCATCCACAGCGCAGTCCGTTGGTGGTCCCCGTCCGCTACTCGCCACCGCCTAGGTCCGCTAGGTCCTCGCCATGGCAGCACTACAGCCCTCGATGACGCGCGATTTTTCTCGTCAAGAGAGACCCAATCACGCACGGATATCGGAGGTCGTGGTCGGCAGGACCCGACGACGGCCAGGTGCAGGCGTCGACGGCGACGTCGCGCTGTCACTGGCACAACACGGTCCACAGGACAGCTCGACGCGACGGGGGTGGCCGCGCCTGCGCCTCGGCCCGCCACTGCCAAGGCACTCTCGCTCGACTGCCTTCCCTCCCGCCACGACCGCCCCGCCCCGCCCCCCTCTCTCCTGGGACGGGGTGACGGGGTGCGCCAACAGTACCTCGTTTTACTACTCCCTCCCACCCTCACCCCCTGGGCTGGGCTGGGCAGTCAACTAAAATAAACCCAGAGCCGAGAACAACAACTTTCGCCCCGCCCCGCCCCGCCCGGCCAATGTCAGGCTGTCTGGCGGGCCACGTGTTGGCCCTGCCTCGCGCCCTGCCTCGCGCCCTGCCTCGCGCCGAGCATCACGTGTCCCACAGCTGATCAAACTCACCACGAGGCCGCAGAGTCGCGGTTCTTAGCTGCCGATGCCGAATCCGAATTCGATTCCCGGTCGACGCGATCCTCGAAGCCTTGGGGTCGGAGTCGCGCAAGTCGGGCCGTGCCGCCGTGCCCGCGCTTGCCGCGGCTCGGCGTCGGGTTGTGTTGACGTCCGTGCCCTGCCCTTCCCTCTTCCCGTTTCCCTCCCTCGAGCGCTAGCGCGCTAGCGTCCCTCCCGTACCCTGACCCTCCCCCGCGCCGCCCGCCGCGCCACCGCCTCCCCCCTCTCCCCGCCCCCGGAGACCTACTTTTGTCCGCCTCACCGCCCCTTCGACCCCTCCCCCTGCTCTCCACCAGCTGGCTGATTCCGAACAGTTCGCTTTCGTCGGCTTTCGTCGCTCTGTCCCTCTCGCACTCGTGGGGCAGTGGCGTGCACGGCGTCAACTGTTTAGAATCAGCCTGCCGGCTGCCGCGCCAGTGTCTCTCCTCGGCACTCAGACCACACCCAAAACTTGACCTCAATTTGGAAGAAATTCCACGCAGTTTATGGCCCGACGTCCAAACACGGGGCGCGAACCAGCGCGGCAGTCAGTAAAACACGCCGCCCGAGCGAGCCTAGCAGGGCCTAGCAGGGCCTAGCAGGGCCTAGCAGGGCCTAGCAGGGCCTAGCAGGGCCTAGCAGGGCCTAGCAGGGCCTAGCAGGGCCTAGCAGGGCCTAGCAGGGCCTAGCAGGGCCTAGCAGGGCCTAGCAGGGCCTAGCAGGGCCTAGCAGGCCTAGCAGGCCTAGCAGGGCCTAGCAGGGCCTAGCAGGGCCTAGCAGGGCCTAGCACGGCCTAGCAGGGCCTAGCAGGGCCTAGCAGGGCCTAGCAGGGCCTAGCAGGGCCTAGCAGGGCCTAGCAGGGCCTAGCAGGGCCTAGCAGGGCCTAGCAGGGCCTAGCAGGGTGAAGCCGAAGCCAACCGCACGGCTGTTGTCTAATGTTGTGGTCACGTGACTGGGCCATGGGCAATCAGGACACGCCACTGGGTCATTTTAGTGCCGTTGGGGCGCGACGGCTCCGTGGTCTGTGGCGCGGGGAAGGACAAGGGCATGCAGGGGTCGCGGGGGCTGCCCCCTGCATTCGTCGGCCTGTCTCTCTCGCACTAAAGGGTTGTCCCGCAGGCGTGTGAGAGAGACAAAGCGAAGAAACAAACAGGGTGGCAGCCTTGTGCGCGCCTGGCAGGCTATCATGGCCATCAGTGCGATAACGCTGGATAACGACATCCACAGTACCGGTCAGTATAGGGGTGCCGCCAATAGGGGTGCCATCAATAGAGGTGCCACTCCGCCAGTCGGGGAGTGGTGAAGCCGACGACTCCGACGGCCAGGTCGGTCACACGGACAATTAGAGCACTGGTGCGACAGCACCACGCCGCCCGTCGTCCCTCGGGGCGGACTCACTGACCCTGGGCCCTCCGCCGTCGTGGTGGCGGCGGCACTGTCGGAACGGGCCGCCGCGCGCCGCCACACTGGGGTCGACGGCCGTGGTCCGCGTGGTCCGCGTCCACGGGGGTGCCGCGGCTGGGGGCCGCCGCGGCGCGCCGACCGCCAGCCAGGACGACGCCGAGCGGAGCGCCGCCGCCGCCGCGGGGGCTGAAGCCCAAGAGGACCGCGTCGAGGAGGCGAACAGCGCGCGCGCGCCGCACCGCCGCCACGGCATGCCGGCCGTCGACTAGGACGCTGCACGCGCCGCGCAAGTCACACCCAGCTCACCCACCGCCTCCCAAGCGCTAAAGTGTGTCGCGTGGTTTATTTTCGTCCCGTCTCCCTCTCTCTCTCGTTGCTCGTTGTGCAGTCGGGCTGGAGTGGCGAGGGATGGCCCGGTGCCCTGCGCGCTACGCACCGTGCGGCGCCGTGCGGCCTGCCCGCTAGCGAACGGTCCGAAACGGTCAGAGCGACAAAACGGCTTTCCAGTCTGCCGCGGTCAGAAATGCACGCCTCAAGGGCAGGGTGGGCCGGTGGGGAGGGTTCGATCAAATGCGTATCAGCAACTAACCGCAGTGCAGCCTGGAGCGCGGCCCCAACCGCGTCCTCGTCCTCAGCGGAGCCCCACCGTCGGGACGCTGTCGCCGCCTCTCTCTAGCCACACGCGCCGGTCCCGGTCACACGCCGCGCCGTCGCGTGACCCGCGTGGACCCGTGTGACGCGGCCGGCCCGTCGCGTGGTCAGTTGCACTGTACACAGAGGCCTGAGGCAGCGCGGCACCGGGTACCGGCAGACTGCCGGCGGTGGACTGGGTGGCGCCGCGTGGCGCCGCGCCCTACTGCCACTGTACTGCCAGTGTACCGCCAGTGGGCCCTGGGAGGGGCGGCTTTTTGGAGCCGATGCAGTGCGGGGGTGGGGGCTGCGCTAGGCTGCGCTAGGCTGCGCTGGAGGGGCGCGTGCCGCGAGCCCAGCGACGGGGCCCTAGGGAGGCCCCTTGCCCCCCTTGGCGCTGCGCTACGCTGCGCTACGCTGCGCATGGCCGCATGCTGCGTCACCGCAAGACCTGCAAGGTCAACGAGCATGCCGTTGGGCTTCCCTCCGTCTGGGCCGGCCGGCGAGCGGGCGCAGCCGCGACAGCCGCGCCAAACAGAAAGGTCAAAGGTGGCGGACAGAAATAGCAATATACAGTAGCCCCGCCAGCGTGGACCTGGCCGGGCGTGGCAAGGCGTGGCCGGGCGCTGTCCCCGCGCACCGCGCACAACACATCAGCGCAACACAACCCTTTCCCCCTCCTCCTTTTTTCGGTGTCCTCTTCCTATACCTGTTTTCGCGTTGCTGCATTTCAAGCCAAGCCGCGCCCGATCGCGTTCGCAATGCAGTCCAACTGGCTCGCCTGTGGAGCCTGCGGAGTCTGAGGCGGCTTGGCCTCACGAAGGAAAAAAAGGTGGACGTGGTCGTCTTCGAGGAAGGTGGGAAAGAGGGAGGAGGGGCTCGTAATTGGAGTGTGCGCTTACAAACCGAACGGAGGGGAGGGGATTTAATAAGGCGGCTTTGAATTGAGGAAGAGGTGGCACAATGCGAAACCGCATCACGTCATCATCATCATCATCATCATCATCATGGCGAGGAAAAATAAAAACGAACCGTCTCACCGAAAGAAATCTGCGGCCTGCTGCTGGCCGGCTTTAATTAGTTTAAACGCAAGTTTTCGCTCAAAGCCTTTCTGCATTGGGAAAGGAAGCAGAAGCAGCGGCCGCACGCTCGAAAAGTCAACAAATGGCAACAAAATCTAGTTTCTGACAGTGTCCGGAGTCTACCTGAGGCAACCTGGGGCAGTTACACCGACCGAAGCCCCACGACACTCACGACCACAACCACAACCTCGTCTGCTGCGTGGTGCGCGGTGCTGCGCGGTGCTGCGCCACGGCAGAGCCGCCTAGCCGCCCTGTGTTGTCTGATGCCGAACAGCGTTCCGTCGCTCTGTCTCTCTCGCACCTATGCGGCGCGCCCCATGAGTGCGAGAGAGACAGAGCGACGACGCCTCTGTTCGGAATCAGCTGACTTGAGCGCTATCTCCGCGTCGGCCCGTGTTGCCCTGTACACTGTACAGGTGCAAATTGATATGAAAGCCTTGCCG